GTATGACCCAATGAAAAAAAAAAGGCCCTTTGTGACCTGTCATCACCGAGCTAACCGTATCTCGCAGCATGACCTCGTCAATAAAGTCCACAGAATGAACTGCTTCTTCCGCATTTGGAAAGCAAGATCTTTCTGGTGCTTGGATCCAACCAACAAGCTCACCACTCTCCCACTGTCTGTCCAGGCTCAGCTGAGGAACATTGCCCGACGAGCCATTTACTCACTGGAGCATGACATTCTCAAGGAGATGGACGAGTGCATTGCGCAGCAACTCCCAACAAAGACGCAAGATAGAATCGCCATCTGGGCGAGTATGTGGCTGCTCATCCTCATGTACCGAGAGCTCCTCCAGGGTTTCAAGACCCATATCGGCCGCCTTGCGAGCAGCAAGAGCGAGTCTGCTCAAAACAGTAAGTAGCCCCAAAGCAGGATAAAGAAGAGAGATGAAGCAAATGAAATGAGCCTGAGCACGAGTACTAACAAACTTGCTAGTTGCCATCCAGGGACAGATCTATAAGCGTCTCGCAGACAGCTTCTTCCCGCTCTTGGTGGTGTTTTACCACTACCAATTCCGAACAAAGAAAAGCCTGGAGCTGTCACTGGACTGGCTCAAGTCTCCCACTTACCCTGCTGCGGCATGCCATAGCAGAGCAATCCGCGAGGCTGCCCAGCACCTTCTCGACGCTCGCAAAGACCACTGTAAGTTTCTGCTCGATGCCATGTCATTGTGAAACCATGCTAACATCTGTATCAGATCAGAAACTGCAGTCTTCAAAGAGCGAGATTGATCAACTGCTGTGCGTCTTCGTGGTGAACCACGAGCTGAAGAAGATGAACGCCAGGAAGCGCCCTTCCAAGGCTAAGTCCTCAAAGCACACAGTTGAGGACGACTGTGATGATGATGCCGAGTAAATGTTTTACTCTTTCTAAAAACATGCTTCATGAGTTACGACTTGATGACAACCGAGAATGCAAATGGAACGAATGACTAGGAAACGAAAAAAAATCGGCGTCACTGCTTTGGTGTTCGGGGGAGGGTTTACGGGTTCATGTTTTTTCTTTTGTTTGTTTTGTTTGTCTTGATTTTGCTCACCTGGACAAAAATTGAAAATTAGACAGTATGAATGAATCATGATTGAATGACTATTTGTGTTGAGATCGTCTTGGTGGCCTTTGCATTGACTTTAGCCGCAGAGTTGACATGGTCGATGAGATCCTCCTTGTTGATACGTCTGGCAACTTCGCTAGCTAAGCCAATCTTCAACGAAACTTTGTCCTTCTTGCCCTCTCTGTGTTCGACGCGTGACTCGAAGCTGTGTACGGTTAGGCTTTTGGTCATGTAAAAGTCAATGCAGGTTTGGGTTTGAAACTTTACCTGATAGCGTCGATTACTTGGCCCGCTTGCTTCGGCATGACAGGGAAGATGGTGGCTAGGACACTTGCGACGGCACCAAGGTACTGGGCCCAGAAAGACGAATCGACACCCCTGTCATCAAGTATACCCTGTAGGCCTTTGTGTAGTTGGGCATCAAGAGGCCCGAGGTTGCCTCCCCATCTCGCGGCGACGCCAAGGCCAAGGAGCGCGCGGACAAGATGAGTCAGGCCGGGGCAGTCGGTGTCGCGAGAGACAGCATCGTGGACGGCAAAAGCAGTATTGGAGTCTGCGTCATGGCCGTGGCGGTTCCAGATCTCTCTAATGAAGAGCATGCCCGCACCGGTATTGAAGATGGTGGGGAGGCGGGCGTGGGCGAAGTCCGACGGAAGAGATTCTGATAGTTTTCCCAGAATGGCTTCAAAAACTTCTTTTTCACCATCTCGTACATTGGCCAGGACATCAAGAGGGTTACTCTCTCTAATTTCTTGGGGAAGCTTCATCATCAAAGCGCCTTGTCGATTGGACCCTCCGCAGAAGGTGACCCAGCCAAGGTATGGAACAGCTTCGATGAAAGCCTCGACGACGGTGACAATGGCAGGGAACTGCTGTCTGCGCCTCTTGGACAAGCCAAAGATCTTACCATCGTAGTTTTGGTTCATGTGCAGCATTCTGGTTGTCTCCTTGAACCGCGAGCCACGAACAGCATAGGTGTTGGATGACGAGATGGGGTAGGGACTGATAGGGTCGTCATGCATCAGCATGCTGCCGTAGCCGCGGAACCCGCCACCGCACATGTAAACATCGACGAGAACCTCTTCTCCTGTCTCGTTTGCAGCCTTGATGGCTTGTAGAGCGGAAAACTTGGAGCATAGTTCGGCGTATAATTCCCGGAAGCCATCCCTTAGGTTAGCCGTCTCGGCAGCGCGCACATGCTCGGGATTCTCTTGTAGCACACGCATTAGCTTTGCGGCACCATAAGGCAGGCTCCCTCCGGCACGAGCTGCCTCTATTTCGTAGTCTTGAGTACTAGTGTCCACCCAAGTCATCTGCACGCTTCCGCCCCCAAGGTCAAGGAACAGAGCACCGCCAGGAACACCCCCGAGGCCACTCCTCGATCCCATGACGGCGCCAAGTAGTGTCTCGACGGGAGGATCAAGGATGGAAACACTCAGTCCTCCAGTGGCCTTTGCGATAGCATCTAGCATCTCAGGGGCGTTGACGGCCCGCCGCATGGCCTCAGTAGCCAGCATCATGATATGTTGGGGAGGGACATCATGAGAGACAGCAAGGTGATGAAAGCGTGCTATGGCAGAAGACACCGCTTCTATGGTTGCGGTAGGGAAAACAGGCCCGGAGGGGGACGGTGTCAGGGCATCAAACAGCGAGATGGCCTCTCTTGCAGAGTAGACCGGGGTGAGAAGACGAGCACGAGGAGGTGCCAGGGAAGTGATGCTGAAGCGAATGCCATTGCTAGTGTCATTGTCAGTGCCAGCAGTTCAACCAGAAGAGCTCCCAGGCGACTAACCTGCCCATGTCAACGACGGCGTACAGGTGGTTCTGCTCGTCTGGCCGCCATTGGGGGAGCTTCTGGGACAGATTGTCCAGCGTCACGGTGTTGGCGGCTGGCATGATGTAATGGCGTCCGCCTTGTTTTCGTAGTCCGAGTCTGATGGCGTCTCCCCGTCAGCCAGTCGGTCAGGAGAAAAAAAAGATAACAAAAAAAAAAAAAATCAAATCACATCGAATCACAATACGTACAGGTGGCAATACGAGCGCTAGCCTCGAGATACCTGTCACAAACCGACAGCGATGCACGATCTGGGTCGATCGGTCTGAGGCCCGAATGCGACGGGATTTTGGGTTGGCAAATGTTGGTTGGAAAAAAAATCCATGCTGGCGTGGGGTTTCAGTGGATAGTAGCGGACGGATCCGAATCTCCGACGCCTAGAACGGGTACCTAGCAGAAGGGCACGCGAGACGGGCCTAGGGAGATCTCGAATCTGGAGCTTCGAAACGCTAAGTCGACGGCTAGAGTTCTTGGGTTTGCAAGAGGATGAGAAACGAAGTTTTCTGGCAAGCTCTTTTTTTTGCAAAGTCGGGGGAGAGGCATAGATGCCCAACAAGACCCCCACCATATATGTATTCGCAGCAAAGCTCATGCACTTCATCTGACATCTGGCGAATAACCCACAGCCCTCGCAGCCTCGACCAATCGATGCCGCCATTCACCTTGTACACAGAGGCATACGTGGAACAGCGTCGTCCTGTCCATGCTGCCGCCCTACATATACCGTACATATACTCGCAGTGCCTAGTACGAGTAGAGTATCTCGTAATTTCGTGATGCTGCTTCTGCCCGTTGCCCCATTCTCCCATTCCTACCTCCTGTGCATGCGCACATACTCTTGCATACATACATTATCCCCCTCCGTACATCTGCTTGCTTGTTTGCTTGCCTGCTGGTTTGCTTGTCTCTGACTCTGGCTTTGATCGTGGCCTTTCCCCAGTGTAAAAGCATGACCTTGACTCACGCCTGTCCGTCTGCCGCAATATGACGAATAACTGTGGAGCGGCATCTGCGAGGTTGTCACCGGGCGGACGCGGCTGACCTCGTTCCGACGAGACTGATTGGTACGAGGCCACCACCAAAAGTCGAGGATGGGGAGGACGAGCAGCCCCCTTTGAGCTTGACAGACAGGTCCGATGTGAGTTGGATGCACATGTCGGTCGATGGCATCATCTGGGATTAGTGTGCTCAATTCCCCCAGCAGCGTGCATAATCGCAGTGCATCGTGTCTGAGGCTGGCTCGTACAATTCATCTCCCATATTGTGTACGTGTAATCGGTACGTGTACGTGCATGCTGTCTTAGTAGGGAGAGCTTGTCAGCGACTGCAATACCATGACTCTCAGGCACAAAGCACGAGTAGTATAATAGAGGGCTTGAGACACGTACCACGCATGCCTACATGTCGGCCAAGCACATGTATGGGGCTTCTCAGCACCTGTAGGAGCTTGTTGTAAACCACCTCGCCTGCACCTGTAGCAGCAGCAGCAAGTTGCTATTCGCCCGGCTTCGTGGCCCTAGATGCCGCCTGCGCTGGGGGTTACATGAGACAATGCACTCGGGAGTTGTTATTCGAAAGTGGGAATGAGCAAGCACTCTTCCCCATCTGTGGAAATGGGTCGATTCGAAAAGAGCGTTTTCAGCCCTGGAGACACAGGCCGTGTGTAGTCTCGAGTCCTGCCAATGACACGGATCCTATTCCCCCACATTGCCGGAAAGCAAAGCCGCCTCGCAAAGGTGGTGTCGCTTGGAGTCTGCTGTACAAGTCCTCGGAAGGCATGCACAAGTTGGGTATGTGCGTTGTTCGCGCCCACATGTCCATGCCTACATATGCGTGCTGATGACCCCTCAACGGCAGCATCAGCGCGCACGCTGCAACCAAACCGGTGAGGAGGAGCAGAATATGCGAAGGAGTAGGGTAGGCCAAGGTTCAGGTTGATTATCTTGATAAAGGATGGATCATCTTCGGTTGGATATAGTCATTCCTGGTAGTACTAGCGGTATATAAGAAAAGAAAGAATAGATAGGCAGCTCATTAGGTGGCTTATGAAAGAACTGGCATGGTTGTTGACTTTCCGCTTTGAGAAGAGGGTGATGGGCAATATGGCGCGCTGTTTTCTCGCCCAACCCGGCCGTACTCGGGAGGTGACTCTTGTTGACTGCTGCCCAAGGACCAAAGGGTACCAAGATGGCGTGTGTCTGTCTACTCGTACATCTACTGGCAAAGATATGAACAGAACTGGGAGCCAGCACTGCTCAAGTAATAAAGAATAGTTCATGGACAATAGCCTAGTGCTCCTGGTTCATCACATCACATTAGTTGGATCACTTGCTGTGACTCTGACGACGCCTTGTTCTCTTCAAGCTCTTTTCCGGTTTATCACAGGCACTTTGTTTCCGTATTCCCGTACCATGGAGGCAAGGCCCCTCATTAGCCTATCCGAAGCCGCTCTTTTCAACGTATCAGGGAGGGCTGGAGGGCTCCTTGTCACTGCCCAATGGCTCGCCACATGTCTGGCACGGCCTCATTGGAGCATCGGGAGCTCGACGTGCGTGCTTCTGACTGGCAGCGATATGCTCCAATCATGGGTGGGCCGGCCGTACCCGCAGTGTCTCTCACTTCCATTGTATCGTACATGGTCGATATTCGCCGAAGCTCTTGCATGGCGGCTGCGACTCTAAGGTGAGGATCCCGAGTTCCCGTCTTAAAGCAAACGTTAATTTCCAGTGTCAGTGTCAATGTCAGTGTCAGCGTCAGTGATAGTCAATGACAATGGCAATGGCAGTTCTTATCAGTCAATCATCTCCTTGGCCACATCATCAATCGACGACATCAGTCGACTTGATCCCGTCCAATCAGCATTTGTGTTGTGCTCCCGTTGGCTATCGGCCGAATGCCATCCCCTCGCTTGCTTGCTTAACTGATAGCAAAGCCCCGCTTTTATGATGCACATGTTTTCCCCTCAGACGCGTTTAGACGCGTTCTTTTCGCGAAATTGCACTTTAGCGCGCTGAGCCCAGAATTTTTCAAGCTCATTGTCCTCGCACAGCGCACAGCCCATGGGCCATTCTGCAACGACAAGTGATCAATCGCAAAGCTGTCGTGGCTGCTATGTCATGGGTGAGAAAAAAGACTGTCATTTTTCTCATTTGCCCCCTTCTTTTCATAGATACGGGCGCAGCACTTGTACATCTGCGCTGGCAATGGGAAGCAAGGCTGCATGCCTGCTTGTGTGGTCTTACAAGCGCCTCCTGTCTCAACAGCCGCGTGGTCTCGTACATGGAATTAGTATTGCCAAGGTGTGCACACGTGGGATGAGTGCTGAGATGAAAAACATTAGTCCAAGTTGCAAGTAAATCAGCAGACCAGATATAGTTGTAGAATTCCTTCACAGTGCGGCCGTGTCCGGACTCTGTGCTTCAATATCCACTTCCAGGACCCTCGAGACGAAAGTTCTAGCCCCCGTACGGAGCAATCCGCGCACTTTATCTTGTCCTGCTTTTCCCCTGATGCCGGTAAGGCTTCCGAGCCGTGCCATTGCTAGACTTCTGCGGTCCTACTAGCAATCTTCTCCCGACCTGCTAGAGCAAGGGAAGGGAGGGGCTGCAGAAACAGACGCAAGAGGCTTCGGAAGGGAAAATCTCGGTCCTTTTCAAGTTGGTCAAGCTTTTTGGTGGCATCCAACTTTTTGGCAGCCAAGCTCCACCCGCTCGACTTTCGTAGACTTCTCGCCGCACTGTCTGCAATGTGTGACCAACCAAGATCAGCTCCATGCGGGCGTGTGTGCGAGTGCTCGCCAGGACGGTGATAGTGACAGCGGACGAGCCCTAGTAGAAGCAAGCCGTCAAATGTCCCACCCCTGGCAGAACACACATGACACGAATGAGGAGGCACCGTGGCCGGCTTCAAGACGCTTCAAGACGAGCCGTCCCCTTTTGCGCTAGACCTGACCTGTCGCTCTCACGCCACGAAGGAAAGCGAGAGGGAATATGCCACATGGGCCATCTGGTACGCTGGCACCTCTTGAGGAGCGTTGTCGAGGTTGTGAGCGGTGGGAATAGCACGTTCAAGTGCGAAGTAGTAGCACTAGGAATTAGCTCAGGTCTTTGGATGTCCGTACTCGTACCTGGTGCTCGTTTACAACCCCAAGGGGTAATGGGCGTGGTCCTTGGGATTCACGGTTGTGGTCGACATATCGTCAACGTGCCATGCCCTTGTACTGTAGATCTGGACTCGTACGAGTACTGTCTCCTTGTTTCTTCCCGTACATTGAAACATCTGTATTGTTGTAGCATTGTAGTCTATCCTCCGTGCTCCGGGATCTGAGTCGGCCTCTCCGTTTAACCGCATGGTTCAATGCGCTGAACGCTGAGACAGAACCAGCAAAGACAAGCATCTCGACCGTGTACACACCAACCTGTCAATTGATCCTCCAATTTCAGGGTCAATCAGGGTCTCTTCGCCTCCTAATCCTTCTCGAGGCCCTGACTGCTCTCCTTACCAGTGCCCGGCGCAAGAGACTGGAGCCGACGGTGGCATCGCATCCGTTGGGCCCAGAAATCGCCGGTACGACTTTCGGGGGGCGTGCGTCTGAATCGCCATACAAGTACATGTACCCTGGTGGACGAAGTCGAGGGTTCGAGTTTTTAGCTCAGTTGAGATGTATCGCACGCAGCAGCGCCAGTACCTGTACACGCTGCACCGGAGGCCGAAGTTGCGGGCTGCAAGTACCGGTACCGCAGACGACGCTTTCAGAGGGCCCGCGCCACCCGCAGCTTGGCTCCAGCAGGGGCCCGCCTCCGCTGGACGGAGGGCTCGCAGTGGCTGTTTTTGGCTCTGGGCTGCCCTGTCCGTGGCCCGTCTAGCGGCCCCGTTAGTGGCCTGCGCTGGCCGATGCACTCTGCTTGCGCTTGCACTCCCCACTGCCCTACATACAAACCCAGCACCACCCTGTCGCCCGCTTCTCTCCCCCGTTTCTTCTCCATTCCAGTCACTTTGCGCCGTTGCCTCTGAGCCCGCGATCCCACCCGTGGGGAGAGGCTGAGTCTGTGATTGCGAACAGCTGCATCGCTCTCGCCAGCTGCTGGACCGCCAGCCTTTGCGCCTCAGATCGCCCGTGGACGACTTGAAAGATTCCTTGGATCCGGAACCCCCTTGCCTCGCTTCACCGCACCCGCCAGAGCCAGGACAGAACCATTACCCACACCGCGGCGACCAGGGAAAAAGGGACCCAAAGCCCAATCTCGCGCGCCTCCTCAGTCGCGACGACGTTCGCATCAGTTACATGAGTGTTTAAGACTGCTCGACGAAGCTCTTCCTGCCAGACCCGCGCCGCTCTCTCGGGCGCATCCGCAATCAAGGCGCATCCGCTCGTGGACGCTTCAGACAAAACAACAATTGCTGCGCTTTTTCGCCCAACGTATATTTTCGACGCTGTCTGGTCGCGCGACGCCCGTTGCGCAGGACAATCAAAGGAGGAACAAGAGAAGCAGAAGGACAGAAATAGAAAGAAAACATTGGACAAAACAAGACAAACCATAACATAACAAACCAAAGCGGGACTTGCCAGAGGCGCCATTCCGACCTTTTCAAGACATCACAATCACGCTTCGCACCATTATTGACTCAGTTGGCGCGGCATCGTACATTTAGCGCTGCCTCTCCTCCCTTTCCAACGCTCTCCGTGCTCGCATACCTCGACGCCAACTGCCGCAATGCCTCCCTTGCAATCTCTCATGGCGCCTAGGACACGGGGGTCTCGCAAGGCTGCTCGAGGTCCTAAAACCCCAGAGCCCTTCGCGACGACTGACATTCGACCCCCTTCTCCTCCGCGACCGCGATTTCGACTTAGGCGACGTGCTCCCTCGTCCAACCTCAAGGCTCCCACCCAGCAATTCCTCGCGTCCGTCGCGACAGCAGACGTACCCATTCCAAGCATCGAAGAGCCTCGTCTCCTCGACGAAGACATGGTGGATACGCTCAGCACCAGCTTCCCTCAATTCAACCCTTATCACTTATTCCCCGACGATGGCGACTTGCATCGCGGAAGAACCTCTTCACCCCCCAAGACTCCCGCTCCTCACTCCGTCCCCTCGCTATCGCCAAAGCGATTTCCCAATTGGTCGCTCGACCAGGCCTACAGCTGCCTTGAGTCGAGCCCAGAATGCGACAGTCGGCCGTCAACGGCGCAGTCGACGCAGACAAGCAGCTCGCTCTTTAGCCGCTATTCTCTGAATTCAGACAACCTGAGTCAGTACAGCATTGATGCCGACGACGACGTCGACCTGCTCGGTTCCTCGTCAATTGAAGACGGTAGCAAAACCATCAAACCCGTTCGCGCTCCCGCCGCGTCCAGCAGGCGCTCGCGCAAAGCTCCGTGGACCAGGTCAATGAGCCAACACCTCTGGTCCGTGTACATGACCTATCTACAAGATCCCCACGTCACTCCGTTTCACGTTGCCAAGAGCGGCATTCCTCCTCAGGGAGTATGTATGCGCGTCGCCAGGGAAGCAAAGCGGAGTTGGAAGGGCCCCAAGTCAAAGTCTAAGCAGACCGATCACAGCGGAAGCGCGACGCCCACCGTTGAAGCTGCGCCGACGTCTTACGTGCAGTGGCCGCACAGCTGCGCAGCGACTCGCGCTCACCTGCGAGAGCTCTGCAAAGCCAGCGCGACCAGTGCTGCACGCAATCAACACTACATGGGCCGCAATCCTACGCCTTTCGGCAGGACAGCCAATCGCGTCTGGAACCGCCGAATGGCACCAAGCCGTTCCCAGTCCGCCTTCTCTGGAAATGACATGGCCCTGTCCCTGGCGGTCAGCACATGCGAATCGATGCAGCCTCATGGACCGCTGGCCCAGCTTACCGGATCTCAAGATCAGCAGCCATCCATGGAGCTTTTCGCACCGCCGTCACTGATAGAAGCCGCTGCCCCTGTGTCAGGCTCGGGAGCTGCCGGTGCGGACATTACCCGGCTGGGCTCCCCCTTCGTCGCTAGAAGCTACGGTCCCAGCGCTTCCAATTCGCTTGCAGACGGCTTCGGTATGAGCCTAGAGCCACAGGGACCAATAAGCAGTTCTGTGGGGACTCGAAGGCGTAGCCTAGGCTCGCCGGCTCGACTCAGTAACAACAGCCGGGGCAGCAATCAGAAGCGCAGATCCAAGCAGTCTGCTGCCGTCGAACCCAGGAGGAAGCGTCCTAGTCTCGGCTCGGACTTTTGGGTTGATCCATCCAACAATGGGGCTTCGACTCAAGCCACGCCCTCGGCCGAGTTCAGCTCCACCGCCTCGACCCAACGGGATGCACTTTTCATTCCCCGGACCAACTTGCAGGAGCTCTTTGAAGCATCTCATCCTCGTGCCGCCTCCCCGCCCCCATCATCTTCCCCTTCTGGAGAGACTGAGAAACCCGGCGCGGCCACAATTGCACCTCAAGGAGCTTCAGGTCTAAGTTCAAGCCTAGGTCCGAGCCTGGGCCCGAGCCTCGCTCCTCCTCTCGCCGACGCACCCCTCAGACTCGGTTCTCCATTCTCTGCTGCCAAGGCAAGCTTCTCCTTCCCGGGCCGGCGATCAAACAGCATCTCCGCCATCGACTTTAGTATCATTCGCAGGCCATTTGCCACTGTTCAGCAGCCCATCGAGTCCGAAAGCACGTCCCCAAAGTCATCTTTACGAAGCCGCCTCGCTTACATCGACGAGCGACTCAAGGATTTCCGCCGCCGCGACCACCCTCGCCGGCGGTCACAATCGCCTGTCTAATAACGTTGCTTCATTTCCCGGTTTCCCCTCCTCTCACGTAGGAGATGTTATTACCTTTGCCGCTCTCCAATTCTTCGAGAAAAATGAAGAACCTTCTTTTCGTTTTACGATACTCCCGATGCTACATCCACGACCAGTATACGAATTGCATCTTAAGCCTTTCTGCTTAAGACCGCACCGCATGTCCATCTAGACGGCAACAAATTTGCTTTTTGTTTTTCTCTCTCGGAACAGCATACGCCTCCGTCTCTCATTTTGCAAGTTTTTTTTTTGAATCAAGTCTTTTGGTTTTCCTTATGATACCCGATATATATATCAACCACTATATATCAGAGTACCGATATCTCGACAACAATCTGTTCACATCTCAAATCAACAAAACCCCCTTATTCAACAAGGGGCGACATTTGCAACGAAATATATACCACACACGCTCATTTTAACGAATTCACTCTTTGACGAAATCAATGCTTTCTTTTATTCGATATGAAGCACCCACCATTGGAAGATACTCCTTTTTAAAACATTTTCGGACCACAGCGCTGTTTTTTGTTTTGTTGTTATATTTATGTTTGCCGAAATTGCTTCCATGGAAATATGACGTTATGATTGAACGTACGGGATACTGAAACCCGATGTGAAACAGTACCGGAGCAGTTTCTCCCACCCCACCCCACAAAAGTGTTGGCTATTTTTGTTTACTTCTTTTATATTGCGTCATTTGCAAAGCGACTGGATGGGACGAATGTCCACCTCTTCATCTTCTTTTCTTTTTCTTCTGGACTCTTGATTACTCATTTTCCGGTGTTTTAATGTCGATTTCTGATTTTGCTTGAAATCTTGATGGAAAAAAATGGACTAGGAGGACATTGATGTACATGGCAGAGTTTATCCCTCCAAAGGGGAATGCTAGCTGGTGTTTACTCTTTTATTTTCTACTTTACTTTTCTTGAGAGGGAGGTTTATACAGCTTTTGAGCCGAGTCTGATGATTTTTCTCTTCTTCTGTTAGCTTTCAAGCTTGATGATATATGATATAGCACGTTCAAAAAAATGAGAAAAATACTTTTTAGTAAATACTACTATATCTACATTTCCCTAGTAACTATTATTATATTTATATTTCTTTAGTAACTGCTGTCATACTTATATAGAAATAAATAATCGTTCACACTAGAGTAAACAAAAGCCATCGCAACAAATTGATATCAATAGTACTAAAGAAGAGTACCAACTTGCTCTGGTCATTAAAACCTCTCTAAACCGCCGGACTGTCTATAGGATATAATATTTCAACATGAAAGCGTAAAAACCCAGAACCCATCATTTTTCATAAATCTACCCATTGATACTCCGGGATATAATTTCCCCATGTGCCCATAATTCCAAAACCGAAGAGCAAAAATAGAACAAAAGAAAAAACAAAGAAACCATTTGAATCAGCTTTCTCAGCCTCGAGCTGGCCCGCATCAAAGTCTCCGATTGGCAAGGCGCATAAAACAAAAATAAACCTCAGCTGAGCCTTGCCTCAATATGACCTGTTCAATGGCACCATACCACTGCCGGTCCACCCAATCATCTGAAACCTGAAGTGCCGAGTTGTTTCAGAGTCAACTCCCCATTCAGCCGAACGCCCTTGTAGGCGAATGGTACGTTGCACCCCATTGCGGAAGGAGGGGAAAAAAACCACAAAAAAAGTCGATGTGAAAAAAAGCCATGCTCAATGTGACCAAATCGTGGCACGCGTATTAGGAAAACTTTGACATGATCGAGCTCGCTATTGAGTGTGGGATGCTTGGCGGTTTCTCCTCGTCGTCTCTGTGGCTGTTTCGCGAGAAGAGGGACCTTGGCGGATTGTTGCTGCTGTCTTGTCGCCTATGCCTCCATCTCGGCCTGGGGAGATCCGGTGCGCTCATCGCTCTGCTTGGTGCCCTGACAACAGCATGAGGACAAAGGCCTTCGCCAACAGCTGACCTGTGAGAATGAAAGGAGCACTCACGAAACCCAAACAGCCGTTTGTTGTTGCACAGCTTGTTGGCTGAGATGCGGAGCTGCGGGTTCTTGAGCTGAACGTCGTGGCCGGACTCCTTCATGTTTTCCATATGCTGAGTGTAATCGGCGGAGAATTCGGGCAGCGACTGGAAAAGCGCCTGAAACTGCATGGGATAAGATGTTGCCAAATCTTGGTCAGAAAACTTGGGCTGCCCGCCTACAGCCAGGCAAAAGGCAACCATGGCAACAGCCCAGCGGCGGAGGCGTATCGACGGTCCTGTTTCACATTCGGTGTAAAGATATGCCACCAACTTGGGTGGGACATCCCAATCGTATTTGAGATATAGGTCTTGGATGGCGTCTATGGAAGCATCCTGTAGATAACCAAGAGAGAGCTGCGAGGCGAAGAGGTGAAGATGAATGATTGCCCAGTGGATATCGAGAGACTCCTTCTCGCCCTTCTTCTGTGCTGAAGTGATGACGTCGTCGAGGTATACGCTGAAGGTGTCTGGAGAATGTACCCACTCGACGAACAGACCAAACATGGCGGGCGATTCGCTAGGAAGCCATAATGAGACTGTTTGTGAATGAAAGGGATCCTCGATACGCTCTTGGAAAAATGGGGAGACATCGCAGAGTAGCTGGCAGTTGACTTTGAAACGGCGCTTCTTGGGGCCAATGAGGATGGTTGTCAACCCAGAATTATCCTGTTCGGGCTCGGGTGTCGGTGGTAATTCCTTGTCGAGGGTCATCCGGCTTATAGTCGAGATCCGCCGACTGGTTCTCGTGTCTGGTCTCAAGGTATTATTCATGATGTTGATTCGGGTTGCCTTGATGTAACGGGGTTGAGTCGATTAGTAGAAGTCTGAATAGTGTTGTAGATGGCAGCTCAGATGCCTCAATGTAAAAGTGAAAAGAAAAAAAAGAGTGTAGGATTAGAGATGCCGAAAGGGGGGGTGTCCAATCCAATAAGCATCAGTAAGCTCGTTCCGAGCTCGCACTGGTGTGGGTGGAAACGTTTTATTGAAGATATCGAGTCGAAGCGAAAGGAAGCGATGCAATGCAATGCAATGCTCCGGCTTGGTGAAGGCTGCTACTATAAACAGATCGGGTGCGAACCAGTCGTCAAACACAAGCATCGACACATGTCTCATGAATGAAAACACGCATCGGATGACAGGCGGATTGTATGAAACACTATATATCCCCAGCTTTCGAAAACAAAAAAAGACAAATCTCGGTGATGGCCGTCTGCCCTACAACTCCCCAAGTATACCAAACGGCAGGGCCATCGTGTAACGGTGACAATGCTGAGAAGATGATGACCCCCCCTCCAGGGGTGGCCAGCGTATGTGCGTATGTGCGTGCGTGCGCGCGTGTGTGCGTCCGTGACCAGAGTCGACACAGGCTGGCCTCTTGCCCCCCCGGTTTGGGAATTTCCAGCTTAGGTGGGTGTCAGGCTGACCATTAGTCCAAGGTGTTTTGTTAGCGAGGCTCAAACGGCTCTGCTAATTAACACTTCGCGGCACGATTTCTTGCAATATTGGTCACACAGGGCGAGGGTGGTCGATTTGGGGCGGCAGGGCCATGGTGAGATCCGCCGGGATCCTCCACCTGTCCCAGGAGCTGAGCATCGTCCTTACGGACTCCATCTGTTTCAACACCTCAAACGCAGAGGGCCGCTGCCGCTAGAGAAGCCAGAGGCACCAGCTGGCGTGTGCTCAAGTCGCATCCACGTCACCCTGTGTCTGAATCGTTCTTCACACTCTTCAGCCCGTCTGAGCAGGCTCGAGCTTGACGCGGCATTTGTCAAAGGTCGACCTTGGCGCCGCGCACCGCAATTCTGTTTGTTCGGTTCGTCTCTCTCTGGCCTGGCTTCGTATTACCCACCCCCCTGCTCCTCGTTTTGCATCAGGGCAGCCCGTTTCGGGTCCCCTCTGGAGGCTAGGAAGAATAGACTTTCACAAGGCATAAGGCAAAGTCAGGTGCGTGCAACGATGCAATCTTAAACCTGGGCAGTAATTGGTTAGCAAACGTCAAGAGACCGTTGGATGGGGGCCAGCCTTGCCGTAGCTCCGTTACCCCCCTCGAATCTATTTCCTGTCTCTGGCCACCATCTCATTTCATTTTTTTCGCTTGCCTCCGGAGTTATGGAGCGTCGGGCAATCCAAGGCGGCCGATCATGCGGGCGCGTCCAATGTAGAGCGTGCAGGCAGATTCTGAGGTAACACAGTATGACTGAAAATAAAATGAAGCACGGAAAAATAGAAACGAGGACACGGGAAGAGAGGACAAGGTGAGAGCAGGTGATCTGCACTGATCATCGAAACGGCAAGGCCCTGTACTTTAGGTACTGTGCTCCGTACCGGGTACATGTACATCATCATACCGGCCGCATAAGGCTCTCGAGCCCACTGGCGATGGGGCAGCCACCCGCTGAAGAGCTCCGACTTAGCGCCCTTCTGCCCCGAAAAGGACCCATGGATCAGCCCCCAGGACCTTCTAGAGCTCCTCTAGAGCTTCCCCTGGCCGCAACTGAAACCCCCGCAGGCGTCGGCTCTACAACCCCACCACGGCAACCCCGTAGTAGCTTCACTCGAGCTATGTACAATTCTCACATGTGCTCAACTGTGCTATTAATGGATTCACGGGTTTTGCATATGTCAAATGCTAAACAGGATCAGCAATCAAGGTTGAAATCTTTGCTTATGCCACTTGATCCAACCCCCCCGAAACATCAATGTCAAATTAAGCCGTTTGCTCATCTGTCTGTAGAGAAGGGCAAGACAAAGGCAAACGGGTAGCCTGCATCATGCACCAAGCCGCTAATATTATGCTTAACACCATCATAGCTTTACTTGTCAGCCACATCCACAACTTTTGAGCTTTGATCCAAGTCAAGTGACATCAAGGTTGAACTTTTGCTTTCATTCAAAATCATAAGCTAGCTAGCTATAGCGCTGGTATTGTGAAAATGAGATAGTCTACCTCGCCCTCTAATCAATCCCCCAATGGGCTTTTGTCCCAAGATTGCTCGCTCTCCAAACCACAAAAAGCATCTTGTGCAGATACGTGTCGTGCTCCCACCATGAATCTCGTTGCTTTAACTTCTAAAACGCCGTGCCGCCCCTTGATTGTTGAAACGGCCTCCCGAAACTAATATGCTTCAGCAGCAAAGTAACGCAAACCAATGCAAAAGAACCCATACGCCGCTACAGATGCCTTGTTAAGATCCCAAACTCCCCATATCCGGATGGAGGAATATACGTAAAAAGAAAAGTAGCAAGTGACGTTGAAAACGCTTCCAAATAGTGGCAAATTGCCAATGCTCTGCCTCGACCCCTTCTCCCCCCTCGCAAAATTCGGGTGAGGCAATAGCACGCCTCCGTGACAAACCAACAAACCGAAGCAGCGTCTTCACACTGCCCATATGATCATTGCCCCTGAATGGTGCACCCCCCTTGTCTCAAGCTGTCTAGATCCTAGCCGGGATGTCCACGTTGTCAGAATCCGTGCCCGTGCTCGTATCGTCATCAATCTGCATGGGGTCATCAGGTGTCCCTTGATATGTCCCAAGTGGAACTCCGTGAACAACTGCTGCTGGTTGGCCATATGCTGGAGGTGGTGGCCGAGGATTCGTAGACGATGCTGTAGGATCAACCAGCTCCGCAGTAGCCGAGGAGGCAGATAGTCCTCCCATCTCGGCGAGGGGGACTCTCCTACGTGGCGATTCCATAACTTGATTACTAGTTGGTCTCGCTTGCCCATCGTCGACACGGGCCTTCTTTACGGAGTGTGCTTGATCAGCATTCCAGGAGCGTTCCATATCTGCGTTGGTACGCCTCTCACGAAGGCGGATTCCATACTTCTTCCTGGTATTGCTCTGCTTGGTATTGTATCGATTCTTGATCTTGGCCAGCTCTTCTTCACGCTGGCCAGCCGGAAGCGCCTCTGCGTCTTTCCTCAAGCGACCATAACGCTCTTCAACCTCTTTCATTTCTGCATTGAATTTTGCTCGGTTCTCTGGAGTAAGCTTTGCGTAGGGGTCGTTGGTTGAGGGGCTTGCGGCCGGCGCAGAGCCAACCGATCTGCGACTTGGGGTTATGTTTGACTTAATGACAGCAGGTGCAAGGGGGGCTGGCTGATGCGGTGTCATATGATAACTCGGAGGTCCGAGGTTGTTGGATGGCTGATGCGGTGTCATCTTTTGTAATTGTTCTCTCTGTCTTAGCAATTCCAAGATGTGTGATCTGGTCTCCTCGTTGTGTTGTCCGCAAACGAAGCTCTTCGTGTGATAGGAGAGGCCACCTGGGCTTTCGAACTGACAGCCGCAATGAATGCACTCATCTACATCAATGGTTCCTACTGGCCTGGAGGTGTGGCACTTGGCCTTTTTCGAATGCTGGTTGATTGTGAATAACGCGCTTCTTGGCATATGAGTTGAGAAAAGGAGCATACTTACATAGCTAAGAGCATCTGAACTGCTGCAAGGACGATGGCATGTTGCACAATACATTATCCCGGGTGTCTGGTTCGGGTTTGGATGTGGCAGGCTCGCGACATTTCCGACTGGCATGGCAGCCGTTGGAGACTGGGAAGGAGTGGAGGGCGGCTGAAAAGTAATATTCCCGTTCCGCATAATGGGGATAGGGTGTTGGCCTTGAGGTGCTCGAGGTGGTTGCTGAGGCTGTTGTGGGGGTCCTGGGCCCATGTGTGGTGGCATCGGAGGCGGGGGGACTCCTCCATGGATTTGGTGTGGTTGTACAGGCGGAAGCGAAGTAAGCAGCGCAGATATAGATGGGATAACAGTTTCGCCTCCCTGGCCGGGTTTCTTCTTGACAACATCGTTGATGTGGTAGCCAAGGCGCTCAGCTCTAGCCAAAGCGTTGATGAGGTCCTGGGCCCCGATGGTTTCCAAACGTGTGGCCATGACCCTATCCTGGAACCGTTCACCAAGCTTGGGACCAATGAGGTCTGCGATTTCATCAAGGTCTTCACCGCGAAAATGCTTGGCGATCTCACGTTTTGAATGCCTGAGCACCTTGTCACCATTCTCTGACATAGTGCGACTTAGGACTGTAGGATTGGAGTAGTTGATTGCGGCATTCGCCTGGAGATGTAATTAGACCGTGGTTCATCCATTGTGGTGTGAGAGCAAGAGGAGGACAAAGACATATGTAACGAAAGGGATGTTATGTGTGCAAGCATGAAACCGCAGTAGAACAAAGGCTAGAAGGAAAGAGGAAGAGAGATTATATCCTCCAGCAGATACCGGGTAGCATCGAAACACTTTGGAAAAAGAAACATGACAAGACAACTGATGAGTTCAAAAGAGAGCACGCGACTTACGATAAAGCCACAGTGATAGTCTGACCCAACCAGACACTTGTGCCAATTTTCCCGAACCACCTGCCGCACCACCGAGGCATCTGTGTTCTGCACCATGTCCATGAGTCTCTCGTACTCCCTGGTCTTTTCCGCGCTTGGAGCTGTCTTTGGGGCAATGGGCCCAAACTGTTTCTGACCGGGTTGGCCTGCTGCTGCCGGCCCAGACAGCGGCGGCGAAACAAGAGGCTGGTGGTTGCGATTCGGGACAGCAGCCGGGTAGCCGTTGCTGGCATTAGTAGTTGCGTTCGTAGGACTGGGCGCAAGGTTCGATGGCACAACTCTCTGCGACGATGCTGTAGGCGCTCCTCCATGGACAGGAACTGGCGGGGTGCTGCCCGTCACGGCGTTCGCCATGGCCGGCGGCTGGCTCACGGGCCCCATGGCTCCCGCTGGCTGGTCTGCGATTTGGGCTCTAATGGTGGAAATGACGGACGCGATGCCCTCACGCGTCTCGTTCTCGTTGATGCGCGGCGAAGGTGAGGCTTCTGGATTGAGTATATCCGAAGTCACAAGGGGAGGAGAAGCCGCCATGTTCGGACACGCGCATGGGGGGATAGATAAATGGGAATGGGGGGAGGAGACAAAGAACAGCGAAAATCGAGCTAAAGAGCTGGAAGGGCAGGGAAGACGGCAGAAAAGAGGAACTTTCTTGTTATGCAGGCCCTTTTGCTTGGGAAAAATCGCCAACCAACGCACAAAAAAAACTAGTTGCCTGATAACTGGTTGTTAAAATAACGAAATCCAGCTCGGGAACCTAAAGATAGCTAACTCACCCTATGCATGTGGCTCAAAGCAGCTAAAGCTAACCTACTGTCAAACTTCACGTTTAGTTGGCAGCAGGGATAGCTGAGGAAGGAGCCAGGCTCAGCGCAGAGCGAGATCGCGGATTCGCTGCCTCTTGCATGTAATCAAATAAAAAGGAAACAAAGAGGCTAGAGGGGTGGGCCTTATAAGCTATTAGTGCCTGAGAATCCAGGCCGCGACGCGCATCGGCTCTATCTATCACTTTTTTAATTAACTCGGGCCCACTTAGAGCTATGCACTAAAGCACCCCTATTGCCATTGCAGACTGGTTTATAACAAACGAAACTTATACGAAAATAATAGGCCGGTTTGCAGTTGTTGTCACCAACAGCAAGTCGTATTGCCACCGGCTGCTAATTTCCATGGCGCCCGTTGCCAAGCAGAGAGAGCGCTTAATGCGCATACTGGACAGAGGAGAGGGAAAATGAACAAGTCGAGCATGCTCCAAGTCGAATGATCCTACCGTTGCAAAAGCAAAAAAGAGACATGTGATTCAGAATGTATGATGATATGTTACGAGTAATCTAGCAGGACAGCGGAACAAAAAGTCAAACAACCCCTGTCATGTTACAGCACAGCTCGCAGGACCCGTACTAGTTAGCACTTAGTCTGCTTAATATATACACATAGCCCGCTCCGCTGGGTCGAAATGCGACATCGTAATATAATATTACTAAAATATCCACTGCAAACACTCGCAGATAGTATCCTGTCACGGCCTTCTGCAGGGGACTTGCTGATAAATTAATTCTCCACGAGCTTTTTAGCAGTGCAACCCAATACTTTATTACAGTTAAGTACGACTCAGTATTGTAACAATCCATGCTCTCACCGTCTTACATAAGAATGGAAAGCTTAATTGTAACTGTTCATGCATGCACTATTCATTATTCATTAGCATCCTTTCCCGCAGTGTTTCACGACTCATCGTCGCATGACTCTACATGACAGGGCACTAATGCAACCAACAGAGCGTACCTCTCCGTTCTCCGTACAGGATTCTGCATACTTCTATGACATGTCATCTTCAATCATTCTTCACCGCATTACTGCGTACCTGGAAATCTTGAACCTCCATTTCATACTGCTTAGGTGCTAACTCCCTATGGATACTCGTGTGCGTGCTTAATCTTCAACTCCTCACTCTTGCATAGCTGCAAATCCATGTCGTCAGTCATAATCGTAAACCCTTCTCAGCAAAGTCCAGCAAAGTTTAGCAAAGTCCGACAAAGCCATCAACCACGGGCAAAGCACAAAGCCCCAGAAACCAGGTTTGCAGCCAGTCCAACAGCATCTTCAAGCGACTCAATCTTCTCCTTCCGAGTGCCGGCCCCAGCTTGATCCTCCTCCCTCATCGTGCCCTCCCATTCTGGTGCTTGTTTCTTGACGCTGGAGGTGTATTCATCCGCCCAAAAGGTGGCCTTCAACGCCGCTGCGTCCATTCCCCATCTCAAAGATGCTCCCTCCAAAAGAAAGTCCACTGACCTCCACCAGTCGCATCGCAGCTTGAGGGGTCGCGTGTACCGTCCCTTGCCGCGTTTGTTGAGCATCGCCCGGTGAGGCGCAGGGTATGAACCAAAGAAATCCTCTCGGGCATATCGAGGCAATGCTGGCAGTCGGGAGAGTCGCTCCATGATGATCTGCTGGCGGTGATAGACGAGATAAAAGTATCGCTGCTCCCACACATCGTCGTTCCATGTGCGCTTGCCATCTCGAGTCCTTCTCTGGAGGTATGGATATGTGGGGATCTCCGCAAGTCCAGCTTCCATGGCTTGCTTGTGATGTTCCCGCCAGGCGTGGAAACCGGCATCGCTGTGATAAATCAGCGTCTCGAAGAGAACGATGGCATCATCCAGGTCTCGCAGTAGCCGGCCCTCGTTGAGGTGGTTGTGGCAAGGTAGGTTATCCCATGGCCCAAATAGCTTCGTACAGAGGGCGTCTTGCTGGTCCCATTTGGGATTGACAGGAAGGGTTTCCATTGGAGCAAGATCCGCCGCAGGTGGAATGCTCTCCAGGGGCATCACAGTGCCTTCAGCCTCTTCCACTTTCATCTTGACGCAGAAATGATAATGAAAGCAGGTCGGATAGAGGTGCAGATATAACGCTGTAGGGATCAAGATAGAAATGGTGTTGGTGGGTGAAAATGGATACCTGCATCAACTCACATCGGATAGCAGTGCTTCATTAAAGGGAGAAAAAGATCTCACGAGCAAGACGAAGATGCTTTATATCTGCTTCCTGCAGAGGGGGGAGGGCGGGAACGAAGGAGAGCATCTGGCAATCGAGCAGGTTCTATTCACTAACCTGACTTCTGGGCAGCTTTGGCCGCCAACGGGCTGCTGTGCCACCAAGACAATCCATGCCGAGACGATATAGAAGATTAGACAAGAGCCAAGCTGTTTCTTGCCCTTTCGTTGTCAATAGAACGATAGAGAAAGAGCAAATAACGGGCGCAACTCTTGGGCAGGCGAGCTCTGATTCACAGCCGGGGAAATGAACAGATCAAATGCAATCCCCCCTAGCATTGGGGTATATTTAATGATACCTATCGTGTGACCACGGCGGAATACATTTACGAATGAGTGGTCACATTCATCTGAGGCTATTCTCTGGCCTCATACGTCATTCACTTGGGAGCTATCAAGAGGCATCAAAGTCAGATTCAAATTTCTTATTGAAGAATTGATTACCTTACCCCTCCTCTCCAACTTGATGTCCTGGTAGTACCTCGCCAAAATTTTGTTAATACAATGTAAAAAAGGGTTTCCAAACGCCTCATGATCTCCAGCCATCATTAAAGAATCTAGGTGTAAGTTTCCATTAGGGTGTAATCGTGTTGGGATTCCACCAATGCAGCTGCCGGCCCAAGAATTTATATGCTTTACTCTCCAACACAGGCAACCATCAGCTTCTGGTAATCACCAGATGTCTCTCCCCTGATACGAGTGGCCAATGGCTTCTTGTACCGATGCTGATAGGCCCCCTTGACGTTTGCAAGCTCGTTTCGATCCCAGTGGAATCGGATGGTTCGAGAAATGAGGAGATGGTCTTTGGTGCCCAAGCCGGCCATAGAATCCTCCAAAAGCTGCGCAGCGTGCATATATTTATCAACGGCATGACGGAGCTGAAACAGTAGAGCATCTCTCATGTGGCCAGAGAATTCCTGTACGATATTAGCTTATGCGCAAAGCAGCCAAAAGGCAAGGAGGTACTTACGCTCTGAATTACGGTATCCAAGTCGCGGTTGAACTTTTGCTTGTAGGTATGGGCGACGGCTCGGATCTGGTTGTCGTTTCTGTTGCTTAGAATGCTGCAAACCAGAATCTCGTCGGTGCCAACCTTGCCCTCGGTCGCCCTGTAGATGTTCATGACGTCCTCTTCCACTTGCTGTGGGTTTACTGGCGCTGAGTCCTCGGCTCGATTAGCAGCCAGCACTATCAAAAAATGCCTCTCCGTCTTGAGGCTTAGTTCACCCTTGACATCGTTCTCCAAGCTTCGTCGGAATGTTTGCTGATAGGCGCTCTTGATAGCTCTCAGGTCGGCGTTGGATCTTGACAGTAGAATATCATTCATGACAATCTCCTTAGTTCCCGGGCCCGCCATGGCATCGAACAGGTTATGAATGTCAGCCAACAGTGGACCACGGGCAAGCTGCACCAGACCAAATTCGAACCAACTCCTTGTCTCGCTCTTTATATCCTCTACCAGCCTGCGCTTGAAGGTGCGCTCGTAAGTGGATCGAATCACCTCAATCTGTAGCGGGTCTTTTCGCGAGAGCACGTTAATCAGTGTCTTCTCGTCCGTTCCAAAGCCTTTCATGGCCCCGCGCAAAGCCTGGGCATCGGGGGTGCCGTCCCATTGAATGATCTGGGGTGCGCCATAGCCAATAGACGGCGGCGTAGGCTGCACTGGGGGAGCTCCGTAAGGCGCCGGGGAAGGGGCACCGTAATGCCCTCCATGCTGCGGAGGAGGCGCTCCATATTGGCCTGGAGGAGGCGCTCCGTAGGGTTGCTGGTGTTGAGGAGGAGGAGCCCCGTATTGCTGAGGCGGCGGCTGTCCGTAGGGCGCTTGTGGTGGGGGATATTGGCCGGGAGGGGGCGGGGGAGACTGGTAATATCCTCCCTGCTGAGGGGGAGGATGCTGGCCGTATTGGCCTTGCTGGGCTGGAGGATATTGCCCATGAGGAGGAGGGTACTGGCCCTGCTGAGGAGGAGGATATTGGCCCTGTTGAGGAGGGGGATACTGGCCATAGCCCTGGGGAGGCGGCGGTTCTGCGATGTGTTAGATTGTGATCACAGGGCTAAACTAGTAGAGGATTGCGCGTCGCCGTCATCGCACAAGACTGCGCGACCAAGGACAGCTGGTTCGCGAAAAGGAAACAAAGAAAGAAAAAAATCCATTGGGGAGGCTACTTACGGCCGTAGGGCTGGCCATATCCTTGATAAGACATATTGGAGTGGGTGATTCCGCGGCGAGTTTCTGCGATGGAAGCGCAACGGTGGTGACGTCGTAGGTGCTATCGGGGAGGAAGTTTCCAGGTGGACGAAGGAACTGGGTGAAATCGGCTTATGTACCTCTGTGCCACCTGCCTACCAGAACCATCTGTGCAAGTTCCGCGCAGCTAGCCGCAAAGTTAGCAGCAAAACGTAACGACTGGAGCTTGTTCACGCACGATCTGCCTTGCGTGAGAATAAGCAAATAAGGTAGAGCCCACAGTTCATCCCTGGCGAGGCATTAGCCCTTATTGGCGCAAAGAGAGGGTCGTGGCTGTGTCTTCGGTTCGTTGGACGTCATGCAGCTTGTGAGCCTTGCAAATCACCTGCTCGCCGCCACAAAGAATAGATGGAATTGCGCGTTTGATGTCATTGCCGCCGCGCAAGACATTGAGTGTTTTGACATTAGTTGAAATCATCCCAACTATTTGACATAGCCGCCTGCTTTATTCTGCTTTATTCCACACGACATCCATCGAGACGGGCTCGGCAGCAAGTACTAGGTAGTGTTATAATCTCCGTAGCCGGGCTTGAATCATGATTCCACAATCAGCACCACTGCAAGAATTTGTCCGACTGAACAGGTGGACCGTCATCAGCTTACTGATCACTGCTGTCCGGCACTTCAAATTACTACTGTAATATCACTTGAACTCCTGAACACTTGATGCAAGGGGATTTTGATTATAAGCTTCTTTGGCCGTGGTGGGTCTCCTTGCTGTGGGATTTTGCAGGTCCTGGCCCATGCAGTCATCAATCAATGCAAGGGACAATGAGGCTCCATGTCCTGTTAAGCGCTGTGGCGGGCTTTGTTCGACATCCGGGACACCGCCACACGCATTGCGCAAGCGACATGGCTTGAGGATGTAAACGCCACAGCCGTGGCTTGGAAATGATCTCAAACGTCGTGTCTTTGATGGGAAATGATGTTCTAGCTGGGATAAAGCATGGATGCGTCGACTGTTGCTTTGATAATTCCCTGAAGGTGCGCAAGGACAGAAATAGCACAGCCATCAAAGGAGCTTGGTGTCGTAATGTCACGTGCGCATCCATTGCTTCTCACTCTTGTCAACATGTTCACCTCATGTACCGAGTACTGGATGTTCCTGCATTTGAAGCTTTCATGTAGGTACAGCAGAGATGCAGACCAAAGCGATCCAATGCCGAGTACTAAGCCAAACAGCAACTGTCGGCCCAAAGCAGCCCTGGCATTGACTCGTACGAGCATCCAGGTCGTTTCCATGTTATCAGTTTATAGAAGGCCGCTCACTACAAGGTCCCCTGTAATAGCTCGCTGCCACAGCCTTCACATAGGGACACTTAGTGCTCTAGTGTTTCCCCGACTCTCCTCCATTGCCCCACTGCACCGCTTACCTTCTGGACCCCTTGCGCTGTCGATTTGGCGGCCCGATCCCGAGACCAGCCTCCGGAATTCCCAGCCACCAGCCATCGCATTTCCAACCGCCTTATCCATAGAATTCGGCCACAGTGGCAGCCGCCCAACATGCTGCTCTTCTCCGCTCCCCTCCTATCACATTCCTCCATCCAGGCAAACCGCTAAGCGATCAAATACGAGTACTTCGTTTTGCTCTGCATTCCTCGTTCTCTTAGCCGCTTTCAGCCTCCCTGCATGCCTGCCTTATAACGCCGTTAGAAGAGCGAAGAGAGAAGAGAAGCTTGTTCAAGATGCGTGGCGATCTCTCTCTGATCCTTGCTCTCTCTACATGCCTCTCCATAACAGCTGCTCTCCCCCAACGGGCGCTAGTTCTCCGAGGATCCCCGGTAAACGACCACAAGAAACCCAAATACTCTGTTGTGCCTCTCGAGCCAGGAGAAGGAGATCCGCCGGGCGGAGGTGGTGGAGGAAATAATGGCGGCGGAGGAGGTGGTGGTACCGTCACGGTGATTGAGACTGTTGTCGAGACCAAAACTCCTGCTAAGACGGTCACCGAGACTGCAAAGGCCTCAACCGTCACCCGCACGGTCCCGACGACGGTGTCGATTGTCGACATAACGGCACCTGCAGACGTGACAAAGACTATTCAAGTTACCGTCACCCCCTCTCACGCCTCTCACAAACATAGCACAACCACTGCATCGACGACAGTCACAACTCGGCCACACGTGACAAGCAAGACCTCGAAGATAACTTCTACCTCGAAAGCTACCACTTATAAGGCCGTTACTACATCATCTCAAAGCGCCTCGAAAACAGCGTCGTCGACTTCGGTGCCACTGATCAGCTCTCACCGAGCCACTTCTTCGGCGTCTCAAACGACGAGCACGTCCAGTACAACTGCATCGGGTGTAACTACCACGTCAATAATATACCCAATCCCACCTCCTTCATGGCCGACCAACTCTACGATATCGCAGTCCAGCTCCACGACATCTCAATCTAGCTCCATGGCACTGCCATCCAGCTCTACGGCATCGCAATCTAGCTCTACGATATCTCAGTCCAGCTCCTCAACATGGCAATCTAGCTCCACGACGTGGCAATTTAGCTCTACGACATCACAGCCTAGCTCTACAACATCACAATCTAGCTCTACGGCGTCGTCTTCAAGATCGTCTTCCTCTTGGTGGACCACGCCAGTCCTGTCGAGCACAACTTCTACCTTTACCACCGTCTATACTCCTTCATCTACTAGCACAAACGATAACGGCCAGTGGCACACCACGTATCCTGCCTGGAACGGGACAGCCCTACATCGTTTCAAATGAAAGACATGATGAACCAGCGAGACAAGACTTGTCTATAACATACAATCGTACATATTGAAACTTCGAAGGACATATCCAGCTCCTACCAAGGAGTACAAGAAGATACGGCAAAATTTCCAGGAGCATAGATTGCATTGCATCTAAGTTTCTGGATATTTTTTGCCTTTTTTTGCATTTGCATTTCCTGTTTTATGCTTTCTGTTTACCGAATAATGATAATGCTTTCAAAGACGAATGAATCCGGGTGTTTGCTTGGAGAGCCGCCTCACTGCCGCGGGAAAGCAAACTTTTCATAAGAGATGGCAGGGGTTCTCTCCCGGCTGTTGCAACGCAAACCAAGAGCTGGGTCGTGTTGCCGCTTTACGTGTAACTCATGAGATGGTTGGATACAGAATGGGGATGAAGGTGGGTCAAGGAGTTAGCAATGAGTGAAAGATTGTTATGTAGCGTTGGTCTTTATGCTTTAAATTGCCAATATCTATGTTTTATGAAGAGCCTCAAGCCACGAGTAATCAGCATTGTGTAACCGCCATGGCGCTACTGAAGTTTGTTCCATCTTCTAGATCACGGACAGCTGCATACAGCATTCCATTTGCATGCACCCGCCCGAGCGAGACAATATTAAGCGCCTCAGCTGATACAAGACAACAATCTGAAGATTCGAGGCGGACAATGGCAATCCTCCTGGGTCATCCGATTATTCCAATCAAACATGTTTCCCTCGAAGCTTTAAGTACCTAGGTAGGCCAACAGATGTTTTCTCTCTTCCTTCTTCCCTTTTATCTTGCATCTACTTCACTCGTTTCTATCTTGTTGGTGTGCTATCACGGAGTCTTTACGTTGAGCGGTTTCATCACACACAATCTGTACGTCTCACGAACGTCTCGATCCCCATTCGTGTCTAACATATTGAACCAGAAACGTTATCTCAATTTTCTACGACCTTACACTTGACAGAGCTGAAAAGCTGTGACAATCAAGCTTTAACACCTCGATTATCCTCCAGCAACAACTCCCCCCTCTTGGACCATGGCTTCTCTTGCCCCAAGCGCCGTCGATGTCAACACGGAGACTATAGTGGTGGCATCTTGTCTAGGCGGAGGCCTGCTCCTCGCTACAGCTCTCATCGTAACAATCATGATTGTGAAGAGGAGGGCGCGGCTGAGGAAGCTCCAGGAGAAGGATCTCAAGATGGAGGCCACCAAGGCCTGGGCAAGAGAAGTATGAGGATGGAATCATAGGTAGAGCATTGTGGCGAGGGGAAATGTGATCGAGTGAAGTTTTCCGATCGTCTCATTACGAGACTGCATTACAGCCTGATAATGGATGGCTATCTGGCAGCTTAAACTGGGTAATGGAGCCATGATTCACCTCCTGGCGAGTGTGCATCACAATCACAATCAATATTTTGCTGGCACATCATGGCGCTACCGTCTCACCCATTCAGAGGCAACCCTGTGAAGCTATTCAGCGACCTGTAAAACGCTCCAATAGAATACATCCACGTCTGAAGCGGACCCCACAAGGCACCGATTCGCTTGAGATGACTCGATCCAGACTTTTCATGTAGAAAAGTAAGACTTGGTTTATCAATCTACTCATCGCTCCCAGGGCGGTGGTAAGCTTTCTATAACCTTGATAGGCGGAATCACTTTCAACCTGGTGGAAGATTAAGACAAGCTCTCTAGAGAAAATTGGGCATACCGAACGCTGGAACTTGCAATCGCTCACTCACTTACTCGCTCTCAACAAAGCCTTGCAAAGATTACACGTCGAACTCGAGCAATCACAGTCTTTCTGTCAGAATGAAAGACCCTGGACTGTTGGTTCCTGGCTGGGCACTCTTGGCCCGTGTGGCTGCTCCCCCGATGCTCACCCGCGACGAGCCCACGTTGGAGACACTATCTCGCACCGGCTCGAACAACAGCTCAGATGCTGGTTCAGACCCTCACTCAGAACCTCATCCTGATCCTCTTTTAGATCTTCATCCTGAAGTTCATCCTGTTATTCGTCCAGATGTTCGTCCAGAATCTCGTTCGGAGCCTCATTCGGATTCTCTTCTAGATCTCCATTCGGATCTTCATTCAGACCCTCGATCAGATCCTATTTCAGATCTCCGCCCAGACCCTCTTCTAGATGTTCATCCTGATTATCATCCAGATGTTCGTTCAGAGTCTCATTCAGAGTCTCATTCAGAGTCTCATTCAGAGTCTCATTCAGAGTCTCATTCAGAGTCTCATTCAGAGTCTCATTCAGAGCCTCATTCGGATTCTCTTTTAGATCTTCATTCGAATCTTCATGCAGAACCTCATGCAGATCCTATTTTAGATGTTCATCCTGATGTCCGTCCAGATATTCGTTCGGAGCCTCATTCGGATCCTCTTTCAGATCTCCATTCAGACCTCCGTTCAGGCCCCCATTCAGACCCTCGTTCAGATTTCCGTTCAGATCCTCTTTTGGATCTTCATCCAGACTCTTTTTCAGATCTTCATCCAGACCCACCGAGATATTTTGATCTAGACCCTCGCTCAAATCCTCAGCTAGCACGGCCCACGGGCGAGATGTGTTCTCCAGAGGGCCAATGGAATTGCATGACAACCTCATGGCAGCGCTGCGCAAGCGGCATGTGGAGCGCCGTGATTCCATGTGCGGCGGGGACAATCTGCCAGCCTTTTGGGCTTACGGATTTCATTACCATTGAGCACGATCCAAGTGCCATCGCTGGTTATGGGGATAATGGCCATGCGAGTGATGGTGGTCGTGATAAGAGTGGGAAGAAGAGTGTTGGCCTTAGAAACTCACCCGGCCTGGTCTTGCTCGCTGGGGCGGTTGTGACTGGGGTTTCTTGGAGTTTTCTTGTGTGAATCGAGATTGGCAAGCTTTATGAGGAATGCATCAAATTAGCTGCGTAAAAAGAACACATCATGAAATTGGACTTAGCTAGCTTCGGTGGAGAGGGGATAATGCAAGCGGGAAAATATCCGCCACTACGACGTGATTCCTGCAGGCTACATGTGCTCGATAGATATGCCGAATTTCGCATTGGATCGCAAATTGAGGCGGATGCTGTTGGCATCACAACGGATGGAAGACCGCAGCGCCATATGAGAAAAGAGCAAATCAATTTATATGAAGCCAAGAGGGTATTGATGTATGAAAAGGAAAGATGTGTACGGAGTGCCCGCACGTTTGAAGCTCAACCTCCACTCCCCAAACTTCGTGATTATTTCCTCTTCCAGTAGCCTCGCCCGCCCGTATAAGACGTGACCCAGTCCTACCGACAATATGTACTCGTACCGTACATGCGCTTAGATGAGGTGGGCTTATCTGGCTGTGGTTGATTCACTATATTTGTCATATCCTCTCGGTGTGCATAGACGTGCATCCATGCTGCAATAGTTGCGCCGGCGGAAACGGATCCGCAAGAATCTCTTTGGTGCCCGCTGCTGCGCTCCTCTTTTTAGCTGGTAGTCAGGACTCTGGAATCTTTTCTTTTCTCCTCCTATTTCAATCAATCAGACCGAGAAAGAACAAATCCCTCTGGTAAGAGGACGGTCTTTGTAAGTTCAGCTTCAAAAGAGCTGCGAGGAAGAAGGAAACATGGGGTCAAAGGGGACCATCATCGTCACAGGGGCCAACGGCGGACTTGGCTCCGCCATTGTGCAGAACATCCTCGGCACTCCAGACCTGGCCTCGAACTACACCGGCGTGTATGCTGTGCGAAAGGCCGCGACTGCGACGAAGCTCAACGCGGCTCTGTCTCGGGCCCCGGCAAATCACAAGCATGAGACGGTTGATGTCGACCTAGGTTCGTTGGCAGATATCAGGAAGGCGGCCACGGACATCAACGACAAGGTGGCCAAGGGCGAGTTGCCTAGGATCCGGGCCCTGATTTTGAATGCCGGATATCAAGACCACGCGGGCATTGTAAGTTCACCTATGCTGCTAACCATCCAATAGTCAGTTTATTGACATGGGGTATTCCAGGCCATGAGCAAGGATGGTTTCGAAATGTCATGGCAGGTCAACTTTCTGTCCAATCTGCTCCTGTCACTCCTCCTCCTGCAGAGCATGGATGCGCAAGAGGGCCGTATTCTCCTTGTTGGCAGCTGGGCCCATAAGTAAGTATAAGACATATATCATCGAAAGAGCACAGCGAAGGAGGCTCGAGACTGAATCCCTGAATCCCTCTGCAGCATAGAAGACAAGCGCAACGATGTGACAAGCGCATACAAGGATCCAAGATATCCAACTCTGTATCCAGGCGTAGAAGCCCTCGCCAAAGGTGAATGGAGCAGACCAGAAGAAGACCCAACAACCAACTCAGGCTTTCGTCGCTACGGTGCCAGCAAACTTTGCGCCATAATGTTGTGGTGAGAAGCATCCTCTCTCTTTTTTTATTTCATTCGGGCTTTTGAAGAGTCCGCCACTGACAATGCTCTTATAGCGAGGAATTGGCAAGCCGCATTGCCAAGGACCCCAAACTGAGCAACATCTCCGTCATCGACTTGGACCCGGGCGGCATGCCCACCGGCATCGCCCGCAGAGCAGGCTTCCTCATCAGCTTCGTCGTCATGAAGCTCGTGCTGCCCGTCGTCACCGAGATTAGCGTGCGAGTGAAGCCCAATGGCGTCATCAGGACTCCGTGGAAGAGCGCTGCGGACGCCGTTAGGGCTTGCTTCGAGATTGAGGCTCACCGCGGCGAGGTGTTGCATTTGGACGGCACGTCAACGGACCTGCTGGTCGCAAAAGAGACAAAAGATGAGGAGAAGAGAAAGCAAGTGTGGGAATACGGCTTGAAGGCGGCGCACATTGAAGAAGGGGACACTGTTTTGGTGGATTGGAAATAGTCATCAAGAGCTGAACGGGATACGCACCTGATCACAGACAGGTTTGAAATACCTTTAGTTTTGTACGAGCCAAGATTGACACACACACGGCATATGTAATTACATGTATATAAAGCCACCTTGCTGTCAACATTAGTGTCATGTTAAAATCTCATGTAATCCTTGATGGAGGACAGTATGAGATTGTTTCTCTATGGCCATAATAGAATAGTAGTATATGGAAATGGACAACCGACCATCAGATCTCCTTCATTAGTGGAAGTTTCTCCTGATTCGATCGTTATCCTTCTTATTAGTTATTAGCATCTACCAATAGGATCATCTACTGTTCGACCGGATCTGTCTCTCCTTCTGGAAACTCGAGGCCGAATATTCAAAATCGATGGGTGATTTCGACTGGGACCCCCCTTGCGTCTGATGTAAGGCACTAGGGCATGAAACAGACGCCGTCATTTTCAAAGGACGAGATGGGAAATGGCACTAAGAATAGAGGCGAGTAAGATTTCTTCCGGGGCACCGATCTGTGCTCCAGGCCCCATACAGTGGGGAGATGACGCCGTGATACTCTGACTCGGTGTTTGGATTAGATGATGTCAAGAACCGTTCAATGTTGACGATGCAAGTCATAGACCGCCAACACCAACTCTATGAACACGCTCTAATCTACTCCGTACTCGGATATTCTTCACCTGGTCAAGTACGCAGAAGTACCAAGGTCTTCAATTCTGTCGTAAGACTAGAGCAGATAATGGCCTGTTCTGTTGGCCCCCTGAGATAGTCTATCGGACAGATGTTTCATGTTTCTTAAGCTGCCCGCTTGCGATATCCGATTGGAGGTGCAATAACTTCAAGGATTCGAGAAAATAGGGAGCCCCCACATCGAGCCGTCCAGTCCAGTGTCGCCGTTTCAACCGCATCTGCACCAGCACTCGCGCTCGCAATTCTTTACTCTGTGCGCCGTTCGTGGTTACATTCGATGCAGCGTCCCTTTGGCTAAATGTCACTTTGGTGCCAGCAGCCACTCAATTGGCGCCGAAACACATCTGTGACAATGTCGAGCGTGGGGCCCCCGTGGTCCTCGAGCTGTCACCAGCGCGTCAATTGGTTGGTGGATGAACGCTGCCGCTAGAGATGCCACTCTCGTGCAACATATTTGGGTCTGTTTCTGCCCACAGGCTGCAGATCAAGGCGTCTGTCCGTCTGGTGATGAATGATGACGGCGGCAGTTTAGTCGGCCATATATACTGAGGTGTCCAAACTAAATGTCTCGAGGGTTGAAAGAATGGAAGAGAACCGCCGATCTGCTGAGAGAAGAGGAAGGTCAGCTGTACCGCCTTAGCAGCCTCTTTCTGTGTCAAGTAAAGAGCAGCCTCATTTCAACTGCATCGCGTCTGACACGCACTTTGCCTGCCATCGAACTTTAATTTCCTCCATCTCAACTGTCATCCCATCCGCGCAGTCTTTTTTTTTTTTTTTTGTCTCTCTCCGCTCCGAGCGAGATTCCTTTCAATCCGATCTCCGGATTCTCGGTGCTCACAAGACGTGCCAGTCACACATTCCTGCACGTTGAGAACGGATGCACGGCTAAACAGGAGCTGAGACCTGTCTGACACAAAACGCTGCGAACGAGCACCAGCTGCTTGCAACAAGTGCGCCTGTGGCAGCTCCCACGGGCACTAAAGCACCGCGGTCCCCCCCGCTAAAGGTCCTGCGGCGCATCCCCTGGAAAAGCCGTGCACCCAAAAATACAGCGCCCAGTCCATCAATCAGCCATCAGCCATTCATACCATGTGGGACCGCCCCCGAACCTCTGCCACAGCGGGTCTCGACAGGCTGCACCGGCCCTCCATCCGGCATCAGCTTAAAGACGGCCCCAGCACAGACAAGCCAGAGATTTATCTGTACGAGTACAGCCCTGCCAATAATGCTCTGGGCATCGCCGTCTCCAGCTTCAACTCCAGACTTTACAATCACCAGAAACCGCAAAGACCGCAGAGACCACCGAGGCCAGAGAGGCCAGAGATAGTGCACGATAAGCAGATACTACCATTATTCGCCGCTGCATCATCAACCGAGGGAATTGGAATGTACGTACATCTCCCGAGTTACGACTGGAATTGGCCTGTCTGGCCGTGGCTGCGTCATGCAGATTGTTATCCTATCCTACCTTGTGTGCTGCGTTGCCACCTTGTTTTGATGCTGTCATTCGCCCGAGAGCACATGCCGGTTCGTTGGTGAAGGGCACAGCCTTGGGCGAATGCGCGTCAAACAAGGAAACAAAGGGAAAAAACAAGCTGGAGGCCAATCGTGCATCGGACTATTTCCCCATCACCGTTGGTTGGTCGCATGATGCTGCTACTACAACCCGCCGGCTCACGCTATCTGCACTGCCCACTGCCTATTGCTCTGTTCATTTGTTTGAAATAGCCAACAAACGGCTTGCGGCTGACGTGAACATCTTTTCCCCAGTTCCAGATTTCCGACAGACGATCCTGCTGATTTTGCAGACGCATCGTCGCGCATCGCCGTTGAGCCGCCACCGAGGAACCCTAGACGATTATTGCGAGTGCGACAAGACTCGAAGGATTGCGCACCAGCATATCCATATCCCGAACTTCAGATCGTGACCGATTCGGAATCCACCTCTACGAGTACTAGCGACGGAGACGGATACTCTTCGTCCCCGACCTCCAATTTCAAGCTGGCTTCGACATATTCGAGGCGGCGCCTTCCAGCGCTCGACCAAATCTCGCCTCCAAGCTCGCCGGAACTTGGCGCTTTCAAGAATAAGTAAGTGCTTTATATCCATGTTAGCGCTTTAAACTAGGTATCCGTTCAACTATTTCCATTGAACAAAGAACTCGGGCTTTTCTGGGTTTCAACCGTGTTTCAATATTGTTCAATACTGGTACTGACAAATGATTGCCGCGCAGCGCACCTGTCTCTCCCCTGGACGACGATGACGCCGACGTCCCTCGAGAGTATCCTTTTAGAGGGCAGCAGCCCACACAGTCGTTTACGACACAGCAGCGCCAAATGAGCCAAGTTCCCGTTCCCGTACATCAATACACTGCCTACCAGCCCGCTCCGGACTTGTACGATACATCTTTTGAGAACCCAAGAAGCCTCGAGGACGTGCCAGCCCCATTGCAACAAGGCGCATTACCGCGGAGTACCAAGATGCGCATAAGGGTTCCCACTGACACTTCAGCTGTTGCCCAGCGATTTCGCTTTCTCACCAAGGGCAAGTCGGAGCCAACAGAGAATCTGGCCGATCGACCAAGGCAAAATGGGGCGCCGCCCATTCACATCCCCCGGAGGAGCAGCAAGCGTGCAAGCCGCACCCCAAATGGCCTTCGAAACATATCAGCTCCCCTGCCACCTATTCAGTCTGGCACTCAGTTGGAAACACCTCCGCGCCAGCAGGCAGCCACCGACCGCGAGCTTCTTCCGTCTTCATTGGCTCCAAAGCCACTAAACATAACACCAGCAGCAAACAAGGTTGCGTCGCGCAATACCAATGCTAATATCGGTGATAATGCGCTTCCTACGCCGCCTAATCATGACTACCCGACTCCGCTATCCATACCATCAGCTCGATCACAGTCACCTGCCGTCCAAGATTTGACTCCTACCGGGCCTAGGATCATCAAGAGGAAGCCGCCGCAAACCCACCAAGCCCAACCTTCGGCGCCATCCAACCTATCAAGTTCAAGTCCGGCCTACATCAATCCTCCTCCTCGGAGAGCCTCGGCCGCAGCCGTCACTGGGTTCCATGAGGCCCCCCCCAAACGCTCCAATACTGATGAGGCGTGGATGCAACCTCCGTCACGCTTCAGTGTCACCACTTATGCTACATCGAACGCAGGGACTCCTCCACAGGCTGCTGTGGAGCAGATGCCCGCAAACGCACCGGTTACTACTTCGATGATGAGCCGTCCAGGTCCATTTGCGAAGCGGGACAATGCCCATACCCCTATAACGATTCCTAAGCAGAGGGCCTACATGTCCAGTCCATATGGAGCCGATGATCAGATGGCGGTGTCGAGCGAAGTATCTCTTAGTGAACCGCGCCGCACCCGAGCCGGCAGCAATACGGAGTCCACCGGCCGAAGCTCCATTCTGTCTACTGCCAAGCCGCTTCCACCCGCACCTCCGGAGTTGGCATCAGCACCCGATGACAGGATTGCGCAACTAAATGCCTCTCTCTCGGCACTGGCGCACCGCAGAGTCAACATCAACAAAAGTATCCAACAAATGACAGAGCTGATGCCGCGAGATAACCTGATGGCCAGCGCAGAAGTGCTCCGAAAGAGGGAGGTTGAGAAGCAAAAAGTAGAGGGGCTGAAACAGGAGCTGGCTGAGATTCAACATGAAGAGTATGACTTGGGCTTGAAGCTGCATAGGGCTTACAAGCGTCAGGAGAAGGATGCAGAATTCGAAGTTACTGGCCTGTGGGTGCGAAGGATCACAAGCTGATTGGCGACGTGACTTGCTGAGCCTGGCGCTGGGAATTGTTTTGGTGGGTTTTTATTCTTTGCTGGTCAAGAAACTTGGGACATGTACGAATATGGGTTGAAAAGGGCATAATCCGGCGTAACATAAGGATATAGGATCAAATTATGAGAATTGGTTTAACTATTTCTATCATCTATCTGTCTATTTTCTGGCCTGTTTCCAGTGTTCTTAACTCAACCAGGAGAGAATCCAAAATATGCACAGTAAGCACACAAACAAAACATACAGCTCGCCAAAGGACAACAATATTGACCAAACGATGAAATGCAGGGCAAAGATGGTGATGGCGGGGGCGCATAGATTGCCAAGGACTGTGAGCTTTGAGAATACACGGCGGAATGGTTCAAGACTACGCTTGATGAGGAGGATAACACGGATACGTGTGATGTATAAGGTCAAACTTGCTTGGTTATAGAGTGATGTAATGATTTCGGCGTGCCATAAGCATATGCTATAGAAGTGTAGTACGTATAGTACGGAAAGTTGCACAAACTCATGTAGGCGAAGAAGTTGCGCTTGAATGAAAAAGAATATAGAGGACGTCCAACTTTGTCGAAGCTGGAATGTTTCCTCAGGTGGAGGAGGAGTATAAGCAGCTTTGACATCGACTGGGTCGGCCAAACTGTCAATAGACTTGTAAAGCTCGGGCTTAGAATTGATCTCGAGCTCATCAGTGAAATGATCCTCCTTCTCATCCTTGTCTATAACCTTATCGCGGGATACTTCATCGAGCTGAATTCCATGAATATGAGCAGCTATATTCCGTACACTCAACTGAACAGACTCCGCAAAGTCAGCATAAACCGGTAACAGCGCCTCTTTCGCAAGACATGCGAACTTGGCAAGATAGTGCAGGAAATATATCGCAGCGAGGAGGACGTGCGCGAGAATAAGCAGGACAAGATTCTGTATGAGCGGCCAAGGCGAGGTGCGGTGGGCGAGAAGGTTGCATATGAGGCTGTACAGGATGAAAAGCCTGGATGTTGTTGGCGATGGCGGGAAGTGCGCTGGACAGAGGCGGTAGAGGAGGATGAGGATGAGGAGGGGGGTGAGATGAATGAGGAGGGACATTTTGGGTTTGTTTGGCGGGTTGGATTCATGGTGAGTTTGGTTTTGCGTGTTTTGGTGTATTTATATTTATGTTTATTGATGTATTTGTGTATTCGGTATGTGTTTTGTTGGTAGAGGTTGTGAACAAAGATGTTGAACGGTGTTGAAAGAATTGGTTGTAGGGTAGATTGTTGCTTTGACTGATACGGCTGTTCAAAGGTGGACTACAAAGAGGATGGTTCACGAGCAACATTTGATAAGGGAACGCCTATGCAGCATCCGATGTCGCAAATAATACCGAATACTAGACGAATATAATTATAGTAGTAAATATAGATAAAAATAGCTATAGTAGGAGATACTAGAAGAATGAAGCCGTAGTAGTAGATACTAGACCACTATAGCTATAGTAGCAGAAAGCGAATAATGAGCACATGGCTAAAAACATAACAAGACTTAAACACGTACACGTGCAATTCCAAAATTAGCTTGCGTCAAAGAAATTATATGGATTCATATCGCCCATGTGGGCCGCGCCTCTTCATCTCGTCAATCGCCTGGATATACACAGCTCGATACTAAAAGGGTGTGTACTATGCAAAAAAACAAAAACTAAAACAGTAAACCATCAATGATATATACATGACAAAAACAATGCATTCGTTCCATGACAGACACCCTCTCCGTTTCCCTCTATTCAGCTAAACCAGGAACATCTAATGTAGACTCGTTTCCCCCAATTTACTCATTCAACCAGTCAAGGACAACCTTGGTGAAGTTGGAGGGAGCAGAGATCTGAGGAGCGTGGCCTAGGGTGGGGAACTGGTACAGAGTGCAGTCGGGGATCTCGGCGCAGACCTGAGGACCCAGGACGTTGAAGTGGCCGAGCTTGGCGGCAACCTCCGGGGGAGACCAGTTGGAGCCGATGGCGACCTTGTCCTGGTCACCGACGATGAGCAGAGTCTTGGAGACAATGTCGCCAAAATAGTGGGCTTGGGACGAGGTCAGCACCATGTCGACGATCTGGCCCTGGTTCTTGAGGAACTGGGTGCGCTTGGAGCCGAAGTAGACGTTGTTGAGCATGGTGACCCAGATGGTGTACGAGTCGTCCCACTGGCCGACGTAGTAGATCTGCTGCTCGTAGGCCTTGAGGGCGTCAAAGTTCTGGGCGGCCTCGGCGGCGATGTCGTCGTCGACGGAGACGTAGGGCACGCCCTTCTCGACGTAGTCCTCCAGGCCGACGGGGTCGACCAGGACCAGGCGGTCGATGGTGCTGGGGTACTGCAGGGCGAAGCGGGTGCTGAGCATGCCGCCGACGGAGTGGCCGATCAGGGTGATGTTGCCGATTCCCAGCGTGTTGAGGAGGCCGCGGGTGTTCCAGGCCAGCTGGTTGAGGCTGAACTGGTAGTTGTCGGGCTTGGAGCTCTTGCACCAGCCGACCTGGTCCGGCGCAATGACGCGGTATCCGGCGCCGGCGAGGGCGATGATGGTGGAGTTCCAGGTAGGGCCGCAGAAGTTCTTGCCGTGGAGCAGCACCGCCGTCTCGCCGTTGGGGGCGCACGTGGGCTTGATGTCCATGTAGGCCATCTGCAGCTTCTGCTGCTGGCTGGTGAAGGTGAAGACGTTGACGGGCCAGGGGTATGTGAAGTTGGAGCCGTTGAGGTCGAAGGGGAACGGGCCCTTGGAGATGGTGCCGTTGGCAGCCTCCTGGGCGAAAGCCAGGCCGGCGGCCGAGAGGAGGCCAGAGGCGAGAGTAGAGAACTTCATGATGGCTTTGGGGAGGAGGGAGGAGAGGGCAGAGAGAGAGAGTCTGCTTGGTTCTTGACCTGGGAGAGAAGTTATTCTCGACGCAGACTCAATGCAGAAAAAGAAACAAAACGGGAGGGGGACAAGAGGCCTTTAAAACAAGCCATTGCCAGCTCCAAAGCCAGGGGAGGGCTGGCGATTGCGCGTGGCAAGCGGAGAAAGGTTCGTGGAATCGGACAGGGCTTCGACGAGGCTTGATGAGGCTTGACGAATTCAATCCATCTTGGGAGCATCCACAGGTACCGCAATTGTAGCGAGCACCGCCGGGCCAAGGTACTCATCAAGTACCCTTCAGCGAACAACAGCTGCTCGTCTTTGTACTCGTACTGTAATGCTGCGCGCAGCACGGCGGCCAACAAAGGCAAACGGGCGACAGACCGGTCTGCCCAGCAATCTCCATTCTTTCTTACCAACAGCAAAACGGGCTGCGAATATGGAGAAGCAGCAATCTATGCCCCCCATTAGCGGCATGTACTTGGCTCAGGTTGTCTGCATTTAATTACCTCGACATGGCTAGCATCCCCCCTTCTCCGCGGCAGCGCCAGCCGAAGTGCAGCCACCGCAATCTTAGTGCGCGGTACCATCGAGGTACGGGGGGCGATACCTGGGGCGGTACCTGCAGCACCCCGACACGATACCTGCGGTTAATTTTCCTATTGCGTGCCCCTCCGTTCGGCACGAGACGCTGTTGGTCCTTGATTCGCTGCTTGGGGGCTTGGCTAAACCAGGCGGAGGGAACAGTTTGCGTGCAGACGGCACCTCGATGCAACTTGAATAATATACCGGCAACACAGATCCTTTGGCCGGCTGCAACCGCAAGGGGGCAGACAACCTCCATAACGTAAACCAGCTGCAGGCGATGGACCAACAGCAGCAGCAATGATACGAGAGCTCTGTTCCCATGCTGGAGCGCATGAACCCTGGAAGCCCTGCCGCATCTCCTGGCCTGTGACATGCGACGAGCGAGCTCTGCAGCCGGAATGTCGCTGCCATGCCCTTTACTCGCTAACTCTGCTCCGTATATGTCGACGGGCAACTCAATTCGCAGCCAGGCATTAGGCCTTATCCACCTCTACTATATGGCCGGAAATATCGATTCCATCTCGTGCCGTATTACCATGGCCACGTTTTTCAACCGCTACTGTCCGCCTTGCCCGTTGCGGCTCGTTCAGCGAAGCAATGGATCCGTGCTAGCCATAGGCCCTGCTGCTTCTAGGACGAATACTGATCTATTGGTATCATAGTATCAAAACCAGCCTCATCAATGGGCTTACAGACGAAGCCCCATTCCCGCGTGCCACGTTTTTTCTCGGTTAGTTTTCTCTCTACTCATGCTGTCTGGACGGATGAGGTCTTGTCAGCACCCCAGAAAATGGTGGTTTGGTCAGCCATGTAGACCGGCCTTGTCCAATCAACTCGTGTCCTACGCCGTGTCCCGGCCGAGTTTACCGTCCTCACCGCAGGAGCTGAGAAGGCTGGCCCTCCGGGTCCCATTCAGCAGACTGCTCTTCTACGCCTTCTAGCGTCTTGGCATCAGTTCAGTGACCTTCTCGCCTCCTCCCGTAGGCTATGCCGTCCAATGGATCAAGAGCTGACGGGGGGCTTTCTGGGGCTTTGACAGCGCCGGACCCGTCACTTCTCTTGAAAGCTTCAATCTGCGGCCATGAAAGAGGAAATCATCCTACCAGCTGTGGGTGAAAGCTGAGGAATGACGAGATGAAAGAGACAAACTATTGCTTTCTAGCTCCTCGTTAAGTAATCTCTCCTTACTAGCTATTAATGCAAGCCGCGGAACGCAACTCGCGGTCAGGAGAGAAAAAGGGAGAGAGAACAGAGAGGAAAGAGAAAAGAGAGGAGAATGAATGGTTGTTTTCTCTTTCCTGTCGGCCAAAGGCGACGACTATGGTGCTGAGATATCTTGTGTGCGCATGGCAGCTACCAAAGACATGTAAAAGAGTAGCATGACGCACATCTCACCCAGATGAAATCTCTCCATGCTGGTTTAGGATTTCCTTCTATTCTTCTTTTCTTCACAAGGTTAAGATTTAATATTTATGCCTGTTTATGCGCCACCACTTGGCAGCGCGCTTATCCAGGCATTGCAAGAAAAAAAAAAGGACATGCGACGGAAGTGGATTGAGGATTTAACCGACCCATTACTTACCCACTGCCAATTCATTAACAAGCATGGCCAGGTTCATTCCCCACGGCAGAGCCGGCAAACCCGTCAGGGCTAGCATTCTGGACAAGACGGCTCTCACGGCACCTTTGGACTTTGCACCGCGGACGCAGCGCCACGGGGGGCATTTAATGGACTGGAGGCCCTTGATAAGTGTTTGGCGTTGTCCATAGCTCTGACTCCTTTTCTTCGCCATTGGAACTGGTAGCAAATAGAAGCCGACATTCGGAGTTGAAACTGACGCAGGAGCCGAGAATGGAGAGCCTCGCGGTTGAGCGGGCGTGGCGGTTTAGGGCTTCCGTGGAATGTGTGCCATTAGGTGGGCGCACGGCTAGACGAATATTAAAAGAGCGTCGAGGTAGCAGAGCGGCAGATGAAAGCGTTTGACGGACTCGAGGCGTCCATGCGAGCTTATATCCATATCGTCTTCTCCATGAAGCGCCGATCGAACATGTATTTGGTCTGTCCCGTTCCCCAGAGGGATCAGCGTTGTATCCATGCATGACACGCATCCGCGAAATCTTGCACCATCAGATAACCTGAGCTGTTGAGCGAGCGAGCAGGTCGACTGAGAGGCTTCCCTCTTCTCCCCTCGGCCATCTACCGGCCTGCCCCTCACGCTGTCCCTTCTCCAAGCGTTGTTAGTAACGGCCACAGTGAGGCCAGTGAGGCCAAAAGCAGGCGACGGCTTGCTCTGGTGCTTACAAGTACGGCCAACTTGCCCAATCCAGACACCGGCAAAAGGCTGGGCGCAGGCACTAAGAGACGTCGTCGAAGCAGGGTTTCGATTGACGACATGTCGTTCGCCTCTTTGCGCTTGTATTGAAAGAGTGAGGGGCCAAGCCATCCGGGATACCCTGGACCGCCTGAAAGGCGCCACAACCCTGAGGCGCTGTCGTATCGCAGAAGCACTAAGAGCGCCTAGTGGCTCCCAGAGGTACATGGAGGTACCTTTGTTGTTGGCCGGTGCTTACCAGTATTTCCGTGCACCCAGGCAGGTACAGAACCTTGCACGCAGGCATTTAGCAGAGGAGGAATCCTTCAACAGAACTGAGGCCTGAAAATGCCAAGGCAGCATCAGGAGCGCTTTTCCCGCATATCTACGGCGAAAAGCTCAGCGAGTGTCGTGATTGACTGTTTTTGCATCGTTCAATTACAGTTTGCTTCTTTTTAAGCTTCCTCAATCAACTGACTCGAGAATGTCACGATCCGATTGATCTGCGGGAGATCGTAGCGGCCCTCCCGCCCGCAAGCTTTTATCGAAGGGACTGACGCCGCCGGCGGAGAACTAAGGCGATGGCTCGACAATAATTCGCAGCCACAGGAGCCAAGAGAGCCACTTCTTGCGGGCAAAGCTTCTACCACATATATTTCACCATGATGATATCTGGCAATTGATTTCATGGTCGTGTATCGATATTTCGTTGGTGCACATACGCGTAAGATCTTTGTCGTATATCAATTGTCCATCTCGCGCAGATCTTGGCCGTTTTCAATTGCTGATCGGCACGAGCTACTAAGGTACCGATAGCTTTGACGGGGACAGGAGCAGATGTTGGCTCCAGCTGAATAGAACGTGTCGTCAAGATAAAGTACTGCAAGAGATGTTGTACCAACCAACAACCACACCTTTTTCTACCGAATCTGCAATGTGTAATAGACGAACGGCAATAAAACCAACAGCAGATGCCGCTATCTCCGCTGGGAGATACCTACAAGTACTAGCATAAGGTAGGTACGTCCAACATCGTATTTCCCAGCGCACTGGTAAACTTTCCCCAGAAACATTTGATCGGTAAACTGGCTGCTTACATGTACTTTGTATCTGCGCATCTTCTCGTCAATGTCGCATCGAACATCGTGAGGGATCTGGCCAATCGAAGCACAGCCGGCCCGATGACAATCTGCATACAGCAATTGCACACCACCACATCCGTTGACAGCTGCCGTAAGCGTCCCAAATGGTGACGATCGCAGAGATTAGCTTGCGCTGGCTCTCAGTCTGACCGAAGGGGTCTTGGGGGCTCCCTGTCCCGGATAAATCACAACCATGCCATGCACAGCCTCCCCCATGTCTTTGGAGCCCTTCCTCCTTTCCAGGTTGCTGTTGATTTATTCATTCGTACGAGAGCGGACTTTTATTGTTTTCCCTTATCTCGTTCGACAGGGCCTGTGTATTTGCCATCTGGTGCCCGTTTCTGTAGGTGTGGCTTCGTTCTAGTAGGGTACCTGCATACAGTTAGAGTGCAGTACCACCCAATATACCTCTCAGTACCTGTGGTTTTATAGAAGCTGAAGAGAAGCCCCGCCCGGCGAATCCTTCCGGGTACCGCAGCTTGCACATGCAATGCAATGCAGCTGGACGCAGCTCTCTTGGAAATGCTCGTACAGCGTCGTGTCAGACCTGTAACTGCTAGCAATCTGCTAAGCTGTCTCATCCTGAGAAATGCAGAACGCCAGACAAGGTACCTTTTCACCAGCCATGACGCAGGGCCCACCCTCAAACTGGGGCGCTTTCCCGATTGTCCATCCAGGTCCGCTGGCGGCGCGGCGCTAGTCCGCTCCAGGCCTGGCGGGTTCATGCCCTCTTTCGGTCCTCTCGGGCCCTCCCATGAGCGGCAATCCATGTACATGCAAGTACGAGCATGATGAGGCCATGCGAAAGTGAATCCACCATCAGACAATCTCGTGTGAGCCGCGCCGGGAAGAGGACCCCGAGAGGAGCCTGAGAGGAGCCTGAGAGGAGCCTGAGAGGAGCCCGCGAAGAACCCGCGAGGAGTCTCTCTGCCCCTAACGATGGGCTACTGCTCATATTTTTGCATTCTTCTCGTGGGCGGGACGGGGATCGCCAAGATAGAGCACATGGTGAGAACCATACTTGCCTCTACAACACTCCACTCTGTCTTATCACTACTCAATTGAAGCTGAGTAAGTGACTGGTATCTACAGTGTTTCAGTAGTCATGGCTCTGAGATAGACATGGAGAAATACAACATGAAAAAAAAAAAAGACATATGTCAACGACAGCTTGGCAAAAGATCCCTCCCAAGCCGCTTGAAACCCGAAAGGCTTCGGCGCTAAGCAAGCCATTCTACCACCAGTACCCACGCACACAGCAACAACAGATTGTGTTTACATGCAAGTACTTGTCCTTCGTACGTGGTGACTAGGACGTAGCAGCATGGTGTACCAGTATGAGCGGATTCTCCCGCCTTGTCCCGGTCAAAGACTGCGTCTCGCCTCTCCATCGTCCCATCCCACTTTTGTCCAGATCCAGACCAGACCCCCGAAACCATGCCCAACGTCTTGCCCTGGCAAGCGAAGAGCAAAATGTCTGCCTTTTATTTTTCCCTCTCTCTTCGCGGGGGTGTATCGTGGCTTGACAGGGCCTTGTCGCCGTGGTGGCATCGAAGCTCGGGAGCCACTCCATGTCCCTCGGCGCCGCTGATGAAACGCCTAGCCTCTAGCATCCAAGTGCAGCTTTTTCTTCCGGTGCAATCTCTTTCTCGGACATGCAACAGTTAGACGTAAGAGCCAAACTCTGTTAGCGGTAGCTTCTTTATAAGGCTAAACTGTCCTGCCGTGCGAGTTACCTTCGCGGCCCCGTTCGCCGGTGCTTGAGTCCTATTGCATTCCTTCACTCGCGGGTAATCGTGGGGAAAAGATATAGGGACGGCTATTCCCCTCCGAACCCTCCCTTTTGGATATCTCGTTTTTTTCTCTCATCTCGTCGGCTCTTGTGTTGTTGTTGTTGCTCTCCAACTGCCGGGCCCTTCCGTATACGACTGAGCAATGGCGTTCCTCACTCCAGATGAGGCCGCCCAGAGCCATGCCAACCTGGTCCGGATTCCGAGCATCGTATTCTTTGTCGTCACGCCCATCTTCGTCTTTATCAGATTCTGGAATCGTATTTCGAGGAGATCGGGGCTGGGTTGGGACGATGGCACCATTGCTGTGTCCTTTGTACGGATCTCCACTCTCCCGTTGGGTTCTCTTGGAATGGGAAACTAACGCACTTCTTTTCATTAGGTATGCACTCTTTTGGTGCAGATATTTATGATGATTTCGTGCAATTACGGATTCGGCAAACACATTGCGTCCTTGTCACCTCACGATAAACTGGAAGCCCTCAAGGTACAGCTCCACTATATGGCTTCGTCTCATGATTTATGCTCACACATCTACCCGTTGGAACAGTGGTTTTACGTCGCACAAATCTTCTACAAGCTGACCATTAACTTGACGAAAATGTCGATTGTTCTCTTATATCTGCGAATATTCGTCCAAAGGTGGTTCCGCATCGCGTGCTACATCCTCCTGGGTATCGTTACAGCCTACTGCATTGCGAGCACGTTGACTTCGATCTTTCAATGCCATCCTATTTCAGGAGCTTGGGACAAATCCAGCAAACCAACGTGCATCAGTTTGACAGAGAACTGGTATAGTAACGCCGGTTACTCTATTGCTACTGATGTTTTGATCCTGTTGTTGCCGATGCAGCCCATCTGGGCGAGCAAGTTGCCAGTCAACCAGAAGCGAGCTTTGATGTTTGTCTTTGCTCTTGGTAGTTTGTGAGTGGTTTTTCTCTAGCTTATTAATCAGAATGCATTGCTAACAATCACAGTGTTACCGTTACATCCATTCTGCGTGCCACGACTCTCAACTTCTCGACAACCAGCCCTGATACGACTTGTGAGCCCCCTACCCAGCCCTCCTTTGCTCTTGACAAAACATTCATGCTAACGAATTCGTCTAGTCGACATTACCTCTACACTGTGGACCATTATCGAAGAAAACGTCGCCATCATCTGTGCCTGCTTGCCCATGTGCCGTATTGTCCTGGCCTTCCTCTTCCCCTCGGTCTTCGGAGGCAACACCAGCAAGGGATCTACTGGAGCCTCAGGTGGCCTGGGATCAGGGAACCCTAACAAATATGGATATGCTCGTTCTCAGTCCCCTTCGCGTCGCCAAAGCTGGAAACCTTATTCTGGACCGGGCGGTGATGGCGTCAGCCGCAGCACGGCTGCCCACCAGAGCGACGACACGAGCGAAGAATTCATCCTCACAACAGTACAAAGACATGGATCAACGGATGGTGACGACGGCGCTATAAGAAAGACTACGAAGTATGAAGTCTCATACGAAAATTGAAGTATACAAAATTAGAAATCTGTTACGATATCTTGGCGACTACGGAGTACCTGCTCAAGTGTTATAAAAATGGGGGATATTCGGATGCCGGGCTTTATACTTGGTTCCCCTTTGAGGGACAGCTTCCGCATTGCAACGTTGGAGACTGGCTCTCTCCTTTTCTCATAATTGCCTTTTATACTGCAATATTTTCTTTGTTGGCTTGTTTGATGCCTTCTTCTCAATTTTTCTTTTGCTTTGTACACAACAATAGTACCTATTTGCCTCGTATAGGACTTTGGAGGCGATTTACGATGACACGCAACTTGGGACAAGGCTTTTTTCTTCACTTTTATTTTTGCACACTGTATATATCGTTTTCTTTCCCCTTTGTCTATAACAGCTACAAGAGATACCAGTTACATGATTGAGCGTTTTATCCGTTACCAATCCGAGTCTAGTCATATTTTGCATGATACAGAGCAACTTATACCAACACGCTTCCCCCCTCTGACAGCCCAGAAATTGTTCTTCTATCCAGATCTAGCGTCATGCATGCCCAGACATGGTACATGTCTGTACCTGTTCCGCCATGCAACCTTGATACCAGGGGAGCGGCCCCGGTCCATGCAATGTACCTCTGGTATTTCGGGGCCTGCAGGCCTCCCCTGATCTTGGAGAAAAACCCTGGCTTGCTCTCCGATTTAGCCACATGGTGCATTTTCTTTTCCCCTCACACGACTCTCGGATGCTTGTTCCTGGTAGTTACGGTAGAGTGATTAGTAGTAGAGACTCTCAATAGGGTCTTAGGCTCAAACCAGAAAAGACCCGGATATGTATCCGTGACAAAAGAGGCGGCACTCAGGCGTGTACTACTAAATCCCCGGTTTCAAAAGATAGCACGGAGTATACATGAAGAATAGAAGAAGAAGAAGAAGAAGAAAGAAGATAGTGAAAAAAACGCTGATCCGGCGTGCGCCGACCCATGCCAGGCCTGACCCCTTGGAGTTGTTTCCAAATGTCCCCTTTTCTTTTCTGTTTTCGCCTCATGCTGTGCCATGATTCGGTGGGTGAGCTCTAAGGGGACGGGAGGCTCGGTGCAATACTATATCGGCGGCCTAGCTTTGACACGATGGTGTGCAGCTGGGGATCAGGGGGCGGGCTCGTTCCACCTTTCGCCGAGGAAGAGAAAGGGACATGTGGGACTGTTTTTCCCTTCTTCTTTTCTTTGTTTTTTTCTTTCTTTCTTAATGGTGGCAGCTAAGCGAAGCGAGCAGCATGGTTTACTTGGAGGAGCCCTTTGGGATGGATACTACGGGGGATGGAGATGAACTGGAAGAGAGGCTTGTATGGATGTGGATGTGGATATGATGCTTGAGAGAGATTGATAATATTGTATCCGCAGTGACATATTCCCAGTTAATGAGAGGAGGGTGGGCACTGCAAGGCGAGGGAATGTATCATAAACGCTAGCTGGGTATGTCAGAAGCCACCGAATATGCACGCTGTTTGTTTGCTTGCTTGCATACGATAATCTCTTACAAGTAATACAGCAAACTGAGAAAAGGGGGAGACAACAAAGCTTACTTTGTCTGTACTCGCAACAAATGAGAATCACATCAAGAAACATGAGAACAAGTGGTAGCATGCTTGTTTAGATACCGTTTGGTATCCCGTATAAGATGATTAATGCCGAGAGGTAGCCTTTAAGCTAGATCCACGTACCGTAGCATTGTAACCGAGATGCTAAGATCCCAAAAGAGAGCCTCTCGGGGGAAAGAAAGTAACAGAAGTTCCCTTTGTTGAGCGAGCGCTGCTTCGGCAGTTACCCGTGAACGGCGTGCTAGCCAGGTCCCCCAAGACGCCACCAATTGTGAAATAGCTCGAGCTTGGATGGAATTACCTGCTAGAGGCATGCGGAGAAGGGCTTGTCAACCTATTTTTAGACGAGGTTAAGTAAGTATTCGCGGCGTTAGTTGCTATGTAAGCACCATATAATGGTGTTACGCAAATGCGGGAGACGAGACGAAGGAAGAGTTGAAACAGTCGGGGTTTCTTATCTACACGAGTACGATTGTCTTTCTTTCTGTCTTCTTTTCTTTTTTTTCTTTTATGGGCATCTTATCTAGCGCCATACGCCGTCTCCTCCGGAAGAGAAGAGTGGTCTGATGGAGACAGATAAAAGCTCGCAGGAGAAAAAGGGTCTTTTTTCCCCCTCTCTCTTGGGCATGTTAATAGTGTGTCGACAAGGGGTTTTTGCAGCCGGGTAACCATTACCGCTCCGAGGGCGCATGTCTGGGCTCGTTGGATGAAATGGCTATTAGTATTTGCATATACCCCGTATTCTCCGTGTTAGTAGATGGCTTGGTATTTCGTATCTCACCGCAGCGTGCGTAACGCCCATGTACTAGTCTTCATCCCAAGCAAAGGGTCTCCCCCCGAACGCCGTTATATAAACGAGATGGAGCATCATCAATGCACTACTGGGTAACAGGCAGCTGCTTGGCCAAAGCTTGTCTTGCCGACCTCTGCTCTGGGTCCCAAGGGCATCACGGACCCATGACTGTGGGTAAGCATCCAGATTGGGCATACAGCCGTTGACGTTCTCGAACCTGCGTGACCAATTCGGCATGCAGGCTGATGAATCTGGAAAGGCGGCGTTGATGGGTGAGCCCTATCGCTAAAAAGGGGGTTCACGGAATTCTGGCAGAGATGACAGTTCGCCGCTGCGGTACTTGGTAAAGATAGGGTAGCATTTTCCAGATGGACATGTTGGGAGGTTGCTATTTGTTCTACTATTTGCAAAGACATATCCTGTGTGATACGCGTATGCTAGAGATGAATCCAAGCAAACGGAGGACAAAAAACCGAGACTGAGAAGATTTCGAACACCCTTGAGCTGAGTTATACGCCTACAACGGGGGCAATTGCTATATCTATATTTCCCTAACTAATGACTGCTACTGTATTTATATTTCTCTAGTAGCTGCTACTACATATACATTTCTTTAAGACCTGCTACTATCTCTATATTTCTCTAATAGCTGCTACTATCTCTATATTTCTTTAATAACTGCTACTATGTATGTGATAAAATTCGGGTGCTGGCTGAATAGGCCCCTAGATAGCCCTACATAGTAGAATCAAGCTGGTGCTCAAAGACGGCCTGGTCGTCATCAACATCCTCCTGGAGGTCTCGGACCTCCGATTTAATCTCCTCCTCCTCCTCTTCTTCTTCTTCTTCTTCTTGTCCTTCAACTGGGGCCGCAACCCCATCTTCTGCTTCTGGGGCCGGAACCCCACTCATCTCGGCATCGACAATCTCCTGTTGAGGAGGAGTTGAAGGAGCAACACTCACTGCCATTGGCAGAGCCAGAGTCACCTCCGTCGAGGGGGCCTCGTGTTGCTGGTGTTGCTGTTGCTGTTGCTGCTCTGTGGCAGGCAAGCCGGCATCCTGTCTTACTCGGCGCAAGATTTTTTTCTGATGCCGGGAGCTTCCGGACCCCTCCCACCGGGCATAACTTGCATATCGTTATCTACCTATGGGCAGCGTTTAATTCGATTAATAGAAGAGTATGAAAGGCATACTGCTGTTGTTGCTGCCCTTTACTTAAAAAATGCTGAAAGACGAGCCAAGGGTTTCAAATGGTCACATCGGCAAATGTGAGGATTTGGAAATGCTAAGCGTTTAGAATTGTTCAGAAAACTTGGATTGCAGAGTCCAAAGGATTAGCCAGCTTGGCAAGCGAAGGTTAGAAAAAGCGAGACTGCAAAATGGATAAAGCACCTAATTAACTCATTAAATAGTACTTTTGTAGAGGAACGCCTATTTACTAGGTAGTTAGTACTTAAATTTCATTATACATAGGTATAGTAGCAGTTACTAGAGAAATATAGATATAGTAGCAGACGACTGATGAGATAAATAATTCTTCATTTTCCCAAGTCTTCAAATTCCAATAAGCGGAACCCCACCATACCGCCTCATAGTTCGCTCAACTCATACCCTCCATGAACTCGACTCGGTCAAGCAGCATTTGTCGGTATCCCATATACTCCTTGAGCCCTTCCCACTCTGGACCCATTTCCTCTCCGTGTCTCCAGGGCTCCTTGAAGCCCCATGCGCACGCCACCTTGTCCAGAGCCGCTCTCTCCTCCTCCCTCAGCCATCGATACCGTAACGGGGTTCCGGGAGTCCAGGTCACTCGCTTCATCTGGTCCTTGTGGCTCAGCTTGGCAATCATGCCCAAAGATCCAATCACAAGAAAGTATCCTGAGATGCCTGCCACACCAATTCCCGTAGCAGTGCTTATGTCCATGGTGTTTTGCCAATACGAAGCGTAGGCTGTTGATAGACCAAAGATGCCGAATGGGAGGGTGGCGAGACCGATGGCGGGGGCGGTACCGTGCTTGATCAGCTTCTGACGCTTGAAAGCTGGGAGAGAATATGAAGCCTCAATGATGCCGAGGGCCGAATCCAGATTCTTGGCATCGATTGCAGCCTGCAAAGCCATATCGGCAACGGCGGGCTCTATAGCTCGAGCAGCCGCGTTGGGGTTTTGCTTCAGATACGCAATCTGACCGTTTTTGACGACGGGCTTGGGCTTGTTTGCGTAGAGTTCAAAGACGGCGGGCAGTGACTCTGGTTGGCCGAGCTGTGATTGAATGGCGACGTAGAGCTCTAGGAACTCCGGCGTCATCTCGACATTCGGGTTCGAGATGATGGCATATGCTGCGTGAGAGATCCGACTGGTTGCATCCACCAACTTGGCATCTATAGGGACCCTCGCACCCGTCCGCTCGGCTCCCAGAGATACCAGCTTCGAGGCTGAAGCCTTGAATTGTGCCTCTGCCCGCTTCAATTGGGGATGGAGCGCAGATGCGGCCCGTAGACACGACTGCAGTGCAGCAGCAGTCAGCTGCTTCGCCGGGATGCCGTCGACTGAGAGGAACTTGTTACAGCTATCCTCCGCTACGTTGGCCAGTTGAGATGCATCCGTCAATGGCCGCGGGGTTGAGGCTGGCACGGCCTTCTCATTTGCTTCTGCGTCTGCTTCAGCATCTGCTCTTGAGGCTGAGACAGAGGTGGCCCATCTAGCCGGTGTTGATCTCCAGACTGAGCTTTGTGCAATCTGGCGGGGAGCTGAGGATAATATCCGGCTAGGGAAGGGCTGTCTTGATGCCTGCGCCGGCAATGACGCACAAGAATGGCATATAAAGCCAACCTGCCGAGGGTTTGCTCGCCGCATGTTGAGTGTAGAGTTGCGATATAAATGTCAGGCAAAGAAGATGAAGTTGGCCAATTGCCGATGCAGACCGACACGAGTGACTTTTGTATCGTCGTGCTGCAAATTCGACTTTGCAGCTTGGCCAGACCAAAGTCGCTACAGAGAAAGCGATCGCAATGGGCGGCAAGGCGGAAAAGTTGAGGCGAGGTTTTAGAGGTTGGAGTTTTGGCACAAAATCATCGCATGCAAGGCTGTGATTGGCTCCACACTTTGGCTGGCGCAGTATTACAGTACAGTACAAGTACAATGAGCGAACAAGAAGCCGAGATGAAGCACTGAATGACGAGTTTGTGCGACTGCAATCACATGAAACAAAACAAACAAAGAGAGACGAAAAACAAAGAAAAATCCTGAAGCTAGTCCTTTCCGCCTACCATCCATCTCATGGCCCGTATTTCCTCTTCTTCAACCTCTTCGCTCTCCAATATTACAGTAGAACATTCTGGTGCTAAATCCAAGTTCATCCCAGTCGTGAGGCTTTGCCAAAAGTGGGGCCCTGATTGGTTCTCCTCGACCTCCGTCTGCTGCACCTTCGTAAGCCTGATGACGAAACGTCCAGGCTGCCAGAGACGAGCCTTTGCCTTTCCCTCTGCCTCTGCTACAACACTCTCGCCATCGTCCGCCCTGTGCAATTCGCCTGCAACTCCTCTTGGATACCCGCACTCCGGGGTCTTGATCCGGCTGCACGACCGTCTACCCGAGTCTTGCGCCCTGCACGAGACCCTGAGCCGCCTCTCCCAGCCTGCCAGCGCAGCGACAACCCGAGACTCCAACTGAACGAAACTGTCGATATCACAACTCTTGCTCCTCACACGCTGCCATGCCGCCTCCTCCGCCGCCGCCGCCGCCTCCGTTGCCTGGGGCTGGAGGCCCTCCTCCTCCGCCTCCCCCTCCAGGAGGAGCCCCAGGCGGATTACCAGCTCGTCCACCGCCGAGTTCAGGAGGCCGAGTGCGTTATTCCCACGACAGAGATGTAGGGTGAAATCGTTGTAGCTGACTCTAATTCTCAGAATGCTCTGCTTGCCGACATCAACAAAGGCAGGTCTCTTAAAAAGACCGTTACCAACGACCGCTCGGCCCCGGTTGTTGGCAAGACATCCTCCTCATCGGGCCCTGCCATAGGCGGCGCCCCTCCCATTCCCGGCCTTGGTTCGGCACCTCCCATCCCTGGCCTTGGTTCAGCGCCTGCTCTCCCTCAGAATTCTCTACTTGCCGACATTAGCAAAGGAAAAGCTCTCAAAAAGACCGCAACCAACGATCGCTCGGCCCCGGCTGTTGGTGCAGGCGGCGCCCCTCCCATCCCTGGCCTGGCGCCGCCTGTCCCAGGAAACCGAGCGCGAAGCAACAGCGAGCAAAACTCTGGCCCAGCCGACTCGGCGCCGCAGCTGGCGGGTCTCTTTGCCGGCGGCATACCGAAGCTGAAGAAGCGAGGAGGAAACATTGATACGGGAGCCGGCGCGGATGCCTCGTTTGCCTCGGATTCGGAGAAAGCGCCATCACATTCGGCGCCCCATGTCCCGACCTTTGCCGCCCCGAAACCGCCAGCACCGCCGGCCGATGCTGCGCCAGCTATTCCTGGAATTCCAGGACGAGGACCTCCCATACCTCCCCCGGGTGTGCCAGCCCTGAAGAAGACCAAGGGACCACCGCCGCCGATCGGAAAGAAGCCGCCGCCGCTCCCAACATCTCGCAAGCCCTCATCCAGGGCCACGCCGCCTCCGGCTCCTCCTCCGCCGGCCCCAGCTTCGGCTGCCCCAGTTCCTGCAGCTGCCCCTCCTCCTCCTCCTCCACCGCCAGCATCCGCAGCACCGGCTCCATTTGCGCTCCCTCCTCCTCCGCCTCCTCCTCCAGCAACTTCGGCACCTGTCCTGCCTGGAGCACCACCACCTCCTCCACCCTCATTCGCACCTCCGCTACCCTCGCCATCGTCAACTCCTCGGGCTCAACCGCCGCCACCACCTCCAGCTCCTCCTGGAGCAGCTCCTTCTCCTCCTCCGGCACCGCCAGCTCCACCAGTTTTGGCTCCGGCTCCGCCCTCTTCCAATGGCCCCTCTGCACCTCGAGCCAGAGGATCATCTCTTCGCCATACCATGCTCGATCCCAGCACATTTACCTTGACTGCGAATGGTGGCGGTTCGTCTGTGAGCCTGCCGTCCAAGACGTCCAATCACTCGCCATCACCGAGCCAAGGCGGTACGCGGATCATGATCAACGATACAAGATGGCATTTTAAGGATGAGAGCGTTTTCCCGAAGCCTCGGGATTTTGTTGGCGGTGTAAGGAGATATAGGGCAGGCAGAGGGAGCAGTGTTCCGCTTGATTTGAGCGTGTTGAATTAGGCCAATAGATGATGATATCAGTTTGATTTTCCGGAGATTTATCTTGTGACTAGTGAAGAATGATATGGAATACCAGTGCGAAAGTACCCCTGATCTATAAATACACACAGCTTTATATATATATATTCATAAAGAACTTGTCCTTTTTATTTGTGAGATGTCCATTCTTGATCATGGCCCATGGAAGAAACTACTATATTCCTGCGAGGGAGAGCCTGGCCAGTCCAGGCCGAGCCTTTCATGAACAAGACTACGCCAAACACTTTCCCAGCGTTCAAGCCCTCGTCTTTGAAATGCTTCGTTTGATGTGTATTGTACAAAGTGTCTATATAACCAACCCTCGCTTTTCCTGTTGATACAATTTTTCTCTCCTTTTTTCGTCTTCTTCTTTTACATCGACTTCAAGTAGTTGGACTCCTTGATCGTGGCCCTCCTCTCCTTGCGCATCGCCTTGCGCAGCTCCTCCCGCTTGTCCGCCGCGGCAATGTTGTCGAGGACGCTGCCGTTCTTGTCGCCGGGCAAGTTGATGGACTGCTGCTGCAGCGGCACCTTTGGCGCGAGGGCCTCGAGGTTGCCCTCGGCGAGGAGCTTGGCCTCGAGGGCCTTTTGGCGCTTGGCGGCGAGTTTTCGCTGTTTCTTGGATTTTGCTACAAAAAGGGAAAATCACAAGTCATATTAGCCACAGGTTTCTCTTTCTTTGCTTTTATGTTTGGGGGAGGTGGTTAACGGCGTACAGAACTCGTCCCCGAGGTTGTCGTCTTCGGCATCGGCCTTCTTCATGACGTCCAGGCATGACCACAGCCACTCCGGGTAGTCCTCATCTTTCAGGGCGACGGGGTCTTGCCCGCCCTTTGTGTAGTTGAGCCCATTGAGCACTGTTCCCTCTGGGCAGATGGATCTTGAAGAGGGCGTGGGCTTGGCCGCTTCGCCGGCGTCGACGACGGGCGTTGACAGCTGCGGTTCGGCAGAGTAGAAGCGCAGCGACGATGAAAATTGTCGTGAAAAGGGCAATTGGCGGCGCACGACGGTGGCGCGCAGGCACCGGGTGCAGAACATTGTGAGGGCGGGTGGTTTTTATATGAGTGAGGTTGTCTGTCGCTGGGTGAGGCGAGGCTCTATTGGTGGTTGGAGAAATTTTGGGTATGCGGTCGGTTTGGTTTGGTGGGGGTGGCCAATGGAATTGACTGACCGCAGAAAGCTCTGGACTGCTCTCAGCCTCATCCTTTTAAACTGTGTAGCTCTGATGAAATGATGATTATTTGGAGTTAATTGAGCATTGGTAGGTTTCTATAGTTTACTTTTTATTCAAATTTAATTCCGTTGCTTCCTGATATATACATTGGCAGAGCATTCAGCCTCTGCGCTCAATATCATGGCGGTAGTTCTAAACCATGGCTCTACTCCATCCCAGACAAGCCCTCCGCCGGTTGATTCGGCCGCCCAATAATTCAAAAATACTATGACACATGTTTAAACACTTGGATTGATCAAATTCATGAGAATCGTCCCTGGTTCAGCTTGGCAATCTTGTCGCTTGTGTGCACCTTGCGCTCCAAATCAAAGTCCTGGTCCTTCTTCTCCAAGTAGTTCTGCTGGATAAACTTGGTTCCCTTAACCTTGTTCGCCGCCAGCAATTGCAGGTATTTTTCTATAATTCAAAACAATGAGTCTTTTTGTGCTTCCTCCCACGAATACGGACATCGGGATCCGCCCTATGCGCTCCCTCAAACTCACCTCTCAAATGGCCGCAGTTCTCCAAGTGGTTGACTCCCTCCCGGACGTAGCACTTGCCCAATTCCTCGCCGACGATGCGAGTCATCATGGCGCCAACCCATTGTTCCCGAATGATGGCATCCTCGGCAGCCTTGAAAGCCTTGGTATCGTCAAAGTCGACGCCGTTGAATGTGGGGGCCACCGTGGGCTTCTGGCTCTTGAAGAGCTCGGATTCAGGTGTCGGCATATTGCAGAGGAGGCTGGGCTTTGAAGCTTCGAAACGGATGCGGCTGGGGCGAGGCCGAATGGGTCGAGGGTTGAGGCAACGGAAGCTCAAATATCTCCTGATGCTTGAGCACCTTTGGAATGCCTGCCTCACTCAAGATCCGCTATGCGATTAGCCTTTCGCTGCTGGCCTCAGGCAACAATTTTCTAGCCACACGAGGCTGCAGGTGCGCGTGTGGGGAAAGGCCAATGACGAGCTATGCCGTTCCCACCCACCGCCTTTGAGCAGCCCACTATTCTGCCGGACAAGAAGAAAAAAATTCTGAAAAAAGTTGGGTGCGGCGCGCAAAGGCCCCAACCACCCAAAGGTTTAAAAGCTTGCGACGCTGCCGCTGCTTAACTTTCTTTCTCTCCCACATCCACCTTTTGAGACAAGAAAATTTTCATTCTTGTGTCTTCATCTCTTCCTTACATCCTTCTTATCAATTCCTTTTTATTCTAATTAATCTAATACTCTTTCACAATGGCCAAGTCCACCAAGGTCAAGGAGTCCAAGAAGGCTGTCGCCGCTGAGCCTGTCAAGGCCGTCGCTGCCAAGGCTGCCACTCCCAAGAAGGTTGCCAAGGAGGAGCCCTCCAAGAAGTCCAAGAAGAAGGAGCCTGAGTCCTCTGACGAGTCTTCTGAGGAGGAGGAGGACTCTGACTCCGACTCTGCCAGCGAGAGCGAGTCTGAGTCTGAGTCTGAGTCTGAGGAGGAGACCACCAAGAAGCCTGCCAAGAAGGAGGCCAAGAAGCCTGCTGCCAAGGAGGAGTCTGAATCTGAGTCCGAGTCCGAGTCTGATGACTCTGAGTCCGATGAGGAGGAGACCAAGAAGCCTGCCGTGAACGGCAAGGCCAAGGCCGAGGAGTCTGAGGACTCTGACTCCGAGTCCGACTCCGATGAGGAGAGCGACGATGAGAAGCCTGCTGCCAAGGTTAGTTACTATGAACTCGATCAACTGGCCCGAACTTTGACTGACTTTTGCTCTCTCTTAGGCGTCCAAGTCTGACAGCGATGACTCTGAGGAGGACTCCGACGACTCTTCTTCCGACGAGGAGGAGGAGAAGAAGGCTGAGCCTTCCAAGAAGCGCAAGGCCGATGAGGAGATCGATACCTCTGCCAAGAAGACCAAGGTCGACAGCAACGCTGCCCCTACCCTCTTCGCCGGCAGCTTGGCCTGGAGCGTTGATGATGATGCCCTCTACCAGGCATTCCAGTCTTTCGATGGCCTTGTTGGTGCTCGTGTTGTTACCGAGAAGGGCACTGGCCGCAGCCGTGGCTTTGGCTATGTCGACTTCAAGGATGCTGAGTCTGCTCAGGTTGCCTACGAGGCTATGCAGGGCCAGGATGTTGGCGGCCGTGCCATCAACCTCGACTACGCCAACGCCCGCCCTGAAGGTTCTGACCCCCAGAACCGCGCTGCCGACCGTGCCAAGAAGCACGGTGACACCCTCAGCGCTGAGAGCGACACCCTGTTCGTCGGCAACCTGCCCTTCGACATTGACCAGGATTCCGTTACCCAGTTCTTCAACGAAGTCAGCTCTGTCACCAGTGTTCGACTGCCCACTGACCCGTAAGTTATCCTGCGGCTTGAAAGAGCCTGTCTCGCTTGTTCCCTTAACCATACTGACATATCCTTTCTATAGTGAGAGTGGTAACCTGAAGGGCTTTGGCTACGTCTCCTTTGGCTCCGTTGAGGAAGCCAAGGCTGCCCTCGAGGCCAAGAACGGTGCCACCATTGGCCACGGCAGATTCGCCCGCAGCGTGCGACTTGACTTCTCCAGCCCTCGTCCTCAGGGCGGTGCTGGCGGTGGTCGTGGCGGCTTCGGTGGTGGCCGTGGAGGTCCCCGTGGAGGCGGTCGTGGTGGCCGTGGTGGCCGCGGTGGTTTCGGCGGTGGTCGTGGCGGTAACTTTAGTGCTGTCAACCGCACCAAGCCTGCTGGCACCAAGATCTCCTTTGACTAAGAGGGCTCTGTCCGAGAGGGGTTTAATATATATGTCGGGTTGTGGGTATTTGCGGTTTCGGTTACAATCTACGTTTGGCTTTTTGAGATTTAGTGGGCTTTGGGCAACGCTCTTCGGTAATAGAGCGCAGATGAACGCTGGGGGCTTTGGCACTTGGTAATCTGTGGGCTCATCGCTTTGCTTCTCACGAGAAGCATGGTGAAGATGGCATAGTTGGGCTTTTTGACGTCGGCGGCAATGATGGTTCCACCATCGGCGCCTTGTACACAAACCAGTGGGCTTCTGAGGGATTTGAGGGCTTAATCTTGATTCATTTCGTCGACGGCCACGATGGGGCATGTAGACGAAAGAACCAACTTTGAGGGCTGCGAATACTTCTGAGGGACCTGGGGGCTTTTTTGCAAATGCAAATACTTGATACGTGGGCTGCACTTGAGGACTCATACATACAGTATGAGTCCAACCTTTGCTTAACTCGTTTACAAGGTAAATCCCCAGGATGTACACCGATATAATTCTTGCTCCAAGAGACTGGTAAGTCTCCGCCCACGACGTTTGCATTGCATTGTAAAAATAGGCGTTTGCTACGGAAAAGTTTTTTCAAATTTCTTTACCCTTTTACTACCTAGACATGATGTAACTCTGTAGAGCCCGAGTATAAAAATACAAATGTCTTTCCAATTAATTCAATACGATATGCGCTGTTTTTATTTCGCCTGTGAGATGCAGACATGCTGAATGATGCCCGGCATCAAGTTGCGATTGGCTCATGTCTAGGATAACAGATGACCTATCACACTTGATGCGACAAGGCTGAGCAAATCCGGTGGCGCGCCGTCACCGTGTGACAAGCGCCATTGCTCTCCCTGGACTTGACACATGCCACACCTTGTCGTTTGCTATCAGGGAAGAGGCGAGCCGATCCGATGCAGGTGATTGGACAGTCTGCGCACAGTGGCTGGCTGTTTGCAGACAGAACAGGCAAGCAAGCAAAGCAAGCAACGAGCTGTCTCGTCTGACTGTACCGTGGCGGATCAGCGTTCCTATCTCGAGGCAGAAGAAAGAAGTATAATGTGCACCGCACAGGTACAGAGCGAGAACCTATATGTGATCAGATCAGACATGCACAGTCGCATTCGTATCTGTATGATATACTATTTTCTGTTTCAAAAGTGATACGACAAGTCGGGAGACCAAGCCAGTGAACCCCAAAGTTGCAAGGGAGGACATCCATTACGTCTTTGGATGCTCATGCGGGCTCTGGCTGGTTTAGGCAAAGCCCCCGCCCTGTGCTCATGACCCTGGGCTGGCTGGGCTTACAGTTAGTACTACAACTAAAGGCTGCTGAGCAGGACAGAGAGAGAGCCTTGTAAGTTTTGGGGGAATGTCTCCGCGTGAGGGAGGTAGCGGTACTTGTCAGGGTCATGCACACCGCCCGGTTGGGGAAATGCTGGAGCTTTGGCGTACTGTGCGCGCGACACTGTTTCTTGGGTGTACTTGTATGTCTCATGGCAGAAGCATCATTGCCGGAGCCATGCCATTGATCATCTGGTCTTGTTCTTTTGATTGGTGATTTGAATGTTGCTGCAAGGGAGATTCGGGGATTATTGCCTGTTGATTGAACTGGTTTACATACCTATAAACTACGAGTACGAGTTATCTTTGCTGCAGTAGGAAACTTGTTGGGTAATTCCGCTTCACCATCTCGAGTAGTGCCAACTTCCGTATTTTGCCTGTTCTCCCCCCCTGGCATTTCTATACTTTAGCAATAACGGTATTCCGAGCAAAAAGGTAATTCCGCTTAGGAATCAACCTGTAATTGTATTTCATCTTATTACCTACCTACCTGCTCAACCTGTCTCGGCCGTCTTCGTCTTCTCGCCGGATTACATAACCGCCGCTCTCATCCATGTTCCCCCAGATCTCGTCATTTGCGGTACCTGGGTAGTGACGCAATTGGCCAGCGCGTGATGCTCCCACGCACTGTCCCCTGCAGTTCTGGCCAAAGTACCAGTACTGCTGACTGCCCGTCGTTTATCGTCATGCAGCAGCCTCTAGTCCAGATAGGCCATCATCTAGCGAGACATCTCGGCCCAACCTCTCAACAGAACGCTCTCTATCTCCGGCACTTGCCATCTTTCCTCATTTCTATCGCCCATTTTTGACTGGATTCACGACTTCTTCTCCATCTGTGAAATCATCACCGACTGTCGATATTTGTAGCGGCGTTGTGACGAAGAGAGCTTGCGCGTGCGATCTGCTGGCCGAGTTGCGATCGGGTGGGTCGCGGTCACCGATAAGGAGTGCAGGACTACAGGGAATAGGACCTATCGCCAGCGTGTTGAGGCCAAACAACATCGTCAGCCTGGCGACTTTTGATTGTTGATACTCCGTACTTTTACAAAAACCGAAGCGATGGCTCATCAGCCGCCATTTGATGAGCAGGCGGGCTCCAGCGGGCAGCGATCCGTCAGTATGCCAAACGTGATTCCGAGTGCCAGTCTTCACCAACGGCGCTATGATGGTTCGTCATCGCCAGTGACATCCCTCGACGACCATAGTCCATGTCCGCTAACTGTAGCAGAAAACACCGATTCCTGGGTCGAGGTTGCGTCGCAGCCTTCGTCCTCGTCGCTCTCCAGCATTGGCGATGAAATAGTTACAACTGGCCTGCGAGTTGGAAACTCTTACAGCCGTCGCCGGCGAGTGCAGGCATCAGCGAGATCGGTACCACGTATACAGACTACCATCCCGATCACGGGGACAAGCAGCCAAGATGAATATGATGAAAGCGACAGCGAAGAAGATCACGTCCTCTCCAGCTCGACCGAGAACATGCAGCCGTCGCCAGAAGAGGATATGGAGGATTCTGACGGGGAGTCTGACGGAGATGAAGGTACGGCTCTAGGGGGAGCGCAAAACCAAACCGGCTTTCGACCACAACCAAATGCATTCTCGCATCCTCCATCACATCAGAGAAGTTACTCGTCAAATGCGGCCATGTCCCCACATCCCCATGGCGACTTTACACGACCATCTTTCTCCCAGCGCTCGCATACGAGAGTTCAACGGGGGCCTAGCTTCATGTCACCCTCCGTTCGCGAAGATAACGACGCCGCTCTCCGCGCTTCCCTGACCACTCTCCTGTCATGCGCAGCTGCAGCTAGAGGTCTGCCTAAGAGCAAGGAGGAAACTGAGGCGCAGCGAGCTGCACAATCTGGAGTCGGTCCCAGCAGCCAGCCCATGGAGCTCCGCTTCGTCCCCGAAAAGGATCTGTCGGAGGGATCTGAGAAACCTGAACTGGCCCCGGCAGCAGATGCAGCGGCTCCAGCCAAACGTGGACAAGCCTCTCCGGCAAGATCATCCTCGCGGACTCGTGCACCCTCGGAGAAGACGAAACGGGTTGTATCAACGGCCCGAAACCCTCGAGCGATAAAGAAGAAGAAGACGGCAACTACAGCCGTTGTTGCGGAGGAGACTCTCATTTCTCCGACTCTCCTGACCTGGGTTGTCAGTGCCGGAGTCGTCGTGCTCGTATCCGTAGTTGGCTTTGGAGCTGGCTATGTTATTGGGCGTGAAGTCGGCCGCCAGGAAGGCTTAGCAGCAAGCGTCAGCAGCGTCAATGAGACTGCTTCTTCCAGCCGCGACGTGATTCGCTCGTCCGGCAGCGGCCTAAGACGATTCAAATGGGGTGCCGTGGGAAGAAGCATTGTCGCCCAAGCGTAAATGCGTCGACGGCTATTGTTACATTTAACTCATCTTTCGGTGATTCTTGAGTGATGCAGAGATACCTTGAAGTTTGAACCGAACGGCAGCATACACAGATACCACATACATGATGTTCTTTATTTAGCAGCTGGCTTTGATTCCCCCCTTAAGCAAAGGACGGCTAGTAGGGTATTGGCGTTTAACAAAGGACCTCATTTGGATACGAACTGGTTCACAGATTGCGGACGGAAGACACTAGGGCAGCGTTTGCTTTGGCTTTGCTTGGATTTCTTTTCTTCATTTTGCGTGTGTTGTTTCTCTCAGCCTCTTCTTTTCGTTGTTATCATGCACGCAGCTATGAGTTTACCCATGTATCTATCTGCATCTAACGGATGATGACTTAGATATAGGCTGCGATCGGGGTCTACATTTTGAGCGCTCGTTGTTACGGCGATGCAGCTCGGCAGATACTCACTTCTCTTCTCGATAACATGTCATTCAATACTATTTCTACGAGTTACTTCCGATCATGAACTGGTGCATACTGCAACAGGCATGTACTAATGCATCTCCTAATCGAGTCTTTGTCGTTGGCTATTGATAGATCTGGGAGATTGTTCGATACTGTGGAGGTCGTGAGGTGGCATCAGACCACCTTTGTCATTTTTTTCCCTTCTCGAGCAGTCGCATTTTCTTACCAGGAAATAGATAGAAGCCAATTGGATTTGTTTGATTACACGGAAATTGCGTGCCTATACGTGTATTTACGGTGATTCTTACTTGGTGTTGTCATTGGGCTTTGAGATAAAACACAAACGTATTCGCATTCGCCCGCGATCCGCCACATCGAGAGGTAGGCTATGGAACGCAATCAGCTGCAGCAGAAGTTACACGTATAAAAACGAAAATACAAACACGATCGCGCAGATCCGAATACGAGCCCCCACTGATTTCCCGTTTTCCCAGGCGGTCTGCGCTTTCCGTGCATTTATAACCTGCCATCATGCGCGCTCTGATTGGCTGGCCTCCCACACCTGCCTCGTGGGGCAGCGCACCTCAAGTGGGGCTCGTCTCTTTCCCCCCTGGATCTGGCCTCTTTGGCAGCGAAAAAAAAGGCAAAAAATATGCGAGTTTGGCTGCCAAAGCCAATTTGAACCAGTCTTGATAGAGCCAAAGGGCCACAGATTAAGGCTCATTTTGGGCTGACTTATCGAACCACTGGTGGTGCCGTAGCTGCATTTCCTCTGTCTCTGTTTGTCTCTGTCTCTTCTCCTTTTCTTTTTCTCAGATCGAGTCTTTTGCTTCCTGTTAATAAAAAGGACGCGGGGCCGGCAGTCTCTCTCTCTATCTTCCCTTCTTTCGCTCCAGAGCGGCAGACAAGTTTTTCTTTTTCTTCTCTTTGGGCTCCCTCCATCTCGACAAGACTCCCAATTTCACCTGTCTGCCACCCTATCCGCAACGATGGGCATCCTCCAAGATGCCCTCAGCCATCCGACGGCGCAGCTCTACTTTGAGCAGAGCGTTGGCGCGCAAGTCGCTATTGGCGTTGCTGGCTTCCTCGCCGTCGTCGTCTTCCTCAATGTCGTCCAGCAATTGCTCTTCAAGAACCCTTCCGACCCGCCTATGGTTTTCCACTGGTTCCCCATTATTGGCAGCACCGTCATCTACGGCATGGACCCTCCCAAGTTCTTCAAGGACAATCGTGCAAAGGTGGGCAAAAGACGTATCCCGTTTACACTCAGCCTGGTGGACAATGGCTAACAATCAATTGACAGTACGGCGACGTGTTTACCTTTGTCCTGTTGGGCAAGAAGACGACCGTGGCTGTGGGCCCTGCTGGAAACGACTTTATTCTCAACGGCAAGCTCAAGGATGTCAACGCCGAGGAGATTTACAGTGTCTTGACCACCCCCGTCTTCGGACGAGATGTCGTCTATGACTGCCCCAACGCCAAGCTGATGGAGCAGAAGAAGGTGAGTTTGTGCCTGGCGCATAGCTGTATGGTAAAATGAACCTTTGAAATGGGCGCTAACACGATAGCCAAGTTTATGAAAATTGCTCTTACGACCGAAGCGTTCAAAAGCTACGTTCCCATCATCTCCCACGAGGTTACATCATACTTCAAGCGCGACCCTGCCTTCAAGGGCAAGTCTGGAATTGTCGACATCCCCAAGAAGATGGCCGAGATCACAATCTTCACTGCCTCCCACGCTCTTCAGGGCAGCCTCATCCGCAGCAAGTTTGACGAGTCACTGGCCGATTTGTACCACGACCTTGACATGGGCTTCACCTCCATCAACTTTGTGCTCCACTGGGCTCCTCTCCCCTGGAACCGCAAGCGTGATCACGCTCAGCGCACCGTTGCCAAGATCTACATGGATACCATTAAGGAACGACGAGCCCTCGGTGACGATGACAAGGAACTGGATATGCTGAAGCACCTCATGAAGTCAGTCTACAAGAACGGCACCCCTGTCCCTGACCACGAGATTGCCCACATGATGATTGCCCTTCTCATGGCTGGCCAGCATTCTTCGTCCTCCACCAGCTCTTGGATCATGCTCCATCTCGCTCAGTACCCTCAGGTTGTCGAAGACCTCTACCAGGAGCAGGTCAAGGCCCTGGGCGCCGATCTGCCTCCCCTCCAGTACGAGGATTTCGCCAAGCTGCCCCTGAACCAAGCTATTGTCAAGGAGACTCTCCGCCTGAACGCCCCTATCCACTCCATCATGCGCAAGGTCAAGCAGCCGATGCCCGTCCCCGGCACCAAATATGTCGTTCCCCCTTCTCACGTCCTTCTCGCTGCTCCTGGCGTCAGTGGCTCTGACCCTACCTACTTCCCCAACCCTGATAAGTGGGATCCTTACCGCTGGCTGCCTGGCTCTCCCAACGCTCCCCTGATGGCCCGAAATGACGAGGAGGAAGAGAAGATCGACTACGGCTACGGTATTGTCAGCAAGGGTGCGGCTTCTCCTTACCTTCCCTTTGGTGCCGGTCGTCACCGATGTATTGGCGAGCACTTTGCCAATCTGCAGCTCCAGACCATCATTGCCGAGACGGTGCGCATGTTCAAGCTGAGCAACGTGGATGGCAGCAACAACATTGTCGGCACAGACTACGCTTCCCTATTCTCTCGACCTCTTGAGCCTGCCAAGATTCGATGGGAGCGGAGAGACTAAGATGTCAGCGTCTTGAAGGGAGTGTGGATGAGTTAACAAAAGGCAAGCAAAAATACACCCCAGGATTTTTTGAGTTGGGTTGGATGCGTACTGTATATGATATCTTACGTCGGAGTTTTTGGGATGCATGGGAGGAAACAAATAAAGCACATGATGGTAATGGCTGCATCATGAACTGTAATAACTATTATCACTATTACTACTACCTAATAACGCCAGTAGAGCTTTGAATAGAGCTAGACGAAAAAGGAAGACGAATAGAAGCTTTCTTACAAAAGCCAAAAAAAAGCTCCTTTTTATAACATCACATGCACTCTTTCGTCCTGACCAAGTTGCCCCGAATCGGAAAGACTGTTCTGACGCCCCGATCTCCATCCAAATCGGTCTTGGGGCCGAAGGTGAGACGTAAACCCGCACGGCAAAGCCGCCATATCCGGTCCAGACCACGGACCACGGGGGCTCGGCATTCAGATCTCGGCAAGGCAGATTGACAGAAATAGTAACCACGCTCGCTAATGAGAAAAAGCCCCTAGGTTCGCATGGGCTCACCCTCACCTCGACGCTTTTTTAAGTTCTCTTCAATCACACCACGGCCGGATCCTTTATTATGGAGAGAAGGCAGCCCCTGGGAGCTAGCTTGCCGTCCGCTCGGGTCACCCTTTAAGCCAGCCTTTCCCAGCACGTAAACTGCGTTCCTTTCTGTTCAGTCTCCTCATCATAGACCATAATCTCCGCTCATCGTGGCGTCATAAAGCTATTCCCTTCATTCTAGTCTCATTTATAGAAACTCACATTCATTTTTTTCTCTTGGGTTACTGTTTACTCACGAGGTTTGCGACATGGCTCATCAGTACGGCCCCTATGTTCGACTCTGGGGCATTCGTCCGTCACAGCTGCCCTCAGAGAACGCGTCAGCTCAGGATCTCACTCCTTTACTCCAGTCAATATTGAACGAAGCAGTTACTTTTGTCGACACCGTACCGCCACAACCATCATCCTCATCATCATCGGCCTCGTCGGGCAGATCCAACCAGGGAACTGGAGATGGACCATGGAAGGCCAAGGGATGCAGGGCGTTTCACCACTCAGCCGCGCCAGTGCACATGTTTGAGCGGGTTGTCTCAGCTGAAGAGCTGAAAGCGATAGCCAAGGACCAGAACCTCCCCCAGGCGACCAACGGCTCAAAATTCAAGCCAGAAACCTGGAGTCTGAGACGAAGTGTTCACGAAGGAGCGAAGAAGGCCGGCACCGCAGACTGGGAAGAATGGCTACAGTGTTTCAAGGAGGGCCACGCAGACGCGGAGATGAAGTTTACTCCCACGGTGATGAGCCACACGCTGAAGAAGCAGTGGGATTGCACGGGCGCAGAGGTCACGCTGGGAGGCGACGTGTACGAGAACCTCACACTGAAGCTGGAAGAGTCGGTGCACAAGATGCCTGCGCCGCTCAACAACCGCGCGTTTCCCGTGCTGCAGGTGACGGCGGCGGTACGAGGACGGCGCGAGTTCATCGTTGTTCAGATCGCGGCGGTGCCGGAGACTCTGAGCAGCGAAGAGTCAAGGTCCGACGGCGCCCTGAGAGGCACGTACACGAGCGTGGAGCGCTTTCGAGAGGTGGACGAGCAAGGAAACGTCGAGTGGCTGATGGGGACGGTGTCGGATGCGAGAGGCGTGCTGCCGGCTTGGATCCAGAAGATGGCGGTTCCGGGGCAGATTGCCAAGGACGTGGACATGTTTCTGGAGTGGATTGCGAAACAGCGAGATGGAAAATAGACGGCGTGGTTTCTTTCTTTCTTTTGATGACAGAGACGACTGATTATGTTGGTTGTTGGGACGTTGATGTGTTTGTATGTTGTATGGAGAGGATCAAGCGATGAAGTGAAGAGCGCAGTTGTTATATACCTATACCTACTCGGTATTTCCCTTTAAATATCTTATCTAATAGCGAATTGGATTTTTATCGTAATAGATTGCACCATTGCCGTTTTGGGATTTGCCCAGCGGTGTGGTTGGACGGAAGGAGGATACGAGGGCTTTCCCCGTTATCCATCCTTACACTTGGAAGGAAGCATCTGGCCCTCATTACCATTCACAACCATCATCATTTTTTCTACTCATTCTTTCTTTCGCATCATAACTTATATACTGTATGATCTACTTACATCGGACAACACAAACAGAAAGCTCATTCTGAAGCCAACATGACCAGAGGCCGTTCCGTCCCAGCAACAGTACTATCAACTGGATCCAGCTCCAGATCAAACGACACCACCAAGGCCATAAGCACAGCCATAATACCCTCATCCTCATCCATCTCGCCCATTCCCACAAATGGCCCCCTCACCACCAGAAACGGCTCCAAGCTCCTCGCCCAAGCAGATGCCCTCGCACGCATGACCATCGAGTTCAACGTCCGCGCCGTCAGCGCCCAAACAGAGCGTCTGGAAAAGGGCCTCAACAAACTCATGATGTCCACCAAAGAAGACAAAGAATTCCGAGAAAGCCACGACGCGAGGCTGCAGAGCCTGTGTAAGGAGATTCTCGTGGTGAAGCAGCGCATGGAAGAGATTCAGGGGCCGGAGTGGAATGGCAGCGGTAAGGATGGGCTGGAAGGGGTTAAGAAGGAAGTTGATGCGTCTATTGAGTTGTTGAAGAAGGAGATGGAGGAGCTCAAGGGTTTGGTTGGGGATATTTCGAGTACGTTGGATAAGCTCCCGACGGCGGCTGAAGCAGAGGCTTTGATAAGGCGTACTCAGGCTTCAGTATCAACAGGAGGGGGTAGAGAGATCCAAACGAGATCAAAGGCTGCAAAGACACTCGCGGAATCTAGTAAGCATATTCGCCATTTCTCTATTATTCTATATATCTTGTCTCCCTAAGGTATACTCAGCACTCACAACTTGAGTCAATGAAACAGCAAGAAGCCAAGTTTCCATCAAGCAGCGTATAGACGATGCAATCGGCTCAACCCGTCGCTGGAACCGAGACCACAAAACAACCAAGCTGAGCGATGCCACTTTCATAGCCAACTACCTTAGACAGCAATCCAAACGCGACCCACCAATGGCAGTCTACATACAAAGATCGATCAAGCGCCATGTCAGCCGCAGTGCTCGCCAAAAGGCAAAGGATCGTCCCAAGAACCTTGAGCAGTTTTGCCAGGAATTGGTGTGGAAGGACGTCATCGAGACGGCGGAGGAGGTGCTGGTGAGGAATGTGGCGCGGACAGCGAAAGCGTTGGAGGAGCGGGTGGGCTTGTCATGATTGAATGGGATTGCATATACGGCTGAGATGTAGTGAGAAATGTACACGTCTTCATGATTCTCTAAGATTAGCAAGAAGAAAGACTTTTGACGTCAAATAGTTGTTGCAATTCAATTTCAGAGCTTCCAGTTTCATGATACATACACGAGGTCATTTATCTTGTGTGTTCATATCATAGTTTGATACTAGCATGTCTATTGCAGTCGCTGATTGGCATCTAGCCTCCATAGATATCAATGAAAAAAGAGGGCTATACCAAATCTCGATCGCTTCCTCCATATCGAAATAATCATCAAACGAAGAAAACGGGTAAGAGACATCAAAACGCCATTCCAGCCGCCGTTCCTTGCACGTTATATCATTCTCGCCCTTTTAACCAGTCCGTAAACTCCACGCCAGGGCGAATGGCAGAAAAAAAAAAAGAATACCGAAGTAAAAAGCCCAGTAGATGGATTATTATGTAAGTAGAGGGGAAAATGAAGCTCCCCATAAGTGACCAAGGTTCTTAATCATCGGCCTCGATGCCGATGGAAGACTGCTTGAGCTCAATCTCCGACTTGAGCTGCTTGATCTGGTTCTCGAGACGAGTCCTGAGAATCTTGTTCTGTGTCCTTTCAAAGTCGGCCACACGAGCGGCGAGCTGCTTCTTAAGATCATTGATGATGTCCTTGACGCCCTGCTCCTCGTCGCGTTGAGCCCGCGCATCTTCATCAAGGTCGTCATCGTCGTCGTCGTCGTCGTCATCGTCATCATCGTCGTCTTCAGATTCGCTTGCCTCGATGCTATGTTGTAGCATTGAGGCCGAAGGCGTTGCGGCGAGTGCAGCCGTAGGAGTTTGGGTGTCCATGGCAGTAGCGGGGGTTTCGGCCATGAGTTCATCGGCAAAGGCTGCTTCCAGATCGGCCTCGAGATCGAAATCGTTTTCTTCCTCGACGCCCATGGTGACGTGCTGTTGGCCGAAATAGCCCATGCTGTCGTCCATTTCGCCTTCAGCGTCCTCCTCTCCGTCTTCGTCCAAGCCGTTTTCACGCTCATCGACCCATTCCCATTTTGTGGAGGCGCACTTAGCGTCCTCGGTGAGAAGTCGTTCGACTTCAGCTTCTTTGTCCTCGATTTCCTTGCGGCTGATGGTCTTGGCAAACCGTCGATTCACGCAGTCGTGCATAGGCGGTGTCAGGCCATGCGGCCACTTGAAGTTTGAGTCAATTATGCTGGGCAGAGGCGCGTGCCTCGCTTCCTCTTCGCTTTTCACAGCCTGGAATACGTAGAACATCTGGCAGATGTCTGCCGACTTCATCAATGACTTGCGGTCCCACGTCTTCATCGACTCCGTGATGGTGGGCAAATCGACCATGACAGCCGCAAAGCACTGGCCCTTGACAGTCACAACTCCGCGTCTAGAGTCCTCTTCGAAAAATCTCATGTAAATATCAGCCCCCCCTGCCGCCTTGGGCAGCCCAATCTTGCCGTTCTCCATACACGTGCGTACGTAGTCTGCGTGCTCGCCGGGCAACATGCGTAGGATAAACTGCTCTTCGATCGCCGGGTCGACTTCATTATCGCTGGCTTCGGAGTCATAGCCATCGCCGGGAGGATGGACAGGCGGACGACCACGAGGCTTGAGCACCAATTGAGTAAGCCCAGCCTTGGATCCCGCCTTGACCTTTGTTCCGCCACCTCCTCCACCTACCTTGGCGATGGGCCTGATCTTGATTTTTTGTTTTGTCGCGGGCGGGGGGCCATTGCCCACGGTGCCAGCCGTGCTTCCACGCAGCGGCGCCTCGTCTTCGTCGTCGCTAAGCGAGCGCTTCTTGCTTTCGATGAGCTTCTGGCTCGGTTTCGCTTGTCGGCCCGCTTTCGTCGTCACCACTGGTGGTAACCCTTTATCCTTGTCCTTTTCTTTCTCTTTCTTGGTCTCTTGGTCTTTGCCCACGTCCTTCATCAACACATCCTTGTTCGCTGAGACTCCCGCCGGCGTCGGCGGCTGTGACGAGCTGATCTTTAGCTTCACCTTGCGCGGGCCTTCGCCGGGCGTCGTTAGAGGAGGGTGTGCGGACGAGGAAGCCCCTCCAGGTGTCACTGCAGCGTCTCCAATGAAGGACGACGAGCGGCTCACGTTGAGCTTGAGCCGCGGCTTCGGGGGTGGTGCAGGAGCTGCAGGAGCCGCGTTGGCATCGCCTCCGGGACTAGGCGCCGACATGGTCGTGATCTGAAGGCGAGCGGTTCGATGGCGATGATTTGGTGAGTGATGGTAGATGTAATGAGTAGAAGAAAGAAAGGCAGGAGAGATTGTAGATGTTTGCTGTGGTTGACTTCTGTGGAAAGGAATGGAATTGGAGGGAGTAGCGAGCTGCGAATTGAAGTTCACAGAAGCTTTGTCGCGGAAGCCACGCTCGGGCAGTAGCCTCGCAGGGAATTGTGGGGCTGGCAACGCGCTATTCAATTGTGGCAACTTTCACCATTGAGTAGAGATTCAGAATACATTGTCCCTACAAAAGATCTCCATCTGGTCCATATAAGACCAAAACTGAGAGAAATCTCAACTGTGCTTCTGCATTGATTTTCTTATTTCTTGGAGGAAAAAGTTCTCATGGAAATACAGGTAACGCAGCCAAAACAACATCCGTCTGGGACTTAGACCGTATATATATACTAGATGTACCTTTACTGCAAAAAGAACAAGATTCAGAGGCAAAAGTGATGCATTTTTTGTATGCAGAGTCATCCGGTGAATGCACAGCTAAACTGCGTAAAATTTTGTAAATGAATGCTGTCCCAAGTCCAGCAACACAACTATGAAACATGGAGAATAGTAATAAAAAGAAAAGACAGTCATGCTCGCTTCATCAAAATCATATCCCCCAAACGCCGTGCAATGCCCATCCACCACGATACAAGATCAGCCCACACCAAAAATCTGCATAAGCAAGCCCCCAAAAGTTGTTCTTTACATGTAAGAATAAGATGGGTTCCCCAAGAAAGGAAGACAATGATTTAATTCATCCAACCCCATGGGTAGTTGCCATCAATGTTGACCCAACCTCCCTTTTCAATTCCATCCTCCCATCCCATCATCACCGCCAGCATCTTGCAGCCCATCGAACTCACAGTGCATACAATCTTGTCACTTGCCCCCGCCAAAACTGCCAGGTCAAGCATATACGCCCTGCCCATGTAGCTGCGCAACTGAATCGTCTGCTCAGAGGGCGGTTCTATCCGCCCCGCCGACGCTCCATTCGCATGGCCGTTGTGCTTCCTGTCAAACCCGAGGTTCCAAAACATGGGCGCAAAGAACCCGCCTTCCCATTGCAAGGTTTCATCCTTGAAATGATGAAGCACATTCTTGTCGACCTCTTCCCGTGGAGCGGCTTCTTTAGAGGCCAAGCGGATGCGCTCCTGCGCAAACAAGGCGTCGGAGAAGTCTGGCTGCTTGTAGACAGCAGGGTCGTCGGAGGCGATTATGGTGATGGATTGGTTTGTGGGCATTTCATGGCTCTCAGACGAGCTGTAGTGGGCGCCCACCAGCTCCTGGACCTTGCTGAGGAACACTTCGGATGGGATATAAGTGTTGCGATATTGGTACTCGAGAGGGTGCGAATCACCGCGCCGAACATGGAGCCCAATGATGGGGACATGCGAGACGGCTGAATCGGCTTCCATCGCCTGCTTTCTCAGTTGTTGCACCCGATTATGGGCATACTCTTGGTCATCGGCATTGATCTTGAAGAGTGCCTCATACCCCGATCTTGCAAGTCCCATCAGATCTCGTAGGTTGTTGCTGGTTCCGGCGGCGCGGTGGTATTTAGCCATTAAAGCCGGGAAAACATCCTTGAGTGTCGTGCCGGTGACAACCAGATGCTTTGCCTGTGCCGGGCAAGGAAGCATCCGATGTCGGGGAGGTGGCCGGCAATCAGGAACCGGTGGTGCCTGGAAGATGTCGGTATACTGTCCATAGGCCCAGCGAGAGTCGTCGATGAAAAAGGCCCTGCCGTCTTGTTTGGCGAGGCCGTAAAGCATCCACATGCTCATGACGGCAGTGCCCAGCCCAGCGTCAGAGCTCTCCAGCACATACGTGGCCGAAGACTGGCAGATAGGTAGTCCAGCCATGGACTCCCAGTTCAAGCCAACAAAGTGCCCAGATTTTGGGGTAGTATCTCCATGTGCAACAGGAGGCAACAGTCCGTATAGTTCAGCCTCATACACGTCGACAAAATACTCGTCCACGGCATCATAGTTAAGCTTGTCTTCGTCAGACAACGGGGCTTTACCACGAAGCTCTCTCGTATGAGCTGAGACCTCGCGGCATTTGCTTCCCATGCCATCGTATTCCTCCACCGTCAGAGGGAAATCATAGTGGTGCGGGATAGACATGGTCCACTTGGACTTGGAATGGCTATGGCTGACAACGATGGGCGTTGGAAAATCTGGAATCGCGTCCTGCCCAACCATTTCGAACTCTTCTGTTGTGAAATGGGGCCATACTGCTATGATGGAGTCTTTGTTTCGGAAGGCAAGGCGGGCAAAGTATAGGGCTGTAAATAGCGTGATTAAATAAAGCATATATCGCAGCACTCGGCTTGGTCGAGCAATCAAGGCTTTTGCAGGCGACTTCTTTGGCCGCGGCACCAGTGCGGGAAGACTGGGTGAAGGAGGAGGAGAGAAGAGAAGATGGTTAAAGTTGAATCGAGCCGAAGTCGATGAGAGCGGTGCTTTCTCATAGTTGTTGTATGAAGCATTTCGACGGAGGTTGAGCCGTGGAGGTGCAATCATGACCTTGGTGTGAGTCGAGAGATCCAGCGGAGGAACCATGGTGACGGTGATGCCTGTTGAGTGAAGTCCACCATATAACAAATGACTAATACATGAATCTGAAATGATAATAATAATAAAAATATGTGAGAGAATGAGAGAAAGGATGAAGGGTGCGCGAGTATTTCCAATAAGATGCCAATACCAAGGGAGAGTGTACCCAGCCTCAGTAAGAGACGACTCGATATGCCACAAGACAAGAGCAGGCCACCCGAGCAGCCGAGGGAGGAAAAGTAACAGTAATAATAATAAAAAGAGAGCGGCAGAGACGGGTCAGCCAAGATCAGGCTCTCAACCACTCACACCCTTTATAATAAACAAGGAGAGCGAGGCGTGCAGGTATTCCAATAAAGTTTTCCCCCACACAGCGTTAGGCAAAAAGATGAGGACCCTAGCAGACACCGCCGATCATCATGGGAGCCAAGGGCTTTTTGATAGTAAGGCACTTCCGAGGCTTGTCTCTGAGGATGCCGAGCAGCTGATGCGTGTGCGACTTGTTCCTATCACGGCTCAAGGGCCACGTCGATCCCGCCAGTGCCACCCGAAGCGGAATGAGAAGCGAGGAAGAGAGAAACACAAGGGCAACAGAAAGGGGGTGAAAGGGAGAAGAATGAAGACGGGAAGCGGCAAAGATTGACGTTCAACGTCAATGCGATGGCTTTTGGCCAGCAGGATGATGCCGAAGGAGAGTTGAGAGGGAATCTGGAGAATGGAAATAGTAGGCATCGACGGGGATCGTGAGAAGGGTATAAGCCTGGCTGATGCATGTACTCGTATGTACTCCCCACCTAAGGAACTAAGGCAAGGGACAACAGCCAAACAGAAATCAGATCAAATCAAATCAAATAAAGAAAAGCAAAATACTAGCACAATAGAGACGGGCCAGCTTCCGGCCTGTCCTGTGGGCGGCTGGTCAAACACCTGCAGCTCTCTCGGGAGCGCGGTCTCTTTGACTGGCCCTTTTGCAGTCCCCTAGCATCGACAGGGTCCCTGGTGTCTTTGTTCAACTGTGGGGAGGGAGTGAGGCTTGATGTCATGTCTCTGGTGACCCTGGTCGATTGAGAGACATACATACGCAAGAGAGAAATACAATAGGTACGGAGTATTAGAGAGCTTCCCAAGGCGGCAGGCTGGAATAATGCTAGGGGATGCCGCGAGCCACCCCAAAAGTGTTTCCGAATCATGAAAATCATCCGACGCTCAGCCTGAATGAAACAATGCTGGCAGGACAGCAGAAATGCATAACAGCATCAGAAAAGAAGACGAAAAAAGAGGCCTAATGCATTGAGGCCAGTACAGTAGAGATGGGAGAAAATAAAAAAGCCCAGGCAACCACTGCTCCGGGAGCGCATTGTATCACCCTCTCACCATTTGATTGTTTCCACCAACTTGCATCTCAATACGTCACACGCCAACCAAAGGGGGCGTTCCAGCCAGAGACACACAGTCCACAATGCGGCCCCAGCCCGGACATCCGTCCCCTAGTTGTTTTTTTCTTTTCTTCTTTCAATTCTAGCGGGCGCTTAGAAGACAGCTGAAAGACAAGGAACAGTAGGAAAAAAAAACGAAGAAAAAAAGAAAGGAAATAGTGATAGTCGTTGCCAGTAAGTGACAAGGGGGGACTTACAGTACATACCCTGGCTGGCGTCATGCCTCACTGGGGATCCTGTAAGAAACGGACTTGAAACCGATGATTCGGTTGGTCTGGAGAGACTTTTGGCGCCTGCGGGTTGGGCGTATTTAGGCGGCATCGCGTGTTTCAGATTGGCAGCCTGATCCACTTCTATGCTGCACGACGACTGAGGCAAAGAGGATGCGATCCAATGGAAATGTCGAGCTGCTTGTTTCTATGCTTATTCTCTCACTGCGTCCCCCGAGGAATAAGAATGAATAAGAAATGCTGTAGTGAGGCAAAATCTTACAACTAGATACCTATTTTAAGCAAAAGCTGCCTAGAGAGGGAAAATGGTTTGATGCCATCTCGTAAACACCCCCATACTCCAATCCTTTAAACCTTCAAGCCCATCCCAACCATACAAGTAAAAACACCACCTATTCAAAACTTTCCCTCCCTCCATCAAAAGTAATCCATCAAAAAAACATGCAAGCCACAAAAGATCTTTTTCTTCTTCCCACACTTAGTTAAAATAGGCACCTCGGTTCGTCCCTACGCCGGCCCACAACATGCACTCATAAGGTACTCATAAGATATCCTCTCCCACTTTTTAATCTATCTGACGCTCGCCATTCGGCCCATCCCAATCTCCATGCTTATTAGATGCCGCCTTTTAGATACTTAATATCACACCAATATACGATACGAACAGCGAATCTTATACCTCGTACCATGTGAATATTGTACTAATTAATAGTACTCGTATCTGTAGAGTCCGCTTTTCTCGTGTGCTCGTTCGGTCGTCTCCGAACGTTGTAATCCACTCTTGCTTTCCATATTTCCTTCTTTCCTTGTTCTTCGTTTCTTCCTCTTTTGTTGTCCATATCAGATACTGGAGAATGGGGCAGAGTTGGATACCACGTAATACCCCGACATATACACCTTAGTAATAGTAAGCAGTTCGGCAGATATAAGTGTTAGATATCTGGTAGACGTATACAGTTCATTTTATCTAATACCACCTTGGCGCAATATCATAGACTACTACCTTCGATTTTATACACTTATAATATCTCCATATGTTCATTTCATCTATTATCTGTACATCCAAAACATCTTCACGCTTGCTTAAAAGTTCAGAGTAGAAAATCATCATACAACGATGTTGTTCTTTTTGAATCATAGCTTGCGCTTCGCATAAACTAGAATCTTCGCTAGAGCAAGCAAACAAAAAAAAAAGGGAGAGAGAGAAACGTTCGAAGATGACGGAGAAAGAAAAACCACAATGCCTGTCCACCCGAGGCTCCTTTTGCCCATTTTGAAGTCATATAATATAGCCCAAATGTAAAACCCTAACCAGGCAAGAGAATGGGAGGAGCAGGATTTCGAATCCAATACTCCTCCTTCTCTGCCATACTCTGCAGCTTCTTCTGCCGCCACGAAACATCATCAAGACGCAAATCGCGCACAAGGGGGTATTCTTACACCAGCAACGAACCATCTCGTCCAATCCACACATCAAAACCTCTAAGCGACTCGGAATGCTGCATCATGAATCAAAACAAAGACCCCACTCGTGCTGCCCCCTTCTTGCAGAGCAAACAAGAAACAAACTCAAAAGCTCGGGTATAACATAAAAAAACAAACAAACACAATAGGGGAAGAAAACAAATTTGGCTCCCATGCCTGAACTCCTTGTCCCACCAAAAATTGCCGCAAATAGCTCTCATCACATTGCAGTCTGGGATTGCAACTTAAAGACTCCGGCCCATGGCCATGCTCTTTCCCCTCCTCCTCCTTTCACCCGTGTGCTCTCGGGGCTTCACGATGCAGCTTCAACAGGGGCGCTGCGCTCTCCAATGGGTGTCGGTACGCGCCGCAACGGTGGGAGCTCGCTGGGTGGCTCGCCTAATGATCCCAACCGGTGGCTAGGTGCCAGTCGTACACTCCCCCGAGCACCTCTAATGATCTGGCCGTTGTCGACTCTGTCTTGAATCATTTCCTCCAGCATATTGTTCATCTCATCAATACTCTTCGTCCTTCTCTTGGATTCCTTTATCGTGGGACTCCATGGGTGAGCACTCCGCATTCCATCCTGTGATTGGGGTGACCGAGGCTCTGTCATCGCATCGGCATTGTCCCGTGAGCGAGCTGCGCTTCTCAAGGCAGCCAGCATGCGATCCTTGTCGTCCAGCCTGGCTCGTAGATCGGCAATCTCGGCATCCTTCTCCTTCAGCAAGGCAGCTACACTGTGATCCTCGCCCACCATGATGCCCTTGGTGGGTACCGAGAAGCCAGACGATGTCCTAGAAGAGCTGGCTCGGCGTGCTTGGAGCAGTCGTTTTTCAAGCGTCGAGATGTATCGATTCTTGTCCGCGAGGTCGGCCTGTAGTGCTCGGTTCTGCGCAGTCAGGGAGGCCATCCCATCTCCGTTCTCCCCGACGCTATCCTCCTCTGCGTCAATGATTTCAGCAGCTGCTTCACCCGACGACATTCGTTTGGCCCCATAGCTGGACCTCCGTCCAATGGTAGAATTTGACGCTACTGACGCCGTCCGCTCCAAGGGCGACCGTATTGAGATGGCAACTGACGATCGAGCTGATCCAGGCACCAACGAAATCTGTGAATATCGTGCGAGCGCGCTCATGGTGCCATTCGAGTTGACACCAGCTGACTTGGAGCTGAGAATCAATCGGTTAAGATGATCAATTCGTTCTTTCAGCGCCGTCCTTGCAAGTTGCATTTCCAATATTTGCTCCTCGTGCCGTTCAGCCATCTGCGCTGTCTGAGCACGGTCGTGCTCAACAAGCTCCTTGATCTCTTCATCATTCTTCTTGGTGGCCTGAGTCTCCAGCTCCTTTTTCAATTCCTGAATCTCCATCCGATACCGCTCCAACAGCACCCGTGCGGCGCCATCTCCTCCGGCGCCTAGTGCTTCTTCGGCCCTCTTGGCATGACTGACAATACTGTTCTTTGCGCGCGACGCGAACTTGAGGGTATTCAGAGTTTCGATGGTGTGGTTGGCAGAAGTTGCCGCGGTTCCAGTCACTCCAAGCGCGGCCGTGCAAAGAATACTGACGAGGGAGTTACCAGAGAGAGCCCCCTGAAGCAGACGCGTCAGTTTGCTGTCTCGGTAAGGTAGATGCTTGCCATCTTTATCGCCGCCTTTGTCCTTCCATTCGGAGAGCTTTGCAATGACCGTTCCGAGAGTGAGAAGACTCTTGTTGATGTGCGCACCCTCTTGTCTTCGCTCCTTGGACTCTGCGGCCTTTTCTGAACCAGCAAGATCGATCAAGCTTAAAGTAGAGACTCGAACGCCTCCGGGCACGATGGCTGATCGCTTGTCGCCGGCGCCGGCGCCAGGATTAGCTGGCATTCGCTCTCGGCTTTCAACGATGATTTGGACGACGGCGTGACTTCGAGAACTTCGGGCGTTGAATTGTGTGCTGGCTGTTCGGCGGGCTTGGTCGCCTCGAGCTATGACTCGAAGCAGCTGCGTGGGACTCTGGACAATTTCCTCCTTCAGCGGAGTGGCATAGACGCCACGCTTGCTGTCTTCTCGCAGCTTGATTTCCTCTTGAGGAGCCGCAGCGCCACCTGCAGAGGCCATGCTCAACAGGTCGTGAATTTTTTCGTTATAAATTTCAAGGTAGCTCACTCTCAGCAAAAACTCGCGAGAAGGTGTTTCGCGAATGTAAGAAAAGATGTCTGTAATCGCCAAAGGGATGACACCAGGTGAAGATGCCGTTCCTTGCATGGAGAAGGTCTTGCCAGTTCCCGTCTGGCCATAGGCAAACACTGTACCATGGTAACCTTCCATTACTCTGCGGACTAGGCGCTTGGCCATGTGGTCGTAGACGCGGGCGTTGTTATCGTGAGTCGTAAAGACATTGTCTAAAGGAATTTAGTCAACACATCTCTCATATTGAAAGTGGCGGGCTTGGGACGCATACCATAGTAATAATCGCCCCCTTCTTTTCCTTTGTATCCGATCAGAGACCTTCGACCGTCGACCATCCATTCTCCGTCGGCGTGGTTGTCGTTTGTTGCATCTGGTCGCACTCGGACGCTGACAATAACATTGCCCTTTATTTCGCCAGTCGAGGCTCGTTTTTCAGAGGCGCTGCCGGACGCGTCGGCGGAGTCTTCGTATGTCGTTGCTGAAGTGGAATAGGAGCCCTGAGCAGAGGAACTTCGACTATGAGGGGGGGACGATACACTGATGACACCATCAGACATGCGGACGCTGCTTATGAATTTACCTTCGGCACTGCCATTTAACAGACTCGGCGTGGGCGTTGGAGTGTTGCTACTGGCTACGGAGTCTCTAGCGGACTTTGGTTTTCGCGTAGAGCGAGCTTTGTCGCCTCCTGCCAGAGGGCTGGATGGCATGCTGCCGAATCGATTGTCGCCCTTGGGAGGTTTCGGAAATGAATTGATGCTAACAGCTTTTCGGAGTTGGCCAGCCTTTGGCATCGGAGGAACTGCACCGTTGGAGGAAACGGTAGATGCTGAGGAGGGTGCTCGTAAACCGCTTCGGGGCGCATTTGGTGTCTTGGGACTGGGGATGGAGGCTATGCTTTTCCGACTCTTGGGGACGGAAAGAGTGGGAAGAGAAGTGTCTGAGGGCCCCATCGAGGGGCGAGGGCGCGGAAGAGCGGTCGCCATACTGCCTTTCGGTGTGGTATAAGAAAGCGCAGTGGGTATAAGAATTATGCTGGCTGGCTGTGCGTGATGGCTTGTGCGTAGTGCTTTGTGCCCTCAGAGGCTTCAGCCGTCCATGAACGGCAGATGCGTTGGGCCAGATGTCGAATGGCAGAGGTAATGCAGCGCTATCGGGTGCAGACAGGCCGCAAGAATGGAGACAAAGTAGCCCGACCGACGGGGGGGAGTAAATTACTCAATAACACAGGCGAAACAGCGGTACCTGGTAAATATGATCATGTTAGCATTGCAGCCTGCAGCGAGTCGCCTGCCTATCCTTTGTCGATATGCAGCCCACAAGGCGATTTGGGTATGTCGCTGAGGATAGGGGGCTGAGAAGCATCCACGATGGAGGGGGGGTCATACCGCTCTCTCCCACAAGAGTGTCCGGAGAAGTCTTTGCGTGGTGTGTAGCGAACAAAGGCGAAGCGGAGCAACTGGGTCTCAAATCCCAGCCAGAGATATCCCGACCTACGATGAACGAGATCCGCCTGAAGAAGAAAAAAAAAACAGAGAGCAAAAACAACGAAAAAAAGAAAAAAAACAGGGTGACTCGGGGCGAGGGTTTCTTGTCGTCGGTGGCCAACAGAAGAGCGGTGGATTTTCCTTTTTTTCCCTTTGGGGAAAACTAATAAGATTTGATGACTGATGGACCTGCCGATAAAGTACCGCCGGGGGTGGCCAACGGACAAGTCGAGAACCGCAAGGCAACACTCGAAGCTACAACAAACTCGACGATGAAAAACTTGCCAGATGGGTTCTGGCTTCGGAAGAAAGAAAGAAGATGTAAGCAGCTATGGCTTATGGAGGTGCGATCGTGGGCACCAGCGTCTAGTTGAAGGGCGATTTGCGCAAAAGAGACTGGATGCAAAAGTCACGGGAATGGGCGCGCGGACAAGGGCGATTGCAGGGAAGGCCTTCGGGGGGACGCAGCGAGAGATCGATGTACATGAACAAGGGCCAGCGGTCTAGCGGTACTGACGTCGCATATTCGTACAAGTATACGACAAAAGAGATGGAGAAAAAGAAGGTCGGAAAGGCGAAACGAATGGAATGCGATTCCAGAGCGGGAGAAGGAGAGTGTGGAGGTTTTGCAATGGAAGACTTTGCGAGAGACAGAATGTCTTGCCTTGCCCAGGGCATATGGGAGAAACTATCGATAGGTAATGTACAAGTAGGTGAGATTTGACTGAAGTGGCTGCGTCCAGTCCGAAGCACAGCTGCGGTACATATGCATGTACATGTATGGACCGCATCACATCCAAAGAACTGCATAGATTGGTTCAATAGGTACTCGTACATACATGCAGATTGGAAATTGGCCTCGGGTGTGATTCAAGGGCCCTCACAAGGTGATTGCCGTAATTAAGCATCCAGCCCAATCCTGGAGGTTTTGCTGCTCGCACCGGCAACAACAAAAAGCTGCACTAAACTGGTTGGTCGAGCAATGGCAACTCGCAAGTGGTACGAAAAGGAAGCTGCCTCTTCAGCCGGCAGCTTGGATTAGGCTGGGCAGGTCCGGGCTAGCGCGGCGATTGGTCCCTGGGCGCCGCCCTGGCTGTGGCGCCACCTCGCGCTAGGGCTTTGGCGCTCTAGCGCTGCAGCAGGTGCAAGGGCCCCCTGTGTCGCCAGCCACTGCAGTCATTGTGTGGTGCTGCGAGCCCGGGAACCTGCGAACACTGCTGCAGAAGGACACCGGGTACATCCAACTGATGCGTGAGGTGCTGCAGGGAGACACGCAGCTTTGAGTGGAAATACAGCACGCGCTACCCCGCTGCAGCTGCATTTGCAGCACTCAGTGAGCCTCCAATTAGCGACTTCACTACCTGACGCGCATTGTAACCCAGCACCTCAAAATTCTATTCTCTTGGTTGATGCAAAGTACACCACGTCCAAGCTGTATGTAGGTACTCGTACCTGCTGGGGAACGTCCAACGCCGTCACCCGTCGCGTCGGTCCTCCACACGAGGCTATCCGTTAATATGCACACGGGCCACTCCTTACTCACAGCACCATCTCTCTAACACGACGTTGTCTTCGCTTCCCTTCAATTATTTGCCCGATATCAATGTCCATCATGCAGATAAAGAAGCAATAATTATGCATCAACATTCCACCACTCACCTCCTTGGCCTTAATATAGCATAAAGAGGGGAGAAGGAAACCAAGAAGAAAAAGAAGAAGGACCTCATCCACCATCTCCCTCAACCCGATCCCTCAACCAATGTCTTCCCTCCGTCTAAGCCGCGAGGGCCAATTTCAGAGCCTGTCCTCGCCATGCCCGATTCCCCGAGAATGGCACCAAGAATCAGGGGAGCATCCCGGGACTATGCTGAAGAGGTCCAAGTTCCCTTTTTAGCTCCCCTAGACATTTTCTTTAGCGTCAAAGGGCGCCCTCGTAACAATCGAGTCTATATTAGTATCACAAGTATTGGCGAGTTGGCAGATGCAACATGAAGAAAAAGATTGGTTGGATCTGCTCTTCAGCCACCCCGATGGCGTCTTTTCCGCATGGCCGACCACGCGGGATCCAAGCTGAGGCAAGGGACTATCGAGTCTTCCGTCTCCATCGCCATAGAGCCATTGTGTCCATGTTCCAGTGAAACATGCTGCAGCTCGTGTCTGTGATGTGATGTGATTCCGACGAGAGAGATTCGAGTCATGCAGGCACCATCTGCAAGGCCTCCGGCAATTGACCGCATTAGCACTTGCGTCCGTTGCTTGCTTGGCCTGTACGACATCTGGATGCAGTAAAACGCTTTTCAAGGGTGTCGACATAATTTCTGATATGGATGAGTGCTAGTACCACCTTAGTATAGATCTTCAAAGGTGATGTGAGCCTTCTCCATGCTTTTAGCATCGTGAACAGAGCAAATGCCTCCATAAAATGTGACTCCGACTCCAGATTGCAGAACACGGCTCCATCTAGTTAATTTTCTTTATCAGCAAAAAACAGAATTCACACGACTTCAGATTCCCAATTCGGGACTCTCAATGGCCATCGTGGCGCCAAGATCCCGACTTCAGCTCCCTCGCTAAAGACCGATGACGGGCGTTTTGCCTTGCTTTGGCTCAAATTTCTTTTCTTCTTCTTTGGCCCCCCTGTTCGTCGCGGGTTCTCAAGCCAACAAAGCGACGCGTTCTGCAAGGCACGAGGTCCAGAACTCCAAAATGCGAGAATGTGATCAGTCACACCAGCTCCAGCCCGGGGGCTCCAGCATTACCATCCTTCAAACAAGTAGACTCGGCGACACCTTTTTGATGAGCCATGCTCCAAATCTCAATTTACACGTGCGAATAACGTGCAGCTTCTCGCGGTGCTTCTATAAATGCACCTTTACACCACAGGAACGTGAAACACCCTAGAATAACTGTAATTCCCGTTTTGGGTAGCACAGACCGTTCTCCGGAATTATATTCATGCTCCCCCCAAGATTAGAGTGCGTATTAATACAGCTCCAGATGATGGACGATTGCGCTTTTGCATAGTCAAATCAAGATGAGAACCCCTGGTCTATGCTCCGGTCGCTGAGGCAATCATCACAGGTGCTTCTCCAGAACGTGCCACGGTCGCAATTCGTATCCATCAGTTCTGCTGGCTAGTCAATGTCAGACGGAAGCACACCACCGTGATGAATTGTGACATTTCCGTGGCTCCGCCGTCTATCATGCACGGGACAGGGGCCGATTGGAATGGCACATGTCACCCAGAGGCTGATCGTGGAGCTACGTGAGAGCCATCGTTTGATCATCGCTTTAGCATAAAGCACAGTCTACAACTTGGACAAGAGCACGCTTGTCAGTGTCTAGCCGGTTAGTTAGTACTTAGTAGGTAGTGATGGGGTTTTTACTCGTATCCGGGATAGCTGTACATGAACTCTCATCACAGGTCATAAACGACACCTCTTATTGAGAACCATGTTGTTGTATCATACTCCCAATCCTCCATCTTGTAGTCCATCACGAGAAATTTCCATATACAAGGTATAGCGGAAAATAACATCAAGGTGATATGTAAATCATTCATCCGGCTAAGCAGATTCCACTAACATCGTGTCCCAACTCCATTCAACTACATGCAAGCAAGACATTGATATCTCGGCAAATATCCTCCTCACCAGCCCTACCAGGCTCATCACTCGCCATCTCGGCTATCATTATTGGCATAAACGATTTCTCACTTATACACCCCAGGGACCCCCCTTCAACGCCACATGTGTCGAAATAATCACCCTCCCAACGCCCTCACTCCCCTTCCAACACTCCCCGTCTCAAAAACCTCAACGATGCCCAGCCCAACCGCCTGCCCCAGCACCCACTCCCACTCGACGCCCCAAAAGTCCTTCCACCGCGTCCCGTAAAGACCTCCTCCTTCAAACCGCTCTCGGAACCAGGCCTCCGGCGCCTCGCCCCATCTCGTCTTGTCCAGCAACTCGCGAAGCCAGTCCACCGCCCCCTCCGCGAGCTTGAGATACCGCCCGTGTCCCGGCACCGCGATGCGGAAGTCGGACGCCTCTGATGAAGCCAGCGATGATCCCGTCAAGGTCGGCGCGCCGCCGCTACCGCCCGCAAGATGAAGCGCATTCTGGCCTCCCACTGCCGAGACGCTCCCAGAGGCAAAGCGAGACACGTGATGGATAGAAGTCAAGGTCGTGCGGTCCTCGGGACGGACATGAAGTGTCGTCCCCGGCGCGGCCTTTAGCGAGCTCGTCAAGAATCCCGCTCTCACCAGCTCGTCCGTCTGTGCATGCGTCACGGCGCCCCTAGGAATCGTCTGGGCCGTAGGATTATTCTTCAGAAACTCGAGAAACTGCTCCTTGGCCCCTTCAGACATGCCCGTCTTGCGCACCATGGCCTCCAGATCCGACGCCTCGATCAGGGCCTCGCCCATGCCGCCTCGCCGCTCGACCCTCACTTTGCGCAGCACGCCGCTCCTAGAGAGCTCGACCACCTCGCGCTCCACCTTTGACGGCGAAGTCAGGATCGCATTCAGGTGGCCCAGCGTGACGATGGGCGGCACCGTCAGCCTGTAGTTGAGAATCTCAGCCGACCGCGTAGACTTGAACCCCGTAGGCGGAACGGGCGTGAACATGCCGTTTCGAACATATCGCATCGCCTGGACCACGTCTCTCAGCGTCAGCTCCTCCTGGAGCAGCTTGACGACTCCCACGTCCGAGAGCTTGTCCTGAAACTCTGCATCCAAGTCATTTTTCGCCGCCGGCCTCTTGGCCTTCCGGGGAGACTGGGATGAAGAAGCCTTTGCGGTGCTTGTAGAGCTCTGTCTGGCAGGGCTTGGCCTGCTGGGCTTCCTCACCCGGTTGGATTTGCCCAGGATGGATCGTAGGTTCTGTGGCATTTTTTCCCTTTCTTTTTCTGTGACTCAACGTGCCGGATTCCTTTCTTTCGACTTATTCAGACCGACGCGACGAATTTGAAACTCCAGTCTCCGGTGACTCCTGTTGCCCAGTGTATTATCATCCTATCATGTCAGGCGCACATCCAAAGCAACGTGGCGAATTCACAGACGAATGAGAAATCATCTGAAAAAGTTTCATCCAAAATGCCCAGAATATAGAGACCAAGTCATGAATAGGTATGAAGAGAGTTAGTTAGTACTCCGTCGCCGTATGAGTAATGGGCAAGATTTGGATTCTGTGGCAAATTATGAACCGCAACCCTGAAAACCATTCCATCGGCTTACTAAACTTAGATCAAGAGCAGCCTCACTACGCGTATTAGTCGCAAATAGGCAATTTGAAGCCAACCATTATCTTCACTTAGATTTCGCTATAAATTTCAGTTCCGCTAAATCAACAGTTCCGCAATGCAATTTGACCAACCACTTATGCCCATGCTCTCCCTCCATTAATGTAAATTCGACAGCACTCCAACAATTAGCCAGCTGTAGTCAAAATATACGACGTAATTGCGCTCATCCGCTCACTCGTCAGCTTGAGTGAAATCTTCAAAAACTCCCTTGCAATCTCTGGATCCTTCTGCTGGAGCCTCTTCCAAGACTCTTGCCCCATCATCCAGACAGTGCAATCTCTCTCGACTTGCGCTGTCGCTGTGCGGCTCATTTCAGAGAAAAAGGGCAGCTCCCCCAAAGTAGTTCCCGCGACGATGCTCTCGCAAAACCAGCCTTGTGGCAGGTTATATTCCGCTCGGATGATGCCACGCTCAAGGAGGTAGAAGCCGTCTGCCGGCTGGCCACGTTTAAACAGAACTGTGCCAGCGGGATATTCCTTTCGTTCAAAGTACGGAGTTGCTTGGAACCAGAAATCCTCATTCTTGTCGCTCAACCCCTGGAAAATCTGCAACATGAGCCGCAGAGGTTCATTAAAGCTCTGCCACCTAGATCGGCGCTGGATCTCGACACTGTTGAGTGCGTCCTGGGCCGCTTCAGCAAGGTGATTGCGGCGTGGAGAGTTGAACGGAGCATCAAAGGAAGCCAGCGTCGCCGAAGTTGTTGGAACATCTAGGTTGGCGGTAGTATGCTTCGTCGAATTCAGCTCTTCTTGTCGGGCGTAGAGAGTTTTCAATAACTCGTTCTCGCAACTTTCTAGAGCCGAGTTCAAGTCCGGCAGCAACATAACTTCGATATTCCCGCTGCCTAGGCCCACGGCCCTTATGCTTCGACCAAGTTCGCTATCGGCATCAATACCACTCAAAATAAGGCTGACGCCCTTGTTGTTCAATAGCCGACTGATTGTGTTGAAGGCTTCACCAGCAGAGTAGTCGAGCCCACTAACGTGCCACATGTCGAGAATAAGGAACTTGATGGGTTTCTGGGCAAACGCATGATCGTCCAGTAGCGCTCGTATCTTGGCTTCTACGCTGACGACAGTGCCAAAGAACAGATATCCTGTGAGCTTCATGATGTAAATTTGCCGGCCGACTTGTTGTAAGTAGTTGTCCTGTGACGGGTTGCGTCTGACGGTAGAGGTCACGACTTCACCATCATAGGATGCTCGAATGGCTGATACTCTTGACGTCTGGATAACGAGTGATACAAACGCCAGCAATATTCCAACGCCAATGCCAACCACAAAGTCATAGATGCCCATAACTAGGACGATGATGATGACGGTGGCATACTCTGCGGGCCTAAGTTTCTTCCGTGGAAGCCATACCGCCTCAAGAAGCAGCTCAAATCCAAGGTCAAAAATAAGCGTTCCGACCATCATGACGGGGATCCATCCGATGATACTAGGGCCAATTACCATAACTCCAAACGTTAGAATCGCAAGCATGTAGCCAGCAAGCCGCTTGTTGCCTCCGGACCGCAGGAAGAAGACAGTATTGGCGTAGACTAGATAGTTTTGAATGCTACCTATGCACCCTGAAACGAAGTTGGAGTATCCATGAAGCTTAAGCTCCTTGTCTAAGTCGGCATTATCTTCCCCAGAGTTGAGTGCCAAGGCGGGGACGTTGATGGGGACATGAAGAATGCCAAAGAAGGTCAGAGCAAACATGGCTGGGATTACTTGAATGATTGCACCCCAGTTCACTAGTTGAAGTTCTGTCAAAGTCGTTAATATTGATATCCGGTGAGAATGAGGCGGAGAAAATACTCACGATACAAGGTGTAAAAGTACCACCAAGGTTCATCCGGAGGCGGTCCAACGAAAATCCATCCGTGATCTCGGAGCGTGCTCGGGTCTAAGGTATCGAGAGAGAAGACGAATAGGTAAAAAACTAGTGGGATGGCCAAGATGAAGAGGGGAAGGAAGTACTTGGATGCACCCTTCATCTGGCCATAGAATAGAATAATGGCCAAAGCAAGAGGACACACCCAAAGAGGAATTGTCTTGGTATCCATGAGCTTTTGCAGTGTATCGAGGTTATACTCAAGGCTGCCTTCCAGCCGGGCGGAAACCTCGAAACCCGTAGCTATCAAGAACCAACCAACACCACCAATACATCCTATCAGGATATGCCTGGGGATAAATCCGACCATAAAGCCAAACTTAAATCGGCCCATAAGGTAAAACACCAGGCCAGTTAGCATAGAGCTCAAGGCATAGGCAACGATCGTTGTGGCGATGACCGCGTCAGGATTGTCTTCGCCAACAATATCCAAAATCTTGGCTGCCATATTATGGAAGAAAGGAACGACCTCAATCTGGACCAGGGTTAGATAAAACGGGTAGATACATTAGTTTTAGGACAATTTGTACGTACAAGTTCAGATCCTACGGCTCCCCTGAATATGCTGCCTGTGGAGAAGACCAGCTGTGCCACAATTGTGCTGACATAGTATATAGAAATACCAGCAGATCCTAAATGAGAGAATAGAGGAGTTCCCAGTGGAAACAAGATCATGCCTAGTCCGGTCAGCCAAGTTCGTTCGGTGATAGTACGGGAAGTGCTTACCATATGACAGGGCGTCCAAGATGTTTAGAAGTAAACCAACGGCAACGGCTGGAAGACAGGAAACTGGCTCCACCACGGTAGTCTCCCAAATGGCTCTTCGATTCCAACTACGTGGACTAGATGCTACCTTTGCGATTTGGCCGAGATGATGCTCCATTTTCTGACGTTGCTCGGCGAGTCCACGCAGCCACCTTCGTCGAGCTTGAGTCTTTTGGCCTTCGATATCGAGATCGACACTGCTACTGGCTCCTGATCCAGACTCCTGCCTGCCTAGAAGAGGAGTATACTCTGATGCCTCTGATACTTCGGGTTCGCCCGTCTGTGACTGGTGTTGTGTCTCATCCACGTGTGACGACTGGGATTGTCCAGCATCGACATTGTCGAGCCGAGCTTGCGGGATACTTGTCTGCTCTGTCAACGATGATGGAGGAGATGATTTCTTGAGTAGATTGGCAAGCGCAGAAGGCCCTTCTTCTCTCACTGCGTTCTCTCCATCCTCTCTATCTTCCGGTGACGGCGGCTCAGATACTTCAGGTATTGTCCCTGACGAAGGGCGTATGCTCATGCCTCCCTCAATGGAATCGGCATCTCCAAACTCTGGGCCGAATACATCTTGAATTGACGGTCTGTTTCTCTGGAGGAAGCTCGGGCGACGCTGTGTTGAGCCATCGGACAGCAAATAGCTTGCCAGCTCGGCGGTATCTTCGCGAACGCTCCTCGCATTCTGCGCGCTGTCCACCGGAACTACTCCTACAGTTAGCGGAACATGGCGTCTGATGAGTATGGCACGAAACTTTACCTAATTGATCTCGCATTGAAGCATGGATGAAGGAGCGAATGGGTTCTTTATATCCTTGCTGAGATCCAACAGAGGAAGAGAGCTGCTGGTGTTGCAAGGTCCCAGCTTCCAGCGTCGAGCTCCCAGCATGACTCGCCGCGTCTGTGCGATCATTGTGCGACTGATCCATCTGTGAAACCGAGCTGGAAGCTCTCTTCCGCCACGGCGAGAATCCTAAGACAGAGGACGACATGTTTGAGCATCCAATGGTGGAGCTCTGCCGACGAGCTGATCGGCAATGCTTCAATCACGAGCCGACATGAGCATATGGGATCGGGTTCAGAAAGACTTGGTCGCGGGATGGACGGCGATTGAGGATGACCAGAGGCCCAGGCTATGTGCGGAGCAGGCAAACGAACTGGAGGAGGAAGAAAGAAAGGGTGGCGCAAGCAAGGAGAAAAGACATGCAGAAGAGAGTTGAGCATCATCAAGAGATAACGGCTATCAGGGATTGAAACTTTGCTAAATCAAGAAATTTCCGGGGCGGTGGCGCCGAGGCCGGGCCGTGCAAATGAAGCTGGACCTTATCGCAACGAGATTGTGCCCGATGCGATATCTTTACGTTAACGATTCCTAATTGCAATTGCTTACTCGCACATGCAGCCAGCTCTGCGACGGTGGTGCTAGCAGACTTGCTTGCTCCGATAGCTTCAATTGCTTCGCGGCACATGGATGTACGTGACCAGTGACCTGCAATGCGATCGATGTGCGCTCGGCTTGTAAATGGGCACACCTCATCCTTCAGGCCTAGCCTCGTCCACCACCCAATGAACCGTGAGATAAATGCCCACTCTCTGCACGTCTTCTGCAGCTTTAGACTGCATTAGTGGGCGGAATCGAGAACAATCGACGTTGCACCATGTGCGTTTCACTGATCTAACGCAATTCCTCTCCCAGGAGTCACGAGTGCGCGATATCCTCTGCCGGTAACAACATATCACTCTCACCAGACAAGGGCATTTTGGCTATATACTGCTCACGCTTTCCAGCTTCAGCAATGGAGAGGCCTCCCGCTATCAATAATGTCGCATTGGTTCTTCAGTCAACCTGGTTTGTGCTGCCTTGGATGAAAAGTGGAAAGTGGAAAGCGAAAAGTGGAAAGTGGAAAGTGAAAAGTGAAAAATGAAAGTTGAAACTACTATAGCCGTGATGTAATGTAACCAAAAAGTCATGTCCCCCGAAACACCCCCTCCGGCTCATCCACCGCTTTTTAGACGAGCCAAACGTAAAGTCATTATCCTTGTAACACGCCAGTCAATGTCATGATGTGATAATTGCGCTGCTTCAATATGTCCAAGCCCCGAAAGAAGCCTTCACCTTCCTCAGTAGTTGGTTGACATCTCTTCATGTCTCAACCTCAACTTAAATCGAAACAGCGCTCCTACCATAATTGTCTTTCTTCCTGTATCATACTTTGGCACCTTTTTGTAGAGAGGGGGCCTCATGATACATGTGTACAACTGTCTCAGCTGAGCTTCTGCAGATATCCTTGTGCAATTAGCCGCTCTACGTCTCCCTGTCGGACGTAGAATTGGCTGTTCTTTGTCAAGGTAATTGCCCTGTAATCTCCTGGTAAGCTTCATCTTCAAGTCAAATATGGAGCTGTACTTACCCGTATTCTGTCTGAATCTCACCCGCATCTTTGAGAACACGAACGTCGATGAACAGGTCCCTTGGTGGCTCCAGGCTACCAGTGAGATCAATATCGGTCCACTGTCCCTTGTAAGCTGCCAGTAAATCGCCGTATTGTCGCACATAGTCCTCCTCCTGTGGGCTGAGACTGCTCGTGGATCCATCGCCGCTCGCCACTCCTTTGCTGCCGGATGCACCACCGTCTCGTACCTGTTGGCCAGACAAGTCAATGACATCCGCGCCATTCCAGACAAGCTCTTCCAGTTTGTCGGTGCGAGTTCTGTGATATGCTAGCAAGCACCGCTTGTTTCTGCGCATTGAGATGTGGTTCACAAGAAGTGTGTATGCTACTGCCTGATCCTCTGCTGGGTCGAAAGAGCCCTGGAAAGGCTCAAGCAGATCATCAACATCTTTGTTGAGATCTCTGACTTCTCTGGTCACTGCACGAACGAGCTCAGCTTGGTATGGAGGCAGATGTGCCAGATTCTGAGTTCTCTTGGCGTGTTGGACCTGCGGAAGCTGTGAGACGCGCTGCAGAAAGCCATATCAGGGACGAAACGTACCAGTTTGATGCCCAAGTCTCCATACATCTTACAAAAGACTCAGGTCTGTTATTTTGCTTGTAGAATTAGCGTTACTGCTATTATTTCGAGCACTCTGAATCTGTACAAAGAGCCTATTATGCGTTGCCAATACGTTGCGAGAAAGAGTGTTCAATGTCTTATCCTTAGGTGGAAATCCAACTTTGGCTTGGCGGCTGCTAGAAATCGAGATCACGCTGAGGCCCCACCATCCTCAACCGCCCTACAGGTACGGAGTACATACCCAAACGCGAGAGCTGGCTTGTAACCGCTGATACTACAGGAGGCAGTGTTTCGACACACTCTTGAAAAAAAAAATAGCTATTATAGCAGATACTAGAAGGATGTAGTCATAGTAGTATGGGGTGCTGAATAGCTACTCCCATTCTTGATTGTAGATTTCTGCGTCACGACGCTAGCTGTACAGTTCAAACACTCATTTGCCATTATGTATTATTGGAGCAGTAGTCTTCAACGATAATATTTATTTAAAACTCTACACTATAAATCCAGATGCATAGTACTACTACTAGAAATTGGCATCAAACCAAGCATCGCCTTACCTTTCACCGGGACAATCCACCGCAGAGTTGCAATTTTATTCAACAGCTGCTGTTCCAGCTAGATTGCCGATGTGTCATGTCCAGCTTGAACATTGCCCTGAATTTCATCTTTGGAAGCTAAAGCAGCACACTAGTTAGCAATGCTGCTGAATACGCATGATAATGAATTTCGAGAAAGAAAAAGTGTCATGGCGTAAAGTTCAGTGTTGCACAATGTGCTTGTTGTGTCGTCTTGCGGCGGGTCTTGAGGCCGCCTCCGAAACACGGACCAATGTTTTTCATCATAATGTCTCCGGGGATTGCATGCTATGAAGTGAAAAGAGAAATTGAATTCTTACCTGTCGTTTGATGCTGGAAGTTTCCGTCTGAATATTAGTACTGATGCCATGAGCATCTCGATCCAGCTGGCGCAAGATATACCGCGTGAGAGAAATGACACATCTCTCTTAGAATAGCTGTGCAGAGACTAGCTATTCGCTGGATTTAGCACAAAAAGTGCTTGACCGAAGAAGTCTTCGTTTGAGATAGAAGAATAGAAGGAGAAAAAAATTGGCTGCAGAGGGAAGCTTATTTATTTGATCGACAAAAAATTACTGCTCTATCGATATGGGATAAACATCGGCCCGAAGCCCCACTCTTGCTCCAAGCTCGACGTAAGAGCTCCTGTAGCCTACAGTAACGCCCGCCACCAAGCTGGCATGGACGGCATATGGAGTTCAGCATCAAGCAAGCCTTACCTCAATTCTGTACGGACCTCTCTTTCACAACATCTACGAAACGGTCTTGGGCACAGTTCACCGGGTGTTTCACAATGCCGATTGCACCTATAATCACATTCAAGGCCGGCCAGTGTGACATCGACGTAAGTTACTCGCAAAACGAACGCCGTTTCATCCCACCTGGCCGCTGACAATACTCTTCCTACCTAGACATCGTCGAAGCCATACAAGGTCACGCCACAGCCTGAACCTGGCTACATCTATCTATATTCCGAAGATGGTCAGTAACGCGTGGGCTCGGCTAATACTTGAGCAACCATTAACACGGAATAGATCTGGTGCATTTCTGCTGGCGACGACGGGACCAGCCTCTGGATGACCCCGAACTCGACCTCGTCATGGTTCCCACAGACGGTAGCTTTCTCCCATACGAATACAAGACCACCCCTCAGCCCACAGCAAAGACCAACGGCCGCATATTCGCCCTGAAATTTGCCTCTTCCTCCCAGCGCCATCTTTTCTGGATGCAGTCCAAGCCCCAGGGACGAAGTGGCGAGGCGAGCTACTTCAGCCCCCGGGATCGCAAGATCGGCGACATTGTTCACAGACTCTTGCAGGGCGAAGAGGTTAACGTGACGCGGGAGCTGGCCGCTGTGCGAAACAATAACGATCACCAAGACGACGAAGATGAAACGATGGAGGACATCGAGGGCCACGGCCACCAGGATCACCACGCGGGAGGCAGCGGCGGTGCTGGCCCCGATGCGACGGGAGGCGATATAAGAGAGGAGGGCGAGGGCTCGAGAGAAGGCGGAGCTGATGGAGCAAGAGCGTAGGTAACCCCCCCTATTCTTCAAGGCTGGTCACGACACGGCCCGTGCAAAGGTTGTCTGGTTCCAATCACTGGTCTCCGAGGGTCAAGAACATGTTTTTTGGCATCAAAATGAAGGCCAATTAATGTACTAAGAAACTTCCTTGTACCTTTGAACAGAGCTACGCCAAATGATATCATGATTCTACCACGTGAATGAAGCAACTCGGAGACGACGAAGCTAATTTTCTTCCAGAGCTTCGTCTTCAACCCCAGATGCGGCGGCTGCAGTAAGAAACTTTCTCGATTCCCTGAGAGGCCAATCCGGTCTTTCTGGAGGACAGCAACAGCAACAGCAGGCAGATATTGCCTATCCTTACCTGAGCCACCTTCTACCAACATCCATCACAGTCCCCATCGTCGATACCCTCTCAGCTGAGCAAGTAGACTCACTTCTCAGCTTCCTACCACCGGCTGTCATTGTGCTCGCCAGTGACACAGTTGAGCTCGATGGTAGATCAGACCCAACTGCCGATCAGATCAAGGCTGCCAACGAATCATTGTCATTGGCGCAAAAGCAAGTCTTGTTGAAGAAAGTCCTTCGAAGTCCCCAATTCCATCAGGCCTTGGGAACGTTGACAATGGCTCTTCGAGACGGGGGTTTGCCAAGTGTTGCCGACGCGCTCAGCGTAAAGGTTGAGAATGACGGGTATTTGCAACCTGGAATTCCCATGGGTGGTGGCTATGCGGTCAAGGCATTCATTGATGGCGTCAAGAAGACTGTCAAGGACAGTAGACAGTAATTGCTGGCTGATGCCTGTTATGTCTCATGATATCAAGTAGAGGGCCTTGATGCTCATTGGTATATTTACGATTCTCTAGCAAGGAAGTGAAATAATTCGTACGATTTAATCCGTCTTCTACTTTTCCTTTCACACCAATTTCCTCGATGACAGATATCTATTTGTAAAAATGACCGTACTCGAATGTTTGTTCCATGAGAATTCCTGGATGCAGGTACAGCCTGGTGAAGACTGCTAGCAGTGGGGCTGTTGGTGGGTTGCAGCGCGCTAGGCTATTGATAGATGCGGTGGGCACCCAATTTACAGCGGCATCTCAATTCATTGTCTCCGTTGAATTCCTTACATGTATCCATTCCAGAAATCATGACCCGGTAAAACCATCTTCTCCTTCTCGCATCTCACTACTCTTCAAAACACACGCGATGGACTTGTCTTTTCCAACCGACGTACAGGAATTCGACAGCGATGAACGCATATCTTTCTCTAAGCTAGATAACAAGTTCATCGCGGTCCATGACGATGGCACCGAATTCGAATTCGACGCCGACTTGAAGAAATGGGTTCCTACGGAAGAGGAGCCATTGGACGACGATTTAGACGATCTTAGAGAGTACAGCGGAACCCCTGCAGATGACGATACGTCAAATAAGAAGAGGAAGCAAGGAGTAGAAAATGGAGATGCGGTAAGTCTGAATCGATTCCGTCTTGTCATGTGCTTGCCCGCAGCATCATGGCGCAACTCCAGCGAGTGGCTGCTCTCGCAGAATACTGACGACCTATGCCTCAAATAGAACGCCGATGCCCCCAGACCTGCGCGTCCAAGCAAGAAGCAAAAGCCTCCGCCTCAACCTAAACAAAACACAGCCGTCTACGTGACCGGCCTCCCCGCCGATGCCACGGTCGACGAAGTCCACGACCTGTTCTCTCGCAAAGCCGGCGTCATTGCTGAGGAGATTGACAGCGGAGCGCCGCGAATCAAGATGTATAATGACGACAAAGGCAACTTCAAAGGCGATGCCCTCATCGTATTTTTCAAGCCTCAGAGCGTCGACATGGCCATCATGCTGCTAGACGACACCAATTTTAGATTTCTGCCCAGTGGCACGACGGAAGGAAGGATTCGAGTCCAAGCCGCTGATTCAAGCTACAAAAAGACCCAATACGACCAGGAGGGGGGTGCTCGCGAGGCAAGCAATGGCAATGGCCAGAAACGACAAAGGAACGAGAGAGATCGACAGAAAATCATCAAGAAGACACAGAAGCTTGACGCTAAGCTTGCTGACTGGGATGACGATGATCCATACGCGTCATTGGTGCCATCTAGCTCGAAGCGGGACAAGACTGTGATCCTACGGCACATGTTCACTCTCCAAGAGCTGGAGGAGGATCCTGCTGCGTTGTTGGAAATCAAGGAAGACATCAGAGACGAGTGCTCCAAACTTGGCGCCGTCACCAGTGTGGTTCTGTACGATTTGGAGCCTGATGGCGTGGTATCTGTCAAATTCAAGACGACCGAATCTGCAGCTGCGTGCATCAAGCTCATGAATGGACGAAGCTTTGGCGGCAGCACTGTCGAGGCATCACTGTCGGTGGGCGAGAAATTCAAGAAGTCGGAAAACGAAGCCAACGAGGACTCAGATTAAAAGGGGGTGACAATGGGAAGAGGTACAGTTGCTACTTTCTCTCTCCTTCTCAGATTTTGTCATTTTGTAAATTGCATTGATGGCTACTTATATAAAGTAGTATTGACTGATACCCCTATAAACCTACAATTTTCACCCATGGTTGTCTGCTCGTCCAAGCCACATACTTGCTACCCATGATTCAGTCCTCGTATCGTTGCTAAAGATTTCATGCTATATGCCATAACAAAATAAATAATAAAAGAGATAAACGCCAGTCGCTGCAAAAAGACCCTGAAAAGCATACAATCCGTTTCAAAAGAGGTTAGATCCTAGGGAAGAGGTAATAGAGAGTTCATTTGGCGTTGATGTCGACGTCTTCGGCAAGGGTGTACCAAATGGCAGCGTTGATGATCTTGCCCACAATTTCAAGTTCCATATCATCTGCAGATACTGTTAGCATCATTCAATACATGAAAATTGGAGCCTTAAAAGAACAAATATCTCTGAAAGCCTTAAAAAAAATGCTACAAAATTCTTACCTCTCGGTGCATAAACCATGACAAAGTCCTGAGACACGGGCATCTGGATGAATCTGTTCTTCCACGCCAACGGATGCCTCTGTCCCCAGCCCTTTTGCAGAATTTCCTTGATGTCATTCGGGTGGAGACACATGTGCATGGAGTGATCGGAATCGTGGACGTGGGCAATCTCGCCCTGGCAGTTGGTCTGCAGCGGATGTCTCGCAAAGAGGGCCAGGCCGTGCTTCTCCAGACATGAACGCTCAGTGCCAAACTTGTGTAGGTTCTTCGCACTCAGCCTCTCCATGGCCTGGCGGAGGGCGATGTAGCACTGCCGGGAGCCGTGTTGGTCGAGCTGTCGCTGGGGTGCGATGCCAGCTACAACGGGTCGAGGGCCAGCACGATACGGTAGATGCTTCCCAGCCAGCACGCCTGTCTTGGGGTCGCGGCTTGGATCGGGCAATGGGGCTGTGAAGGGGTCGCGTAAGGTGAGCATACGCAGGTAGGTTATCCGGATATAGCCTTGGATAGTCGACGGCGTGCCTCCGGGCCCGAGGTTGAGGAAGTTGTGGTAGTCATTGTGGACGAGCAAGGCGACGGGGATGAGGCACACGACTGCCTCGGCCAGATATGAGTCCAGGAAGTGGATGGCGAGCACAACGCCCAAGGAGACGATGAATACGGCGGTGCCGTCTAGTGTGATGGAGATGGGCTTTTGTTGGACAACGCAAGAGGCTTTCAACAAGTCCACCTCATCAACGGAGTGAACTGAGGATCGTTCGTCGACATCAGGAATCAGAGACAGAGACGTTATTGTCTCGGTTGGAGCAATTGACATGGACATGACGGGCAACGTGGGGGGAGGGCAAGTATTGGTATGTAGAGAGACGATACGGCCACAGATCAGTTTTAAGCCACTAGCATAAGCCAGCTACGATACGCAACTGGTCTAAGTAGGCGATTGACACATGTGAGGGAGTCGCGGACGACTTATATGACCCGTACTCGTACGAGGTGTGAAGAGGAAGAGGCAGGGTCTAGGTCAGGGGGACGTCCGGCGGTCGGCGGCAAAGGAATCAGTGGCGGCTGGATTGCCTGGGATGTTTTTCCTTTGAAATATTGATTGCATTCAATTGGGTCTTGTGCGGGTGGTGAGGAGTTTGCCGGACCCAAAAGATGAGAGAGCCAATGGCTTGAACCGGTTAAGTTATCGAGGGCCTGTGATGGTGGCTGAGGGGTTGAGTGAGGGTTTCTGCATCATATCACGTTCCACGAGGTAAGGGACTGGAGCCGTCTTCGCTGATCCTTGATCCAGCAGATCACGAGGAGGATGACTGTATTTAGCCTTATGACGTTGGGCTGATGTCGGTTGGAGAAACGATGCGTTCAAGCTTTCACCCATTGTTCCAAACTAGAGAACGCTAGGCGGTTTACATGGTGGCGGGCAGCTTCTTAGCGACGAGCCGATATTCGAGGTTTAACTGGAGCTCATGAGGATTTGTGTTGCTCACTAACATCAGTATTAACACGGATAAAGAGAGTATCACTGCTCTGAGGAGAGGAGGGCGTGAAACAGGTGGCCACCCCTTTTTCCGTGTTGCGTTCCGTCTGTGACACAAGGTCTAGCCTCGCCCGCACTCGAAGGTGGGCAAAAAGACAGCAAACACAGTTCCAAAATAGCTTGTTAAGATCTCACGCCGAGGGCCTCGACGAGCTTGTGGCGCAATACTCCGCATTGGCAGCACGCCCGGAAGACCGAGCCGACGGCTGGGGGCCTGCTTTTCCCATGTCGTGTTGGCAAGTTCCGGGGTCATGCGTACTTGGAAACGAAGCACTTGTTGTAAACGCTGGACTGCCTATTGGCCCAAGTAGACTTGACTGCCTGGCTAGCAAGGTAGGTAGGGATAATGTATGTAGGGGGCCGTTGCTCACCGATAGATGGACCGGAGTATTACTCTTACTTTCTTTTGTGCGATGCCTCCTCCATGGACTCGCTTCAGAGGTTCCGCTGAGCCGGTCTCCAGCTCCAGGCCTCAACTCGAGAGCCGCATAAGAGCCACCCAGTTCGGCCCCTTGGGTGAGTTTTTGGTTTGGGGCCGATTTAGGAAATCGTTACGGATAATGGGTAATCGGAACCTTGATGAGCTCCGTACTTGTACATGAGCGGCATGCACTGGCATCTCCGCACTGAGACCTCACGAAGATGCAGGGTAGCACTGCATCGTCCCTAGGCTGAGGGCTAGCAATGTTTAAAAAGTGCGAGTAATACCCCGTGGTTCGGCTGAAATCCGACAGGTTGCTCTTTGGAAATCTGGATGGATGGCTAATAGAAAAGCTATTTTAGTTACAGAGCATATCTCACAGATAACGCTATCTGATGTGATGGATGAGTTGAGAATCCGCTGTCAGTGATATAATCCCGGCACTTCTTGTTTTTAGGCTGGATGGATATGAAAGATGTTGCTGGTTTGAGGGCTCTCTGCCCAACCAATTGGCAGACTTAGGCGCTATCGGGGCGTTGCCCAGCAACCCACCGCAGCCAATCCCACCACTATCGTTCATCCCTGTTGCTGCCAAGCTCAGCTCAGCGTGACATGGGCCGCGACGACTTTGTTGCCATTTTCCACCCGAAAACCTCAATGTGCGGGCTGTTATCTCCCATGCATTCCACCATTTCCTCTTGATCCCGCGAATTGGTGATTGTGCAAGTGTATTCGGCTGCTGATTTGTTGGCATCTCATTTGGCTGAAGACTGGCGTTTGTATCGCTTGTTTACAAGGGCTGACGCAGACCGCATCGTTCCTCGACACTGCACAAGCCGCCCTGCAGTGCGAATTCGCCTAAAGTGGAAATAAGAGAAAAGAAAGAAGAAAAAGACTTCGATTGGTGGTATGAAACACCATTGGGGATTCTTCATTCCAGCTTCACGCCGCTAATTTCGACTCTTCGCAGCATAGACGTCGATCTTCCATGCGGCTCTCAAATCCGTTGCGGCGGTCCCGCGAAACGCGGCTGCCCATGTACCAGAACCCCAATTCGCCTGCAAAAGAACGCTCCTCCAACGATGGCTACTACTCCTCCTCAGACGGTGATTCAGAATCATCATTTTCAGGTCCATCCTCAGACGGGTCAAGAAACGTATCCGAGTCATATCCTGTGCGACCGCTGCTAGTTCAGAAGAGGAACCAGAGATCTACCTCTCAGCGACCGGGTGGTTTCTACCCTTATAGACTGCCGCCACGAGTTATCCGCTATATATTTCTTGCGATAACTGGGCTGATAATCCTCATGATTACCAGCCTGGTACGGGCAAGTCAGCTCGAGAACTGGAAAGTTGCCAACGGCCAGGTAAACAGTCGGCCGGCGCCCCCCCCTCTGTGGGAGAAGTTTCCGTTTCTGGAGAGGTACTATGGCGGCATACGCACTTTGGTGCCCTTTGAGGAGAACAAGCCCGAGTATCCTAAATCCAACGAGCACACGCCATCGAGTCCGGCGTCGCCCGCCCAAACCGCTTCAAATGACAAGGTGGAGGGTCGCGAGGCTGGATTCCCTACCAGTCACTCGTGGGAAGATTACGCTGGACGAAGTAACGAGACTGGTATTAATGAGTGCTTCCTGGATGCTGCTGGCAAGATTCGCCCACCTCCGCTTCGTTATTACAACGGTCGGCCCAGCGGATTCCCGCTGCATGTCACCGGCTCTTACGAAGTCCTTAAACTACCCGAAGAAGTTTGCTTTGAACGCTATGGAAAATTCGGCCCTTATGGATTTGGATATTCTACGCGCACTGGTGGTTTAGGTACTGGAGAGAACAGCGAAAATGAAGGCGCAGATTCGGTTTGGGGATCCGGTTCTCGTGTAGACTACCGCGAGATGAACTGGGCAGAAGTTCAACAGCGCTGCTTCCAGGCTAATGCTGGTCGATACAAGGAGTTGCCGGCAAAGACCCCCTCCCCTCAAGGCTTTTATATTAGCAACCCCAAAGGAGCAAAGGTCCAATCTCGCGACTCTGAGCCGAAAGATGACGGCAAGACGAAGACTGCCGCTGAACATGCTGACCCTGAATCCGACAAGAAGGGCGCTTCTACAGCCGAGGTGGCCAAGCAATCACGAACCGCCATTGTTGTCAGATGCTGGGATGAGTATCTATTCCGAGAAGATGATTACGCCAACCTTCGATCGATGATTTCCGAGCTTTCATTAGCTTCCGGAGGCCGATACGACGTTCACCTACTAGTTCAGGTGAAGAACGATGCCAAACATCCTGTTTGGGCCGACCACGAGATCTACGAGCAAAGGATTCGAGATACCATTCCAAAGGAATTCCAGGGTCTGGTCACTCTTTGGACTGAAACGCAGATGCTCTCCCTGTATCAGGGCATCTATGATTCGTTCAGCCGAGGCCCCGAACTCCCGGTTCATGGAGCGTACCGCGGACTCACTATGGCCATGCAGCATTTTGCATACTTGCACCCTGAGTACGATTATTTCTGGCAGTGGGAGATGGATATCCGCTATACGGGACACTATTATGACCTGCTATCTAAGCTCGAAAACTGGTCCAAGGCTCAGCCGCGGAAGGGTCTGTGGGAACGAAACTCGCGATATTATTTCCCCAACGCTCACGGTACCTGGGAAGACTTTTCACAGATGTCCCGCGTACAGAGCGAAATGGGAACCCCTGGAGCCGATAATGTTTGGAAGAACGTGCCCGGCGTTGACGGTCAGCCCCCAGAGACAGCCGCGAAAAAGAAGATTAAGACTGTTTGGGGCCCTATCCGTCCTTCAGATGAAAACGACTGGTTTGAGCATGAAAAGGATCCCGTACCACCGTCGTCGTATGATACCGACCACTACCAATGGGGAGTCGGCGAGGAAGCGGACTTGATTACTCTGAATCCCATCTTCGACCCAGAGGGCACTACATGGGGCCTAAAGGATGACATTACGGGCTACAACCGCTCAATTCCTTTCCCTCCTCGGCGCGCCAGCATCATCACTACGTCTCGAATGTCAAGACGCCTTCTCATGACAATGCACAGAATGACGGCACACAAGAAGCAATTCGCCTTCCCCGAGATGTGGCCTGCGACGGTTGCTCTTCAGCATGGTTACAAGGCTGTTTACGCACCACACCCCGTATATATCGACCGCAGCTGGCCTCTCGACTACATGGTCCAGACATTCAACGGTGGCCGTGATGGAGCCACTGGCGGATCAAGGACTAGTCTCTTCGGCGACCGAGAACACAACCTCAGGGGATTGACCTGGTTCTATAACTCTGGCTTCGGGCCCAACTTGTACAAACGCTGGTTGGGCTTGAAGGTAAACAACGACGGTGGAGAAGAGTTTGAGAAGACAGAGGATAAGAGCCGAGCTGGTTCTGGAGTCGGTGCCATGACCGGAGGCGAGGGTCGCATGTGCCTCCCTCCTATGCTTCTCCATCCCGTTAAGGAGGTGGACATTCCCATTGAGGCTCCTCCACAAGAGGAAGAGGCGGCGAATGAAGTGCCTGAATCAGACCCAGAGGCCTGATCGTCCCAAGTGCAGCTGATTTTGCTAATGCGGTTTTCTTTTTTTGGGGCGACTTATTGAGCATTAGGCGTCGCTGTTGGTTGGATATTCTTTTCCCTTTTGTTTTCTTTAGACCTTTTGGGTATATGACATGAAAGTCGTGATGATAGAGATACCCATGTAATATGATGGAATGTATAATCCGTACGATACTATATACTCTTCCATTAGAGTTGGGAGATGATGAATTGAATGCTGTACATATTGATTGTTTTCTGTCTAACAACTCGTGAACCCTCCCGCCACTCCTTTCTTTGCGCAATGTGGTGGTATATTGTCAGGAAAAATGACTAGGCTTAACGAGAAGAGCTTCTCTTTGTATTGTAATTTCTCATGCGAACATAAAACCATTATTTTTATGCCCTTGGACTTCTACTTTTTTCTTTCCCGATGCGGTATCGGATCGTCCCCTGTTGCCCAGAACAAGGTGTTCCTCTCCCCCTAATACTCAGAATCCCCCCTTTTACGCCAATTGAATGTGCAATTGCCTGCCAGATACTTTTCTCATAGCGCAGACGAAGCATGCAAAAACTCTTCTCCCAAAACCCGTCTTGCGGAGGCAGAACTCAGACCACTCGCTTGACCTCGAAGAAGCGACGCAGCCACCAGACCTGGAAGAGGGATTCACCAATGACGATGCCGATGACGAAGAGGTTCCACCACTTGACTCGGGAGTTTGTGCTCTCGGCGGTGTTGCGGTGGGTGCGCTCGCGGACGACGATGTACTGCTGCTCGTCCTTGATCTGGGCAAGGAGATCGGATAGACGTCGGACTAAAGGATATAAAGTTAGTGAGTGGCACTTTCAAGCAGCTGTTTGGCATTGAAGGGAGAGCTATCATGTACCTTCGGATTCGAGAGGATCGCTGGGGCTGTCTGCTTCGTTGACATATACAATGCCGTGGACGTTGAAGGAGACCTCCTTGGTGTTGGCGACCCAGTGCTGGTTGCCGAAGCAGTAGGTGTATTTGCCGTCGTGGATGGCCGTGAAGGAGTGATCGCCGTTGGAAACTGTCCTCTCGTTGATCTGGTACTCGCCTATGGGGTTCATGATCTGTCCAAATGACATGTATTAGCTGACATGAAAGCTCATTCCCCCTTCTGCCTACAAGGCATCCATCCATTTTTGCAAAACCGGGTGAGATTGAGCCGAAACAAAACACGGGGAGCTGAGTCATACCCAGAAATCAATGTCGAGGTTGCCTGCGCTGCCAAACTCGCGGTCGCCGACCTGGAAGGTGACGGTCATCTTGTCGTCCTTGTGGAGGCTCTCGTGGAAGCACTCGATGCCACGGGCCGGCAGCACGATGTTGTGCGCCACCACAGCCTGGAAGGCCATGGCGGCGGCGAGGAATGTCCTCGCAGCTGAAAGGAGATGCATGTTCGAGGCTAGCAGGAGGGATTTTGTTTGGGCTGGAGAGAGAGAGAATTAGCTGGTGGGAGGCTGGAGATCTGGTAGCTCTGCTCTGCTCTCTGCTATCACCAGTTTGGGGTCGCGAATCGAATTGACCACCTTGGCCTACTAACAATTCCAACCCACTCTGCCGCCCTTGAACAAAACACGTCCCGCAGTCCTGGCTACAGGGCTCGCAGGCCCGTGGTTTTACCGACAAGGCCTCAGGGGCACGAGAGGATCGAGATACGGCCACGATACTTTGGCGAGAGATGACGAATAGTGGGCCGGGCGGGTGGAGGCTAGGCGTTCTGGGGCCGGGCTGGATGTACCTTGCGAGTACCATTTGGGCGCGATAAGGCTCGAGGCGGCGCGGGCTGGTAGAGGCGAATCTGGGCAGCAACGTGCGGGCGGTACCCTGTACATGCCTGTCTTGTCGCAGCGCCAGCACCCTCCAGCGGTACAGTAGCGAGTACTCGTACAGGTGGCCTCGTACAGTGAGCCGCCTATCGCACTGCAGTGCCCAGTCAACAACGCCTGGCGCCCCTTGCCCCTCTCCCTACTAAAAGCCTTAGTCGCTTGCGCCCCCCCAAAAGACCAGCCAGGCAAATCCGGTTCCCTTTCTCCCACTCCGATCTTCCAGCAGTCTCACCGACACAAAACCTTACGAAGACACGACCCTTTCGCTTCGTCCTCTCGTGTGCCCAACGCGAACGCCCCCAGGTGAGTCCCGAGCGTGTTCTCGAGCCCTCTGTTCTTCTTCCGTCTCTCTCAGCCTTGTGGCCTGCGCTGCCTGAATGCATTCGCTCTTTTCCTTCGCTCTCCTCCTCCAAGGGGGACGCTAGCCGGAGAAGACAGCTCAGCGAAAAGCAAAAATGCGGCAGCCTGCTCTGGCACCATCCCATGCCCATCGCGGGCTTCATCCATGCCCATGCCCCGGATACTGTGTCCTCAAGCATCTCGCGAGCAACGCATCTCTGGCTCTCGACGAGATAAATAGCCTTCTTCTGGGGCCCTTGTGGTCGCTGGAGAGTTGGCCAGTCAATTGCGTGGCCTGCTCTGTACTACCCCAAATTCCTGTTCACGCCATCGTCGCTCCATTTACATCTTTTGCACACCACCTGAGAAAAATAATAAAATTCGCCTCACACTGCTTTTTTCTTTTCTTCCGTTACGACTTGGCTTTGCCTGCTTACGCGTAGCATCAAACAGGACCCTTTTTTTTTCTCTTCTATTCACATATTCGACGTTTGTTAGGCCGCGTCGCCGCCAGTCGCAATCATGGGTCTCGCCTTTTCTAAGATTTTCGACAAGCTGTGGGGGAAGAAGGAGATGAGAATTCTCATGGTCGGTCTCGATGCCGCCGGTAAAACCACCATTCTGTACAAGCTGAAGCTTGGTGAAATCGTCACCACCATCCCCACTATTGGTACGGAAACTCCTCCATCCCGCACTCCGGTCGCCGCTCCTAGTGTCCTCTAACCTAACACCCCGCTTGATTAGGCTTCAACGTCGAGACTGTTGAGTACAAGAACATCCAGTTCACCGTGTGGGATGTCGGTGGTCAGGACAAGATCCGTCCTCTGTGGAGACACTACTTCCAGAACACCCAGGGCATCATCTTCGTCGTCGACAGCAACGATCGAGATCGTATCGTCGAGGCCCGAGAGGAACTTCAGCGTATGCTGAACGAGGATGAGCTGCGAGACGCCATCCTACTCGTCTTCGCCAACAAGCAGGATCTGCCCGTATGTCATCCCTTTTCTTCTTGATCTGGCTTGAATAGCCATGCTCTATCATCACTTTGCCGTGGCAACGGAAATACTGACTTTGAATCTTTGATAGAACGCCATGAACGCTGCCGAGATCACTGACAAGCTCGGCCTTCACAGCCTGAGACAACGCGCCTGGGTAAGTAGATGATTTCTAGAGAGGGCAACCGTCCAACCCGCTAACTTGCCTCTCCCTACAGTACATCCAGTCGACTTGTGCCACATCCGGAGATGGTCTGTACGAGGGTCTCGAATGGCTCGCCACCACTCTCCGAAAGGCTGGTCACCAGTAAACAGACTACCCCAGGACCCTCTACCGGTAGAGCCTCCCGCTCTCCATCCCGCTTCCCTACCGCACACTCTCGCAAAGTTCTTGCCAAGCTCGAGAATTCGGTTGTAATTTGCAAAGTTATATCGATCATACCAATCAAAATTAATCCATAAATTGTGCAACTCATTTTTCTCTTTTTTCACAGTGCATTGCACCCATGCGCTCTCACATGTCGCCTGTCGTGAGCCTGTTGATATACATACCCTAACCATGTGTCTGAATTGGAGGGGGAGGATCTAGCTCTTGGAAAAGAAGGTTGTGTGGGCGTGTCTAGAAGAACTTCGTTTGGAATTCGTTTCAAAGGGGAAAACTAGAGCTGTGGATGACTGGGCTGATCATTGCCACTTACTGCATCGCAGCCACTCTCGAGCGCTCAAATAACTTGGAACGGAAAAAGGAATACTTACAAAAAAAGAAGAAAAGAAAGAAGAAAAAGGAAGTGGCAAAATTGACAAAATCCGGGAGAGGAAAGTTTGGGGGAGATGCGAGGGGGGGCTCCTTGTTGTAACGACTGGTGCCTTGGGCTCATGCTTTGATGACGGTTGTGTCTGTTTTTTCATTGTCTCTCATGTCGTCGTCTCATTGCGCTAGATTGGCGGAGTTGGGTTGTTCGTTGAAAGGCCTCCCGGCTGGGAATGATCGTAGCGGAATTGAACGGATGGGTGTGAGGGAACAGGATTATCCGTGTTTCTACGCTTTTACCTTTTATTTTTATTTTATTCATTCTTCTCTTTATTTTGTTTTCTTTCTGTTTTTGATGATGTGAGATGGGTGAATGAATATGTGGCTTCCACGCCTTGCCATGGAGGGAAATGAGGCTCTGTCATGACACAGATTGAATAGATGACTAGCTGGGGAAATAGAATGCGCAATTGTATGCAGTTGGGAAAATGATGATTCAATATTACACACGTATTTCCATAGATGAATTTGACTTCTGTTTTCTCAGTCTTTCTGATTTTATTCAATGCTTTGTTTTCGCATCTATTCTTACATTTTTACTGACGAGTCATTCTCGGCCGAGGCAAGTTCATCGAGCACGTGTGCGAATTCAGCCTCGACCCAAAATGCACAGCACAGTAATCTCTGCCTTACTTGCAACAAGAATATAAAAAAAAAGGGGTAAGAGTTTGCTGAATAAGATGGCATTATAAAAAGCTGAGCAAGGCGTAATCACTAAAAAGAAAAAAGAATTTCGTATTCCAAAAAAGAAAAAGAATACGGCGTAATCTTTTGATAGAAAAAGAATTTTGGGTGAGAAAAAAAAAGGTTCCAGAGGGAGTCGAACCCTCGCTGGCGGAATCAGAATCCGCAGTCATAACCGTTAGACCATGGAACCGTTTTGAAGCGGTTAGCCGCTTCCCATGGTTGGTTGTTTAGTGCGTTGACTAATTGCTCTTATAGACTATTTGATTTAGATCTTGTAGACACGAATATGTCTACTTTATTTTCTGGGCAATTGCAAACTTGAGTGTTTTGATCAATAATAGTACAACTTACTGAGTGCCCGGTGAAGTATCCTTAAAACATTGTCTGAGCATAAAAGAGACAGACGTCGAAGGGGCACGTCCACATGGGCTTGAGAGGTTGATGATGGACTTTGGCATAAAGGCGACGTGTTATAGCAAGAAACGCCGCTATTAAAAAAAAAATTTGAACTACATCTAGGTATTTTGTAAAAAGTTTTGATCGCTCCATTGACTTTCTTTCCTTTCGGTTGATATATATCTTTTTCCTTCCCTCTTTTCCAATTCTTTGCTTCTCTTAATTTTACACTTTCCCTATCCGTTTAGTGGTGGAACAGACGAGTGTTCTGCTGGACAAAGGTTACGCCCAGCTTCTCGGCCGTCTCAAAGACAGCGCCGTCGTTTTGGCTGCCGCTGGGGGCGGCGATGTACTTGACGCCTGAGCGAGCAGCTCGGAAGACGTTGTCGATGAAGGGGAACTGCAGCATGGCGTTGGTTAACCTTGTGACCGTGAAGAAGAAGATGATGAAGGGAGCTTCTGTAACATGGAAAAGGGGGTAAAACTTACAAAGGCGTCACTGGAGACACAGACGTTGCTGAGCTGCTTCATCCAAGCCTCGCGCTCCTCAGGGGTAAAGGGGGGAGGGATCTGCTCGAAAACAGCCTCGAAAGCCTCTCGCTCAGCGCCGTCCTTGGGGAGCTGGCCGCTGACGAGAAGATCGATGGCGTTGCTCTTGTCGGGTCGCTTGGTGCCCTTCTTCCACTTGATGCCGAGGACACGCTCGTGGAAGCGCATCCACCAGTTGTCGGCCTTGTCACCCGCCAGACGGGTGCAGTGGATGCGGGACTGCTGGCCGGCGCCGAGGCCGATGACCTGGCCGTTGACGGCGTAGCAGACGGAGTTGCTCTGGGTGTATTTGAGGGTGATGGTGGCAACGGTGAGGTCACGGGCGGCACTCTCGGGGAGGGCGCCAGCATCCTTGGGAGTGATGATGGTAGTGAAGGACTTGGGAGAGATCTCGGCATCGTTGCGGTGCTGCTGGAGGGTGACGCCGTAGACGGTACGGGTCTCGATGGGGCCGGGAGTGTAGTCGGGGTCGATCTGGAGGACAAGGTACTTGCCTCCCTTCTTCTTCTTGAGGATCTCCAGCGCGGCGTCCTCGTAGCCGGGGGCAATGACACCGTCAGAGACCTCCTTGGAGATGATGCTGGCGGTGGGGACGTCAACAATGTCGCTCAGGGCGATGACGTCGCCGAAGCTGCTCATGCGGTCGGCACCACGAGCACGGGCATAAGCCTGGGCAAGGGGCGAGCTGTCGATGCCCTCAATGTCGTTGACAAAGTAGACCTTCTTCTCCTCGGGAGTGAGGGGTAGTCCGATGGCGGCGCCAGCAGGAGAAACGTGCTTGAAGCTGGCAGCAGCGGGCTTGCCCAGTGCCTCCTTGAGCTCCTTGACGAGGGGCCAGGCGTTGAGGGAGTCGAGGAGGTTGATGTATCCAGGAGAGCCGCTCAAGACCTTGAAGGGAAGCTGCTGGTTGGCGGTATAAGCCGAAGCGGGCTTCTGGTGGGGGTTGGCACCGTATCGGAGGGCCATGTGCTGGTCTCCCGAGCCGGCGTACTCCTTGCGGAAGAACTCTGAGATAGCGGCATCGTAGTCGGCAGTGTGCTCAAAAGCCTTGAGAGCATAGCGGTTGCGGCTAGAGTCGCTGATCTCGCCCTTCTCCAGCTCGCTCAAGAAGCCAGCGTAGTCGTTGGGGTCGCTGAGGATGGTGACCCTCTTGTGGTTCTTGGCAGCAGCGCGGATGAGCGTCACGCCGCCAATATCAATCTCCTCGACGGCCTCGGGGATGCTGACGTTGACCTTGGCAACAGTGTCCTTGAAGGGGTACAGGTTGCAGATGACGTAGTCAACCTTATTGATGTTCTGGTCTGCAAGGTCCTTCTCGTCGGATTCGAGGTTGCGAGCGAGAATACCAGCGTGGACAGCAGGGTGCAGAGTCTTGACACGGCCAGCAAGCATCTCTGGCGCCTTGGTGATGGCGCTGACGTCCCTACACGCCGTGGCGCATTAGTTTTCTTGTCTCTTGTCTGGCCCTCGACAGCTTCCTCCCGGTCGCGTGTCCATGTCTCAACCACAATTGACAGCTCTTTCTTTTATTTTTCCATTTCCATACCCAGCATGAGAATTAGGATGATTCATACTCAACGGGGAATCCAGACTCGCGGATCATGCGAGCTGTGCCGCCAGATGCCAGAATCCGGACATTCTGCTGGGCGAGACCCTTAGCTAGGTCCAGCAGGCCGGTCTTGTCGTAGACGGAGACGATGGCAATCTTCTGGCTGGACATGATGGCGGGCGACTTTGCTTCTTCACAATTGAATGAAATGTGAGAAGATTGGAGAGATGAGTCAAAGCAAAAGAAAAAGAGAAAATATTTGATTTTCTCTCCTTTAGTCTCTTATACGAAAAATTCCAAGAGCCGATGTCGTCGGTTGCGGAAGGGAAAGAAAAAAAAATGTTGGCGGGGTAGCAGCGCAGGTCCTGTAGTGGGGTGTTGAGGGGAATGATTTGCGCTTTGGCGTTGTAATAGTGACGACGTAGCGGCTTGATTGGACGCTGCCGGGAGCTGTGAGGCACTTAATTAGAGCACGAGCAGCAGATAGTGGATTGGGAGAGAGGAAGAAAAAAATTGAAATAAAAAAATTGCCAGGGGCCAACGGAAAGACGGCTTGCACATGTGATGGGAGAAAGATAGGTGGGATGTCTGCACATTTGTTGAGTCGTATGAAACTTTTTCCTTAATCTTTTTTTCATTGCTTGAAGGGATGTATATCTACATGATCGATGTTGTGTTGTTTCTACTTTAATTCATAAAGTTAGTCATATCTTTCAACCTGAATCATGAGATGTTGATAGCAATGTTGGGAAAGCTTTTTCATCTTACCTAGCCGCTTTGATAATTGCGTGGTTTGTTTCTTAGCGCTAAGAGCTTCCCCTTGGTGCGAGAACTGCACGTATGTGATCCTTTGGAAGCTATTTTGGGGTGTTAATATGAGGACAGTCATATGACAAGCTTATATGACTATTATCTGATGTCCTTCGGGCTCGTTCATTGATATCAACATCTTGTCCAATTCAATCAAGAGCTTCTGAACACAACAGGCACCAAGAAAACAACACTAGGCAACTCCAATTTGAACCGAGTAACTGTTGTTAGGCGTCACGACTTTTAGGCTAACAGAACATCACTTTCTGGCACGTCATCACCGGGACCGAAGGATATATATTCTTCGAAATCAGTCGAATTAGAGCCTGAACACCGCTTGTGCCTCAAGTATTTTTGATCGTGACCTCATTTTTTTTTGTTGGTATAGACTGCCGACCTAGCAAGCCCATCCGGGACGCCTCCCGTCCCAGACCGAGGCCCAAACCGGGAAATAAGTACAAGTCAGACCGGATTTCCCCTGAGCCATGCGATGCAATTGTAACCCTTTTGTTCAAGTGGAAAAAGCATGCTGCGCCTCAATGCCCCATTCTACCCTGACGTCCCTTCGCAATCCAAAGCAAAATTAAAACATTTAGGCCTGTGACGGTGTAAGTTAGCAAAGGTTTCTCGATAATCCTCCCATGGTTCCCCTGTCCGTAGAGGAGACATGTCCATGTGCTCCAGACAACTCTCAAGACTGTCGTACCTTGATGGCGAACTTGCGCTGGGGGAAGTGAGTGTTGCGCTTCTTGGTCTTCTCCAGAACACGGGCCTTGTCCTCAGGTGATAATCGGCGGCGGATGGCACGGGTCTGCTTGGGGCGGAGGTCAAGAGGCAGGTACTTGGACTTCTTGTAGAAGAGGCGGAGCTGGTTGCGCTGAGTGGCGTTGGTGACGGTCAAGACACGAGCGATGGACTTTCGCAGGTCGTGGCTGTAATTGGAAGCGTTAGTCGCAACAATTCATTCGTGGCCCGCTGTTGGGTTATCGAATGGAAAGGGTCCGTCAATCCTTACATCTTGTTCAGCTTGGAGCCGGAGGAGGCAACCTTCTGGATGCGGAGCTGGCCGAGTTCAGCCTTGAGCTCAGAGAGCTGCTTGGCCAACTCCTCCTTGTTCTTGCCCCAGAGCTGGGCAGCCTTGACTTTTCCCGACGACTAACACACAAAGAATCAGTAACCCCGTTTCCCTGACGCATTATTGAAAGTGTAAGAGCGAAGCGTTGACGGCGAAATGACGAATGATTGGGGTTATTTTCGACGATCTTGTTGGTGTAATATCTCGGACGACAGCGCAGTAAAATTCGACATCGGGGGGGTAAGAGGCTGGCATAAAGGGAGACGTGGTCTGGGGGCCTAAAGAGGACATGTTCATCACTGGGAGCAGCGACCGTATCTACTCACCATCTTGAGAGTCTGATGTGATTTGCGAGAGTTGCGTTAGTAAAAGTCTTCCTCGACCGTGACCCGTCCGTTTGTCGCGATGGCTCGTAACTCTCAAAAGAATTTAGTCGAGGGTTTGCCGAGTCGGTGAAAAATTGCCCTAGGGTTTGGCTGAGAGTGCACCAGAATGAAAGACACTGTAATTTTTCATTGGTCAATGAATTATGGGGCGCTAGTGAGTAGCGAATGCTCATCACGTGCATAGTCTCGTGCCCAGTGTTGTCGCACTAGCGTGGGCGGTGGGAGATTCTGCCGCCTCCTTCAGACGGAGACGGCGTCAGACAATGCCGTGGCTCGGGCGTTGTCCCATATCGTCATCAGAAGCACCCTGAATTCGAACTTGTAGCCCAGATTGGAAGCCATGGCCACATCAGGAAGCGGAGGCTGGGCTCAGCTACGCCAGCAGGCCCGATCATTGGAGAACCAGGTGAGAGAATTAGTTTTACGTATTTATTTATTCTTGACTTGCGAGCTGGCCTACTGACGACGCCGCGGCTTGCTAGACGGAGAGTCTGTTTCATACCTTTTCCCAGTTCTCGACTGGATCCAACATCCCACCTAAGCCATCAGCGGAGGAGCGTGCCATAGAAGCAAGATTGGAGGATGTATTAGACAAGGTACGTTCGTCGACTCGTGTAATGGCAGAGCAGTGCGAGCTCTGGTAGCTAAACAAGCAATTGCAGCGCGACAATGTCATCGCCCAGCTCGCCCGACTCCTGGATTCTGAAGCATCCCTCAACACATCCGCGCTCAAGCAAAACAACCTATCCCTGCTCCGAGAGAAGCTTGCCTCTCATCGCCGCGACCTGACCCGTCTCAAGTCTACACTGCAGCAAGCTCGCAATCGCGCCAACCTCCTCACCAACGTGCAGTCCGATATTGACGAGTACCGCGCGAACAACCCGGAAGCTGCCGAGGCCGATTACATGTTGGACGAGCGTAATCGCATCGACAGAAGTAACGATGCGACAGATAGCGTCCTCAGCCAGGCATATGCCATCAACGAAAGCTTTATCATCCAGAGGGAGACCTTGGCGAGCATCAACCGGAGAATAACCATGGCTGCCAGCAAAGTGCCAGGCATCAACTCAATAATTGGACGTATAAGTACCAGGAAGAGGAGAGATGGAATCATTATGGGAACTTTTATCGCATTGTGCTTTATCGTCTTCTTCTGGTTCAGGTAAACGGGCCATCATACATTCACCGGTGCTGCACATGTCGTTTGGCGTTCAGGGGGGGTATATCAGCGGTTCTTGTCTACTTGTACAATATGGCAGGATCCATAAAACATATCTAATCTCTTTGTCGTTTTTAATAATACAGGCGCAGGATTTTTGGAGAGATGTCAAACCTCTAGTCCGAACCCTTTGTTTTTTCCAGGTGAGGCTTGCCAGGCAGCTTCTCTCGCGCGGTTGCGGGCAGTAAAGCCTCCTTCTTGATATCATCAACAAGCTTTCCCAGCCCCTTGGCCAGGCTCTCCAACTCATCCGGGTGGCCTGACCCGCTTCCAGCCCATCGTATCCTGCAGTGGTGATCAACCAGATATGTATAGCCGACCTTGCTGTTGAGCAGGCCTATTGATTCTCGGATCTCGTCGGTAATGCCCCTCTGCACGAGAAAGTACTTGTCCCAATTCTTCTCTCCAAACCTCTTGCGCAGCCCTCCCATGAAAAGCTTCACTAGTAGAGCTTTCCCATTGTTATCCTCGTAATTGATTCTGACTAGCTGTGCTTCATCGCCACTGGACTCTAGCACCTGGTGGAGTAGCGGATTGGCTTCCTTTGATATAAAGCTTTCGACCTGTCGCTCGGCCCACTGGCTGCTGAAGATGGACACAACGGATGCTCTACCGGAGAGGAGGGGGGTAGTATCGCGGGGAGATTTATCGTTCTTGACGAGTGTTTGGCCGTAGAGGTTGGGGAAGAAGAGGGAGAGCTCGGCTTTGAAGAGGCGGGGCGGCGCAATGAAAGACTTGCCCTCGTGGTATTGCAGGTTACCCCAATCGCGAAAGTATGGTCTTGATATCTTGGCAGTCCTAAATTGATCACCTCATGTTAGCAAACCTTGAGAACTGCACAGCTTCGGTCGGTGCTGGGCTCTCATACAGCTCCTTGCGCCTCTGCAGATGCTTATCATAGTTGACAAAGTCCTCCTTGCGCTGCTGCATAGAGCGACTGTCAATGCCCGTGTTCTCGCCCGGCAGAGGAGGCAGCGCCATGCCAATTGGCCGGGGCAGCGGCTTTGGTGTGAAGCCGCCCTCGACTCGTTTCCCGTAGCTTCGCGGCGCCTCAATCGGCGTTCCGGCGACGGTCGCCTTGGGGTCCATCGAGGCGCCCGCGGCCGGCTTCTCTGTCCTTGCGGCCAGCGCTGCGGAGGCGGTAAATGCGCGCCATTGGCAGCGACTGCATGAGGCGGCAGCAGATCTCGTACTTGAAAGGAGGAGGCCGCTGAGGGCCAGCTCCAGCGTCCGTGGCGATGGCATGACCGCCTAGAAAAGAGAGTGACAGCCTTGGGGGTCCCTTGTCGCGAATGACGCCCGCGAAAATTTGGCCTCACAGCTGCAGAGCTCCATCCACTTTACGGCCCCGGAGGCACTGGCTTTACGGCTCCGGGGGGTCGCAATTCGGCAGCGCTAGACCTTTGGCGCATCCATTGGATGTTTACAGTGGCTCCAGCACTGCTAGGCGCAAAAGCAGCTTAGCGCCCACGCCTTTGCGCTTTACCCAGCAAAAACTCCCCCAGCTGTTGCTAATTCAGACCTGGAGCCATCAAACAGTCAGCACCCCAGATTCGGCTATCCGCGGGGGCTTTCAACAGCGTCAACCGCAATGCCGACTGAAGCCACGGCTGGCCTGGAGTATCCCGGTTTAGAGTCGGCGAAAGGAAGCGATTCTCCCCTTGTTTAAAACTCAACATCCTCTCCTCTCGGTCTTGCAACCACCGTGCCGCTCAATTGGACCACCCAGACATCATGTTTCTGCAGCGAGGATCAAGAGTGCTGAGACGGCAGTGGGGGGCTTCCAAGGCCATGGGCAAGATGGCCCTGGGAAACACAGCGCCTGCGGCCCCCCGGTGGTTCTCGGAGTCGAGGAGATTATATGCCGTCAAGCCGGTGTTGCTGGCTGATATCGGCGAAGGTGAGTCTTGAATCCGATCATGGCGAGCAAGAGCTGTGATGCTGACGTTGACGGGCAAGGCATTGTCGAGTGTGAGGTGATCCAGTGGTTCGTCGAGCCCGGCGCGCACGTCGAGGAATTCTCCCCTCTATGCGAGGTCCAGAGCGACAAGGCGTCTGTAGAAATCACAAGCCGCTTCTCCGGCGTCGTTAAGAAGCTTTACTACGAGACGGGCGAGATGGCCAAGGTGGGAAAGCCGTTTGTCGACATTGACATCCAAGGCGGGGCCGAAGCCGACGACGCCGGCGCGCCCAAGGCGGCCGAACCCAGCAAGGACGGAGCCTCATCTTCAACACCAGCACCTGAGCCAAAGTCGCAGCAGACCGAAACCAGTGCGCCGGCACAGGGGCAGAGCAGCCAAGCTCCCAAGGCCAAGGGCAAGGCCGCGGCACTGGCGACACCGGCGGTGCGACATCTGTCCAAGGAGCTCAAGATTGATATCCTCGACATCGACGGCACGGGCAAGGATGGCAGGGTCCTGAAAGAGGACATCTACAAGTTTGTGCAGCAGAGGGATGCCAGCGCCAGTGCATCGGCTGCTTCACAGTCCGCATCTACACTACCGCAGCAGCAGCTACCACAAACTCCTAGCTACCAGCCTGGCGTGCAGACAGAGACTAGAGTCCAGCTCACCAACACACAGCAGCAAATGTTCAAGACCATGACGCGGTCACTCAACATCCCCCACTTCCTCTACTCGGACGAGGTCGACTTCACAGATCTCGTCCACCTCCGTTCCCGCCTCAACAAGGTCCTCTCCCAGACGCCGGCCGCCCCTGGCCAGGTCACCAAGCTCTCCTACCTCCCCTTCATCATCAAGGCCGTCTCCATGGCGCTGTACCAGTTCCCCATCCTCAACTCACGGGTCGACATTGATCCCGCCACCAACAAGCCCTCCCTCCTCATGCGCTCACAGCACAACATCGGCGTAGCCATGGACACCCCCTCAGGCCTGCTCGTGCCCGTCATCAAGGATGTCGGCTCCCTCAACATCCTGTCCATCGCCGCCGAGCTCTCGCGCCTGCAAGGGCTCGCGGTCCAGGGCAAGCTCACGCCCGCCGACTTCTCGGGCGGCACCATCACCGTCTCCAACATTGGCAACATTGGCGGCACGTACCTCAGCCCGGTCATCGTCGAGCGCGAGGTGGCCATCCTGGGCATCGGCCGCATGCGCACCGTCCCGGCCTTTGACGAAAACGACAACGTAGTCAAGAAGCACGTGTGCAACTTCTCTTGGAGCGCCGATCACCGTGTCGTTGATGGAGCGACCATGGCTCGGGCCGCTGAAGTGATTCGCCGCGTGGCGGAGGAGCCGGACGTCATGGTCATGCATCTGAGGTAACAATATTATTTATCAGAATAGAGAGAGACGTGTAAAGACCTTAGATTAGTTAATGTGTCATGCAGAGACTGGTTCGCTTTTTTTTTGAAAAACTTGTTCGGTATAAGTATATAGTATAGTATCTATTTTCCTTGTTTGGCATACAAAAAGAGAATGTCACTTACACCACACCACAACCTACTGCTGCATATGTAGTTGCAGATCCCGCTTCTCTCTACACCACCCCCAAAAGAGCATCCCATGTACAGTACAATGCAATACAAGGCAGTACACGACACATCTCAAAGAATCCAAGCCACAAAAAATGCACCTTAAAAGGCCCGGTCCTCGCGTTCGCAGCAACAAAAAGCATTGGATGCCCCAAGAGATGCAACATGACAACATATGGCTGAACCCGCTTCCCGCTTCCGAACATCTGCATTCCCTCCCCTGGGGGACGCATCCCGGCCTGAAACCTTCATCATATGCACAAGATCAAATTAAGAACGAGGAAAAAAGACACGAAACAAACAAGGAGGTTCTCAGCTGATGCGCTCCCCCGGCCCCGTGACCGGTTTCCCTGCAGGGCCCGGCCGCTGTCTGTCTCGTCAC